TTCATATTCTGCCGGACCCAATTTACGTAGCAAAACTCGCACCTTCCAGGCATCGTCTTGTGAGGCGAGATCAACAGTGAATAAATCCTCATAACGTTGATACCATGTGTCAAAAGTGACATTAGCCTCTGGGTCATAATTGAACTGTGAAATGCTGTTCACAATTCCGTCGACAGATGGTAGCATGGTATGATTGGGATTGCTTGAAGGTGGAGCTGGACCAGTCTGTTGGTTGACGAACATTTCCATTAATTTCATTTGTCGTTCAAACAATAATTCCAATTTAATAGGATCCATAGTAAATTGTTATGTTGTTGCTGCTGTGTGGTTAATAGTAGTTTTCCCCGTCGCCAAATTGTTATGTACTAGTTTTCCCGTCGCCAAATTGTTATGTACTCGTCGCTGAATTATTATTATGGACTGGTCGAGAAACTAATAGTCCTGACGCGAGAAGGCGGAAATCAGAAGACCACTAGGTTTGCGATGATACTTCTATTGTCCAAACACAAGGAGACGAAAATAAATGGTCTCACACCAAAGTGGTAAGTAAGTAAAGTAGTTGTAAAGTAAAGTAGTTCACACAAATTGTGAATGCGAATATATATAAATAATTCAGACAAGCGTGGGAAAAATCATTAGACAGTCTTAACATGAATGGCTAATTATAATGGAGTGTCGATCCAATTATACATAGCGAATATAGCAGACATGCCAACAAACATATATGGATATATGTCACCAAGCAACGGACTGTCAACAAACACTCATATTATATATAATATAATATAAGGGGAATACACATTATTAAAGGAGACAGGTCCATACAAGTGAAGTGGTCACAGACTAACCGAGCAAACAGAAAGAGAGACCAACATGCACACACACACATAAATATATATATGTGGATACATATCACTATCCATTTTGGATGAAGATTTCTCTCAAAATATCTAATTCTGCTTCTAGAACATCGGGAGTACAGATGCGTTGGTTGCGGCGGGGTGGCAAGGTATTTAATTAAATTCCGCTTTTGTTGAATGGGTACCCAGCTATGGAAGTTTGTTAGTTGACCATTCCAAGTAGCTTTTCTATGGATCGATCTTCTTAAGATCCCATTAGTTCTTCTTGCTAGTTCCAGATCAATAAATGGAATTGTTCTCTTGGGTTCCGAGTGAAACATAGAACATTAACCGCAAGCCTCCAATTTGTCTTACTTTCTGCGGTCCTATTTAGCTGACTCTACAGGCGCTCATAGTTTCTAGTCTCTTCCATGTCACCCTTGACCGCCCTCTAACCATCTAATATCAACAGTTCACAGTGCACCGTAATGGCGAGCCACCTAGTGGCATGGTGGTCACATTGTATACTTGACTAACAGAATTCTGTCTGCAGCAAACAAAAAACTAGACAAATAACATTAGTTACTCGTCCTAGTGTGTGCTTAGATATTTCTTGTTCACTTTCAATAACGCATTAATAAGTGGGGGTGGGGTGGGAGTGTGTATGTCATATTCGTAAAGTTTATTTTGTAGATAAAATGAGTTCAAGTATAATTAAGTAATCATTTTCATACGTATTGTAGTAGGTTTGATCGATTTGAACTTTCCAATAGGGGGGGGGTGGCACGGCGGTTCGAACGCTCGCCGACCATGAACATGGTCCGGGGTTCGATTCCCGGCCACAGACGCACTCCTTTACCTCGCTAAGCCTGAAATAATTCTGGTAAAGAGGAAAGGTTGGGCGTGAGTCTAGCGACTCCATCCTGTAAAAATAAACACTGCTACAGAAACTTCAAGCCACTATCTTGAAGCCCTATGTTCCACTGGGAACGTGAAGGAAAAAAAAATAAAAAATCCTGGGGGGGGCTCTCTTAGTGACTAGTAAGAAATGTTGACGATATATCTCACAGATAGTTTTTTAATTCTTCTCTACGTTCTTCAATTGTCTGCGTTGTAACATCATTAGTGCCACAATAAGACCATGTGCCTTTATCACAACTGAATATTACTCTTAAGGGACTTGACTATTCCCTTCATCAATGTCTCTTTTAAATTTCAAGTTGTCAGTTTATTAGAATTAGCTATGAAATATGGCAAATTTCTTAGTCTAGCAGTATATGGGTGTGTACTTACTTTCTGATTATTTTTTTCGTATGCTTTCATATTTTTCAATTTCTCAGCTATAGGTGTGTTGGCTGGTTGGCTTAAACATTTGACTGACAGCCAGTAGTCCTTGATTCCGAGTGCAGCTCCGTTTTTTTCAGTGTGGTTAAATGGGACAATTTCATCATCTCAATAAGTGTATAACTCATAGCTGCTTGGTTTACAAATAAAAGTGTCCTGTCTTACTGAGCCCCGACAAATAGCTGCTACCTTGATGTGGTGGTCGGGCTTGCACATCGCGATGACCCAACAAGCTACACTGGCTGAAACCAATGTTCCTACTGGTCCTACCATGCTAGGAAGGTTGTTAGGATAGCGATTAGACTAAAAGCAGTTACCGGCTGAGTGTAAGAATCTTTCTTACACTATGCTGGGAGTCTGTGGACGAAATCGTACTGCTGGGGAACATGGGGTTTAACAGCAATGAGGTGTTTCCCTCAGATGACCAGCATATCAGCCAGCTATGCTGTCTCTTCACTCTGTAGAGAGTGGGTTAGAAAAGGTCGACCCCAGCAATTGTACATCCCCACTTACCCTACGGTGGTCCGTAACCGGCGGTAAGTTCACTAATACAGAACTATACCAAGAAACCAGTTCATACAAGCCGTTTGTGACCGGGCTCAAGCAGTTATCCCCTGGGCTCTGCAGTCACGCAACACTAACGCTCTCTCTGTTTCAGGTACCCGAAGAATCAAGCAACTTCCACGGTGTGGGTAGCCGCGATGTAACAACCGATCACTCGCTTCCACTTCCAAAAGCACTAAGTTCTAACTAATGAACTAACAGATATGAATGGCTCGTTGATTTAGGCACTAAATTCTTATGTTTGCGTTCTCAATTCCCATTAAATCAAGTGTGACGCTTCAGTTTAGTTAATAAACTCGTATTAAATTCGGTTGCAGTGTAACTGCTCTTTATCATCTTAAGAATTCTAACACTTGTAATTTCCAAGTGTTAGTTTGCCGAGATTTTATTGATTTTAATTGTGATCACAAATTAACTTCAGCCAAAGAGCCACTGGAAACCAGGAAGTACTGGACAGCCGTTTCATCCTTGTTCGAGACTCTTCAGTAGTACACACGCATGACTCCATCAGGAATTTCAACCCAGGACCTTTAGGTTTATCCATTGTATTTCCTTAAGTATTTCCCTCTGCTTCTGTTGCTTTTTCTGCAGTTGTAGAATAAAATGTATGCTGATCTGTTGTCCTGTATCAGCCAGGTCCCGGATCCGAACCATCACTAAGACGTAGACCGTTTGACATGTGTCCAATAATTCTACTAGAAAGCGTTAGAAGTATGAGAGAAATGGTTGTCTACTAGGATAGTTCGAGTCATTTGCGCGTAATTTTTAGTTTTATGTGTAGAATATACCATCTACTTCGATCTGTACGTCAGTCAGTTAATACTCAGTTACCCGGTACCGGTGTGGTGAGAGCTGGCTGCAAACCAAAAATTGTAGATAGCAGTTTACGTCAATGCTATTTGCGTCCCAAATCGGAGTCATGAGAAGAAAACGATAACAAAGCTTAACCCTAAGGAACTCATCAACCAATCACAGAAGATTCAAGAGTTGGTTTGTAGGGATTTGATTGGTTTCAGGACTTCATCATGAGCTGACATTAGTTAGAGAACCATTGGAAAACCTGGGAGTACTGGACAGCTGTTTAGTCCTAGTTTGGGACTCTTCAGCAGTACGCACCCACCACCATCATTCGAACCCAGGACCTTCCGGTTACAAGGCGAGCTCGTATATCATTAAGCCACTGGGACCTGATCCAATGGTCCTTGAATTTTAACTTCTGCCAATTCACGACATAGCTCGACCGCTAGCCATTGTCAGCTCATGATGAAGTCCTGAAACCAATCAAGTCCCTACAAACCAACACTTGAATACCAATGAGATGCTCACTGGCGACTGGCCCTATTCAGGTAGGTAGTTACCTGGGTTCCAGTGGGAAGTCGTGACCAGTAGGGTGCAGCGGATCGGGTGTGAGGACAAATACTTGCCGAAGACATTGGCTAGCGGTTGCGCTATGTGGTGAATTGGCAGAAGTTAGAATTCAAGGACCGTTGGATCGGGTCCCAGTGGCTTAATGGTCTACGAGCTCGCCTTGTAACCGTAAGGTCCTGGGTTCGAATGATGGTGGTGGGTGCGTACTGTTGAAGAGTCCCAAACTAGGACTAAACAGCTGTCCAGTACTCCCAGGTTTTCCAATGGTTCTCTAACTGGCGTCAGCTCATGATGAAGTCCTGAAACCAATCACAGAAAACTTAACGTGTGCTAATACGATTCGCAGATATGTGGCTTAACTTTCTAAGAAGCGGCCAAAAAGAGATAAGAGAATAACCTTTGGCAAGAAAACAACCAATCAGAAGACGTTGCTTCTCCACTGACAATAATGTACACAAATATCTGTTAATTTTCTCAATAAAGGATCAGTTGTCTGGTCCTTGTCTTATGTCGTTACACTGGGACATGAGCCACATTTATTGTGTTGAGAGCTAGTGATACTACCCAGTTGGCGAGGCTGAATTAATTAATAAGTGGGATGGGACTCTTACCCGGGACCCACTGGTTAACATTTGAGCGCTGGAACCAGTGGACCATATCACCACTTCAATTTGTACAACATTAAATGGTTATGTCGTTTAGACGTAGTGATGGTGATAGTATATGAGTTGTACAATATATCTCATCGGTGAATTTTTCTTCTAATTAACTTCTTTGCTTTTTGTGTGTGTGTGTGTGTGCCTTGTATACTTTAATTTTAATGTCTTTATTTCTTTTGTATTATTCAATCATTTTATGCTAACAACAAATAACTACAAAAATCAGTCTAGAGTCGATTGTGAATGGCGTGGTTTAGATGTCCACTTGATTGAAGGCGATATGCGTGATTTAAAGACATCCGAAAAAGCTGATATATTTGTTAGTGAATTACTCGGTTCCTTTGGTGATAATGAATTGAGTCCTGAATGTTTAGATGGTGCACAACCAATGCTAAAAGGTTAGTGTATATAGTACAATTTTGGTTTTTTTTTTGAAAAAATTTCTTTTATTATGCATGAAAAATTCTTTTTCCATATATTTCTTCTTCTGCTGTCATGGCAACAGAAAAGGATAGAAATCACAGTCAAATGGCCTTGAACCAACAACCAATCAGATAGCTCAACAGTACAAATGAAAGTTTTCAATAATCTTTGTTGCGAATTTCACCCTAAGCTTAATCATAACCGTATCCCTCATTTTTTTTTCACACAATATAAACTCAATAGTAGATGGAATCCAATTCACTTTGAGTTATTAGAATATGAACAGGGTGAGTTGGCCATGCTAGACTGTAGAATCAAACGAAAACAAGGCCGTGTATTAGATACTAGCATTTATGGGAAACTGACACCCTCTAATAAACACCTGGATTTTAATTCATCTTATCGAGAATCAATAAAGGCAGATTTAGTTAAATGTCTGTATAATTGGGCCAAGCGCCTTACTAGTAAGCCAGAAGATCTAAATAATGAAATCAAAGAAATAAAGGAAGTATTACTGGTGAATAACTACCCACTCGAATTTATTCAAAAATATATGAACCATAGAAAAATTAAGACCACCAATAAGAGTAATGTAACATAATAGAGTGTGCGTCGGTGGAATAGCGGTTAGGACGCCCGCCGACCATGAACATGGTCTGGGGTTCGATTCCCGGCCACAGACGCACTCCTTTACCTCGCTAAACCAGTAATTAGAATGGTAAAGAGGAAAGGTTGGGCATGAGGCTAGCAACCTCATCCTGTAAAATAAACACTGCAACAGAAACTTCAAGCCACTATCTTGAAGCCCTATGTTCCACACTGGGAACGTGAAGAAATAAAAAAATAATAGAGAATTCAAAGCCTCTGTAGCACTGCCGTATAAAGAGGGGACGTCAGAGGCCTTACGTAGAATTCTCAATGACGCTGGAATTCGTCAGGGTGGCATTCAAACCAACCAACTTTGTCAGAGATAAACTTTGTCGACTTAAGGACCCCATAGAGGCAATTAAGCAAAGCAATATAATTTACCAAATACCATGCAATTAATGAATGTGAGGTCAATTACATAGGCCAGTCAAACTGTAAATGAATTAGTAGATCCTATTATAACGACAGAAGACAAGGGCCAGGCAACAGATCGTTTATTAAGGAAATCAAAACATATTTATAGATTTTCATGTACATTATTATAGATTATTTAAGCAAACAAACACAGTCCTCTGATTGGTTGTTTCTCACAGAAAGTTAATCTTTCATCTCTTTGTGGCTGTTTCTTGAATGTCAGATCATCTATATGTTAACTGTATCCGCCTACGCAAAGCCTTTGTTCACATTTGTGTCACGACCAATATTGGGGACATAAACATTGACGTAAATTATTGTCTACCTATTTGGCTAACAGCCAGCTCTCACTACAAAACTAGTAGTTCAAGGCCAAATAGACTATCGAAACATAAAGGATTAGCTAGACCTAAAATAAGTGACTCCGCTAAGTTAAATAAACTGGTGATAACACAACTCAGCCATTGAACTGCATTCACTTGCCTGTAATCACAAAATAGGTGGGGGGGGACGGTGAGAGTATTACGAAGTAATGTAGTTAGTTAGATGGAGAGACAGAGAGGTCAATCATTGAAACTTTGTGTTATTCATTTAACACCACACACATGCAGTAGCCGGCATGACACAACGCCACCTATATAGGAGATATGGAAAGTGGCAACAAACGACAAGGCGAAGTTGGAAAGACCGAAAGAGGGAATATATATATGTAAAACAAATTGTGAAAACGTGTGACAAAGGCGATGTGATTATGAGCAGTAATTTATGCTCAAAACCTTGTCATCCAGTTGTCAATACTGCACCATCACTATGTGATTATTAAAAAAACTTGTTTAATATGGAATGGAATTCTACCACAGTGTCCAAGTTTTACACCTACATTAATAATCAACCGCTTTAGTTCTTCCCTAACCTTAACCTTGAATCAGAGTGAAGTCTGAATTGAAAATTACAAAAAGCATCCATTTGTAGTGAGCTTTCTGATTGGTTGTTGGCTCAAGGTCATCTGACCATAGTGCCTATTCTTTCCTGTTGTCGCTTGCTTTCATTTTGGTTAAGTAAAAATTGTATAAAATTTATTTGAAGTTGAATATTGTTTACTTTATATGCTATCTGAAAGAAGATGATCGCTCTTATCTTCCTAACATATGAATCAGACAAAGCAAGTTTGAGCGTGTTAGCTGATAGTAGGTTTGAGTTGGAAAAGATTTACGTGTGGTCAAATAAAAAAACCTGATATCAATTCATGAAATTTTTAACTGCTGGTATGAGTCAGCCAGGTAGGAAGGTTTAAACTGGCCTCCTGGTTGGGGTCGTCAAGATGCTAACAATTAATGGTTTGAGACTGTTGTGTTAAGACTAAAAAACCTGGACAGACACATTAAAATCATCGTGCTTCCCCATGTTACTATTCTTTCTCCCGTATATTTCTGCTAATTATAATTCTCTGTTAAATTTTTGTTTTCCCTACCTTTGTGTGCTATATGAACTGTGGGGCAAAATGAACTGGTTCACTTCTGCGCAAAACTTCTCTATATCTGTCTATCTGTCTGTTGTTTTCAACATAGAACTTTGCACCGATATGCAGCATTTCAAGTCGCCACACTCCCTCCATATAGCACACAAAGCAAGTGAAGAAAGTAAAAACAAATGCACACTAGAGACAGTAGACAGAGATATGAGACAAAAAGAATAGTAATAACAAAGAACAATGTAGTTTCATTGGAAATTATAAGTCACAAGGAGTGGATGCATCTGCGCCATCATTAAGAACCATTTTGAGCCATATCACTGATTTACAGCTTGATTCCACACCGTAATTTTGGTACAAGTATGGAATTTTCAGCATGGATATCGGTAGCCCAAATTTCGCAGGCCGACCATAGATATCAGGTGTGCGTCTGCAGGGCATCGAACCTCGGACCATGTGCATGGTTGGCGAGAGTCCTAACCACTGTGCCACCGATGCACATTGTTTTTTACCGTCTCGTGGACTCCAGCCAAGAAGTCTACACCTTCCTACGTGGCTGGCTTAAACTAACTGTTGTGGATTTCATTGACTGATGAGACCATGTTTTGGTTTGACCACCGCTAGCTCTTTTTCAGCCTGACCCTATGTCAGCTAACATTTCCCATTGTCGAGGAAGGCGATGACTAGGCATACGTAACACAAGTCCTAACCATCTCAGTCGATGTAACTTCACAGTCAACTCGTCGATTGATTTCCCCTCCTTCCTTACCTAGCACTCAGTGGACGCCTAACCTCAATATTGCTCACACTATTCTACCACCACTTCACACGGGAAATAGAACGCAGGCACCTATGATCAAACACAGCTAGTCTTTTCATTCACCCCGCTCTCAATGGCCATGTCACGCCCACAGCCATAAAGGAGGACGGAGCGGACTTCTGAGCAGTACACTCGATAGCCGGATATCACGTCTACGCCAGAGACGGCGTAATCTGGTTTATACGAAACGAGCCTTCTGTATTCGTGCTGAGATTTCGTCAGCGATTAACCCGTTGGCACTGGCTGAGGCAACTTCCCAACGTGTTCTATGACTTCACTCCCTATTTCTAAGCTAGGAGTCAGTGTAGTCCAGTCCTGTAACATCATCCTACATTTGGCTGAAGCGAATCGCATGCCAAACATTCGTAGATTGCAGCTCAAGGTGTTCAAAAGACTCTGCATTTTGTCAGCGTCTTCACCTAGAAAGACCGTATCATCTGCACATTCTAAGCCTATGTCACAAATTAGCTCACTGATTAAGTAGGTTATGGTTAAGCATTGATAGTATCTTAGTTTAAATTCGAAATTCATATCTCTAAAGAATAAATTATTGGTTATCTCCTAAATAGTTCTATTCGGTAAAAATTGAAATAGTTTTTTGAAAAATTGATTATTACAAAGCGAAAAAAAAATTTGTTGAATTCATTGACTGCAATAACTGAAATATGTGAGATTCAGAAATTTAAAGAATAAGTCTAATTCTCAATGTTAGACTTTCGTCATGAACGAACATCAGTTGGAGAGAGATCATTAGAAACCAGGGATTGAGCACTGGACAGAGTTGTTTCCCCCCTCCCACTTTTTGGACTCTTCAGTAGTGCGCACTCCATCAGAGAATGAACCCCAGGACCTTCAGGTTACGAGACATAAGCTGGTTGACCATTCAACCAATTAGTTCGGAATTCAACGACCCCATGTGAATGCTAACTTGGTCAATTCGTGATATAGAGCTCCTCAACGTCACAATAGGGATCACAGTCCATTAATTGTCATATACTTCCTGAAAATGATACTTATTTGTTGTAACAATGTTTGTAGTGAAGTATCGAGCCGGATTGACGCGTCCTCCTGCTGAAATTTATGAATTCACTGGATACTGCTTTCACAGTTTTTGCCTGTTTTTTATTTTACTACAAGAAAGAAAGAAATTTTCAACTAAGAAGGAGGATAGTTATGGAAATTGTGAGATAGAATATTTATAAATAACTATTAATACTCATGAACACATGCAACCCAATTATTTACTTATCTTTAATGCTCACATTCACCTTCATTTTTATACGATGGCTTACCAATGTTCCGTTTTCAACTGAAGTAATACAATAATCAGCATATGTTAACTCCAATGCTGTTTACTACACATTGTCTAACATCATACGGCAATGTAGATTAAACTAGCCGGATAGAAAGACGTTATTAACATAAAGTCTTGCATTAGTTTACAGCAACAATCGAAGCTGGTCAGAGCATATCGTTGTGTTAAACAGAAAGTATACAAAAAAGTTACGATGGCAGTCGTGTAATTGAAGGTTGTGAAGTGCTATTCGTAAATGGAAAAAGATAGGCAGCAACTCATGAATTGGCAAAAGTTAGAATTCATGGGCTGGCCATTAGATAAGGTTCCAGTGGCTTAACGGTCGTCTACGAGCTCACTGGCCTTGTAACCAGAAGGTCCTGGGTTAGAACATTGGCGGTGGTTGCGTATTGTTGAAGAGTCCCAGGAGGGAGGAAACAGTTGTCCAATACTTTTAGGTTTTCCAGTGGTTCTCTAACTGATGTCAGTCAGCTCATGATGAAATCCTCCAACCAATCAAAAGAAAAGAAAAACTTTTAACCAATCCAATGAAAGATAAAATATGAATCTATCAGTATCATCATTGATAATAATGCTGAAGCATATCAACTAAAGTCTTTAGTCTATAATTCCTATTGTTCGCCAATAACTCCAGCCAATCTTCACTTCTCTCCAAAATGCAAGCCATCAGTTGGTGTCTTCATTTATTGTTACGCTTTTGTTGATCCTTGACTTTCTACCAACCTAACGCTGTTTCTGGGATCATAGCATGTTTAGGTAGAGTATGATTAGGAGTGGTCAATTTTTAGGCCCTTAAGACTTAACACTTCTTTAACTGGCTTACTCATTTTTACCTAAAACATTCCTAATACAATTATTTGTTAAGAGGACAGTGGAGGTTATTGAATACACGAAGCCTAACACAGATCTACTTTAAATAATCTATGTTTCATGACTGCCATAGAGTTACTGCGAATACACATTACTACTGATAAGCGATTGGATATCTAAGGTGTCTGGCATATATAATATATTATGATGGTGAAAACCTGTTATTTTGCTTCGCGCCTCTGGCACAATGGTTAAGACTCTCACCGACCGTGCACATAGTCCAGGGTTCGATCCCCTGCCGACGCACACCTGATATCAATGATCGGCTTGCAAAATTTGGGCTACCGATATCACATGCTGGAAATTCCACACTTGTACCGGAAATACGGTGTGGAATCAAGCTATAATCGAAATAAATATAAATAATATGGAGACTTTTGTTAAGCATATAACTCACGACTGTTTCACTCTTATACTTGTCAAACTCTATTAATTCTCTTCACTCATCTTCTTGTCTACCTCTGTGTGCTATTTGGAACGTGGCAACTCGAACTGCTGCACTTCGGTGCCAAGTTCTATGTTGAATCCAGACAGACAGACAGAATTGTGCCTAATTATAGTGTTTAAAATAATAATTGACGGATAGTTGTTATTTATTTAGCTAACACACACAATAATTTAGAATGTGAAGACAAAAAACACACCAAAGAAGTTAGTTCTTGTAACTAATTTTACAGTGTTTTTTCAGCTCTAATACTAATATATATATATATATATATATATATATATACAACCCACTATGTTCCCTTTTTATTTTCAATCCCTTGAAATTTAAAGTATGGCAAATTAATTCTTCTTACTTAGCCTAGGCTAAGCTCTATATGTGTACAAATAGGCTTCGTGGTTTATAGACGTCAGAAGTTACTTTCGATCTAATAAAGAAAACTGAGACATAATTCTGAAATAATTTATGAAGATACGTTATTCAGAAGAAGTGGCAGCCATCGGACAAGGAATGATAGTCATGCTTCCGACATACTCGGATTATTCAACGACGTATATACAAATATTGAATTTACTCTATGGAACATGAAAATGATGGAAAGTCTCATTTCCTTGAAGATGATAGTCTTCAGAGGTGGTCAGTTTAGCGAAAGCTGACATGGAATAGGCAATACTTGTATTTTATAATAGTTTTTATCCAAATAGCTATAAATTAGCACTAGTAAAAACTCTGTTCTATAGGGTCGACCAATCAGGAGAATATTACTCTACAGAGAAATTAGAGGAAGAATTTCTGATTTTCGAAAAGACGTTGAAAAACAACGGTTACCCTTAGAGGTCAGACTGTTTATGTGGTGGTATTACTTATCTGAATGTTACTTGAATTCTCGTAGATTCCACCATAAATTATCACCATATGAATTCGCACACAATCTGCTGTAATTACTGTAACATTCACTGATTTCACCTGGAAGTAAATTTGGAAATGTCTCTTAGTTGATTTTTTTCGCATGTATAGTATGTTTTCTTCATCATTTTCACGTGCTTTTTTGCTTATATTTTTTCTGATTTCAGACGATGGAATTAGTATACCATGTTCCTATACATCGTATGTTGCTCCTTTACAGTCTTTACAAATATATAATGAAACCAGAAGATCCAAAGATGTGGTAAGGTTATAGGGTTGTTTTTTTCTCCAATTAGCTTAGTTTCTATAAAAATGAATTTTGTGTTCACTGCTGCATGGAAAGATCTTATTTTTCCTAGTATTATATACCTGGGCATAATTTATACCGAATAGTTAGTTATAAGTGTCCAGGATTTGACTCATGGCCGACGCACGCCTTAAACCTCAACTGACCGGTAGTAAGCCTGAGAAAGAGAGAGAAGGTGTTAGGCGTGAAGCAAGCAACCGCACTCTGTGAAGACAACATCACCGCTACTGGTGTGGTGAGAGCAGGCTGCTAGCCGATTGGTTGGCACTAATCTACGTTAATGTCTAGGTCACTAATATTGACCGTGAACAAGGCTGTTTCAACAACCAATCACAGCAAACCTAAATGTGGACAAATATGATTCGCAGATAGATGGCTCTACTTTCCGAGAAATATCGAACACAACCAATCATAAGACTGTGTTTGTCTGCTTAACTTCCGAGAAACAACCAATCAGAAGACTGCCTTTTTCTGCTTGCATAAGCCTTATTAATGCATATAAAATATATATAAATACGTGTTGATTTTCGTAATAAAACGATCTGTTGCCTGGCCCTTGTCTTCTGTTGTTACATTTGGTGTCGCTGCCTCCAAGAAGATGAAGATCCCGTGGCCAGCTGCGTTTGAGGAAGGTGACATACGGAGCTTCTTACGTGACTTCGAAGCCGTTGCTGAGCTGGTGGGTGTCAAGGAGCAGGCGGCGAAGGCAGTTGTCCTGGGGACGCTGTTAAGAGGCCGAGCGAAGGCTGCATATGACAGCGTAGACAGGTCAAATGGCACAGCGTCTTGGAAGAAATTGGTTGAACGACTAGTGTCCGAGTTTGACAGCGAAACAGACCAGACAGCTGCTGAGCACAACGGTAGCCGCTATAGACCAACCAAAACCAAACGAATATGAGCAAAAATTGAAGCATTGCAGCGGGAAGTGGCGGCGTTAAAGTTGGCTGATAGAAAAGACCGGTGTTTTGAATGCGGTAAGCCGGGACACTGGAGAAGATACTGCCCAGAAAGGCGAAAAAGAAAAAATTTCAGACGGTATAATGCTTGTTCTTTCTTTCGTATGAACCTAGGTTTAGTGGGGGCTATTGAGAAAGGCGCTCTGTATTCGAAGTTGCGAGTGAATGATCGAGAAGTAGTATGTTTGATAGATACAGGGCGGCCGTGTCGTTAATAGATAAGAATTTATGTAAGAGTGTTATCCGTGTTCATTGACAGTACAAACAGTAGGCGGGTATGTGTTGCGTATCACGGGTAGATCGAACTGTACGGTCGTTGTTGGTGGCTGCGAGGTGACGTTTCCTTTCATTGTTGTACCCGAACTACAGCGAACGATATTAGGAGCGGATTTTCTGCGTGAGATTGGTGCCATAATCGACACGCAAGCGAACGTGGTGATCACGAAATACGGGCATATCAACATGTATGAGACCAGCGAGATAGCAGCGATTAAGCTGTCGACGGTACACAATGTGACAGAGTTAATTAATAAATACGATCATCTGTTCACTGGAGATGGGACCCATACGGTTATTGCGATAAGGTGAATCATGAAATTCCGTTAAGTGATCCGAAAGTAAGGTCATTTTTAACGCGAAGAGTTCCATGTCATCTGGAAGGCGAAGTGGAGCGACAAGTGCAAGAGATGTTAAAAGATGATATTATTGAGGAAGCTGATAGCCCATACAACTCTCCAGTGCTGTTAGTAAAAAAAGCGAATGGGAAATATAGATTCTGTGTTGATTTCGACAGTTAAACAGTATGACAGAGTTAAGACCGTGTGCCATGCCAACAGTGGTAGAAACTTAGATCGCCTACAAGGTGCGAATGTGTTTTCGGTTCTCGATCTTCGCTCAGGATACTGGCAGATACCGATAAAACAAAGTGATAGAGATAAGACGGCTTTCATCGTGGGTCAGACACAATATCGATTTAAACGCATGCCGTTTGGACTAGCAGGTGCACCGTTTACGTTCAGACGACTGATGAAGCTATTACTTAAGAACTTGAAAAACGTGGAGGTTTATGGTGATGATCTCGTCATATACAGTCAAACGAAAACGATCACGTCAACCATGTAGAAGCCGTGCTGCGACGCATCGAAGAGTTTGGACTACGCGTCAACAAAACCAAGTCTCAGATAGCCAAAAAGAATGTTACTCTGTTGGGACATAAAGTGGGAAATGGTGAGATTAAACCACTGCCGGAGAAAATTTTGACGATTAAAACGATTCCAGCCCCGAATTCAAAGAGAAAACTGAGACAATTCTTGGGTAGAGCAGCGTTTTATAGTCGCTTCGTGAAGAACTTCAATGAGATAGCAGCCCCTCTATACAGGCTACTAGGTGAGCCAAAGTTTGTTTGGTCGGAAGAATCGCAGAGGACATTCGACAGAATTAAACAGCTGCTCGACCACCAACAAATGACGCTAAAACTACCTGTGCCAGGAAGACAGTTCACAGTGTGCACAGATGCCAGTGACTACGCTATAGGTGCGGTCCTAAGACAGGACGAGGGAATCGTTGAGTATGCCAGTAGGGTTTTGACCCTCACAGAGAGAAAGTATTCAACGATAGAGAAAGAATGTTTAGCAATGGTATGGGCAGTCGACAAATGGAGACCTTATTTACTCGGCCGGCGGTTCCACATCGAAACTGATCATAAGCCGCTACAATTTTTGAAGACAGCGAGAGACCCACGGGGGAAGTTGTCACGGTGGATGTTGCGTCTTCAGGAGTACGATTTTACGATCTCACACGTTCCTGGAAGTGAAAATGTCTTGGCAGATTTGTTATCGAGACCAGAAGATGAGTCTGAGTTGCCCGAGGTCGCTTACGGAGTGCATGCAGTAGAACAAGACCCACTAAGACTTGCACGTAGGCAGAGGTTGGACGATACGCTGAATACAGTAATACAGGTGATCACCAACGGAATAGAAGTGGATCAAACTACGGCGAGTAAGGAGCTAACCACACTACTCAGACAGAGGGATCGACTCAGAGTGAATGCCTACGGGACTCTGACCTGGCGAGAGAACGACGGAAGCTGGCTGGCTGTCATACCTCAATCGTCGCGCCACGACATGATAGAAGAATGTCACCAGCTAGCGCATACAGGCGTGGCCAGAACGACCGACCTCCTAAGACAAAGTATGTACTGGCCAGGTATGAGAGAAGACGTAGCAAGATACGTACTTGGATGTCCACGGTGCCAGCTGATGAAAGGTGACCGGTATATACGACCACCACTTCAGTCGATTCCAGTTACCGCGATAGGTGACTTGTGGTCCGTAGATGTCATGGGTCCATTTCCTCAGACATCCAATGGTAATCAGTACCTCTTGGTGATGACGGAACACGCGACACGATGGGTAGACGCCGTAGCAATCCCAGACCAACGTGCAAGAACCGTGACAGATGCAGTAGTTAGACACATTGTTGCAGACCACGGCGTACCGAAGACAATACTGACAGACCAAGGTCCCTGTTTCGAGAGTGAAGAGTTTACTTCCCGTTTGCAACAGCTGGGCATCAAGAGGATCAGAACGACCCCATACCATCCACAAACGAATGGCCTAACGGAGAGAAACAACCGTACACTGAAAGAGTGGCTGGCTCGAAGGGCGGGAACTGGGAAACGGAGCTTCCACTGATTTTACTAACACATCGGGCTACCACTCAGGAAACAACGAAGAAGTCACCCTTCCAACTGATGTATGGTAGAAAACCACGATTACCGGTACACAATGAGACCTGGCCCATGCACCAAAAGTGGAGTACGACGAAATTAAAAGCAGAGAGGAAAGAGGCAGTCAAGAATGTAATACGGAAGCAGCGCAGTGATGTCACGAAGTCTCAGATGAAAGAAAGGACGCAGTGCATTACCTTTGCAGTCGGGGACCAAGTGAAGTGTAGAGACAGGAGATATACAGTTGGAGGCGGGCTAGGTTCACGGAAACTCCTTCCAAAGTGGGAAGGACCATACACAATCACAAAAAGACGGGGTCAAGTATATACCATCCGAAGAGGTGATAAACAGAAACGAGTTAACGCCAGTCAGCTACAAAGATGGGTACAGTGGGACAAGCCGGTCAGTAACAATCCTCAACTAGAGGATGTAGCACCCAGAAGGTCGGAACGTCTGCGCACAAAGCTATTTGACGGGGGGACGAGTGTGGTGAGAGCAGGCTGCTAGCCGATTGGTTGGCACTAATCTACGTTAATGTCTAGGTCACTAATATTGACCGTGAACAAGGCTGTTTCAACAACCAATCACAGCAAACCTAAATGTGGACAAATATGATTCGCAGATAGATGGCTCTACTTTCCGAGAAATATCGAACACAACCAATCATAAGACTGTGTTTGTCTGCTTAACTTCCGAGAAACAACCAATCAGAAGACTGCCTTTTTCTGCTTGCATAAGCCTTATTAATGCATATAAAATATATATAAATACGTGTTGATTTTCGTAATAAAACGATCTGTTGCCGGCCCTTGTCTTCTGTTGTTACACTGGAACTTTAAGACCTCAAGCCTGAGACACCAAGGCTGCATTCAGAAAGGAAGGAATGAAAATAAGTGTCAGCCAGCTGGAAGCTGCCTGTTTAAATGTAGCTTCGTATTTGATACTGTATTTCAATCCTCTCAATGATAAACATTGTAAATATGAATTGTTAAACTATATGATGTCATTTGGTTAATGGTGACTAGTGGTGGGATCCTAGTTGCTCGTTCCCTCCCATTCGGCACTTTTCAACTGGATTTACCTGTATATCCGTAGAAACTAGGATCCAGCACCCTCCCATTGTTTCAAATGCCGAAGAGTTATCTACTCGATCATGATGACCTAAAGGCATTCTTGAAGCGCCCATGGTAGAAGCCGGCATGTTAAAAGATATCGAGCATTTCGATGTGATAAAGTCAATCAGTGAGAGATTCAGAGTAATAATTTGACTTCGAAATGACACTGATTATGAGCTGTAGATAATATCATCCTTCTTATGTTACTATTATTATTCCCTTGGGCTCCGAATATAAGGCTTCAACACCACATCTCTATTTTATGCTGTTCTCCACAGTTCTGTCTGTCTGTCTGTTTTCAACATAGAACAGTTGGTTTTAACTGACTGATGATAAGCTTACATTTCCTCCTCACACGTTCTCTTCGATGTCACTCTTTGACACCCAGATATCCACTCGAGGTCTTGGCGTGTGATACTATTGACACAGTAACAATATGAAAGATTTCAGTAGGTGTTTAGACCGGAATATTATGTAGCAATTGTGTGTGTGTATGTTTAGCTTTGTTACTTGTGAATAAACATACCCTCCAGTGTAAGCTGTTGATGGATGGATGAAGTCAGCGTAAATTAACTAATATCTACACTTGAGCAATTTAATGTACAAAAGACTAAACTGAACTGCTGGTGGTCAAAATCTGTATTCCCAAACAACCTTCATGGTTAGTCACTGTTCATAGTTATTGCTGTTACTTATATTTCGGTTAGTTCGTAATATTTACTTGATTAATGTATTACTTACTGCTCAGTTATATATATATGTATTTTCATTAATACAGACAAATAAAGTTGGCTTTTCAATGGAAACGCCATATGTGGTTCGACTTCGTAATTGTCAGCTATTAGCTCCACCTCAAGAAGCCTTTGTATTTCAACATCCAAAAAAAGGTGAGTGAGTGAGTGAGTGAGCACTTTTTGTTTGACCTTTTTAACTTTTATTTTAAATTCAATTTTGATTTTCCCGTTGATTGATTAGACTGTTGATATGACAACTCCAAGTACGGACGCTTGAGAGATGTCTCAAGATTAACTTGAAGTAATTTTAGTAGATGGTAACTATCAGTGGAATCCAGGATGTGTATTTCATCCTGTTTGGGACTCGTCATCTGAACGTACCTGCATTTTTTAATCGGTGATGTTGTTCACACTGAGACTCAAACCCCAGTACTAGAACTCGTTGTTCCAAATTCCAGAGCGTTATCCATTAGACCACTTGGGCCACGAGGGCCTAACTCGTGTGGAAATGCAGGTGCGTGCAGATGACAATTCCCAAATACGATAAAATGCGCATTCTGAATTCCACTGCTAGTCACCATCCGGCATATTTTATCTTTACACATTTGCCTATTTATGATATTTTAATCGATTTTTCTTTTCTTTACAGATTTAAGTGAATCCAATGAACGTGAAGTATGTTGTAAATTTAAAATACCACAAGATTCTGTTGTTCATGGTATTGCTGGCTACTTTGAAGCAGTTCTTTATAAAGATATAACAATGAGTAAGTTTACAGGCGTTTCTCTTTCTTCTATATTATACGCCAATCTTTTGTTTGAATATTCACCAATTTATGTGTATTGAATACAAGTCTTGATATCAGACGGTTGTAGGTAAAATGGCAAGAAGCGCTCTAGACCTAGGTTTCGTGCTTATTGGCTGGCACTCCTCAGCAAGGCGTATTTACAATCTTGAAGGGAACTCATGTCCTGGAATCCGCGTCACCCAATCCTGCAGTCAGAGAAAAATTACCACCGAGCTATTCTTGCTCATGATTGGTCTCTTGTAAGGCTGTAATCGATGCTTTGATTGATCACTAGGTAGCAACTGATGTCATGCGTTGAAAAAGGAGGTGATATGTTACAAAGAGTTTTGAACTGGTAAGAAGAAGAAGAAGAGGAAAGCTCGTCAGTACTACCTGGTTCTCAAAGGTTCTTTAACTAATATCTATTCAATTTCATTATTCGTCTAATCAAAGGAGAGAAAAAATTATCCAATGGATCAACAACAAAATTAGCTTCTTTAGTCGTGACCAGTAGGGTGCCGTTGGTCGGGTGTGAGGACAAATACTCGCCGAAGACATTGGCTAGCGGTTGCGCTATATCGTGAATTGGCGGAAATTAGAATTCATGTACTGGCGATTGGATCGGGTCCCAGTGGCTTAATGGTATACGAGCTCGCCTTGTAACAAGAAGGTCCTGGGGTCGAGCCCTGGTGGGTGCGTACTGCCGAAGAGTCCCCAAACTATAACGAAATAGCTGTCAAGTACTCCCAGGTTTTCCAGTGGTTCTCTAACGAATGTCAGCTCATGATGAAATCCTGTAACCAATTATGTCATTTTTATTTATTTGCCACATAACATCACACAGCAACAAAAGTCACGAAAACGGCATCAGAGCATGTGACCGGAACGTTCTGGGTGCGTATTACTGAAGAGTCCTGAACTAGGACAAAACCACTGTTTAGTACTCTCAGGTTTTCCAATAGTTGTCCAACCGATGTCAGCTCATGATGAAAATCCTGTAAAGTTGGATTTCTTTGTTTTTACTGATGTTGGTCTGTCTGTTTTCGACATAGAACTTTGCACAAATGTGCGCCAGTTCAAGTCGCCACATTCCGTGTAGCACGCGAAGCAAGAGAAGAAAGTACAAGAAAAGCATAATAGAAACAGTGAGCACAGGTGTGAAACGAAGGAGTAATAAACAAATACAAAACAGTTTCATTGAAGATCATAAGTCACAGGGAGTGGATGCATCTGCGCCACTGAGAACGGTTTTGAGCCATGTCACCAATTGTTTCCAACCATAGATTTTTACCGTCCCGAGGACCCCAACCAGTCACGAAGTCTACACCTTCCTACGTGGCTTAGACCAACTGTTGTGGATTTCATTGACTGATGCCAAGTTTTTGTTTGACCGCCGCTAGCTTTTTTCCAGCCTGACCCTATATCCGCTAACATTGCTCGTCGAGGGAGGCGATGGCTTGGCATACGTAACACATGTCCTAACCATCTCAGTCTTTGTAGCTTCACGACTTCGTCGATTGATTTCCCCTGTTTACCTAGAACTCGACGCCTAACCTCTATGTTGCTCACCTTATTATGCCACTTTACACGGGAAATAGAACGCAGGCACCTATGATCAAAGACAGCTAGTCTTTTCATGTCTTCCACTCTCAGTGGCCAGGTCTCGCTCACAGCCATAAAGGAGGACGGAGCGGACTGATGAGCAGTACACCCTCCCTTTGGTCGATAGTCGAACATCTCGTCTACGCCAGAGTCGGCGTAAACTGGCAAATGCGAAACAACCCCCCTGTATCCGTGCTGAGATTTTGTCAGAGATCAACACGTTGGGACTGGCTGATGGTACTTCCCAAATAAGTGAAGCGGTCAACGTGCTCTACCACTTCACTTCCGATTTTTAAACAAGGCGTCGATGTAGTCCAGTCCTGTAACATCATCTTGCATTTGGCGGGAGCGAATCGCATGCCAAACATTCGTAGATTGCGGCTCAAGGTGTTTAGAAGACTCTGTATTTCGTCAGCGTCTTCGCCTAGAAGGACTATATCGTCTGCATATTTCAAGTCAACGAGATTGTTACCTGGTAGCAAGTCAATCCCTGAGTCGCTGAAGTCACCTAGGGTTAAGTCCATTAACACATCTATGATGAAGTTGAATAGAAAAGGGGATAATGGGCATCCTTGACGGACACCACTGGTCGTCACCAGTTCAGATGACAGCTCGCCGTAAGCCCTCACCTGGCTGTATGAGTACGAGTAGAGTGCCTTAATCAGTGCAATATATTTTCTTGGAATTCCCTTTACAGCCAAGCATCTCCAGAGAACTTCCCGATCGACAGAGTCGAATGCTGCCTTTAGGTCAAGAAATATAATGACTGTTGGACGCCGGTAGGAATGCCTATGTTCTAGAATCTGTCGGAGGGTGAAGATATGATCAATACACCCTCTTCCTGGTCTAAAGCCTGCCTGGCTCTCTCGTGTTTGTGTCTCCCGAGCACCACTCAGTCTACGCATGATTATTGAGCCTAAGACTTTAGATACTATATTAGTCAAGCTAATCCCTCTGTGATTATCACAGGAAGACTTGTCTCTCTTCTTGTATATGGGGATAATCACTGACTTACACCAACCCGATGGGACTTCTTCTGATTCCCAGACGCTGCCTAGTACCTCAGTTAATCCGGACAGTAAGCTGTCTCCACCGTACTTAAATACCTCTGGCGTCATTCCATCAGGTCCCGCTGCTTTGCCTAGTTTCAGATTGGTGACAGCTTTAGTAACCTCAGTTAGTGACGGAGGACCTGTGTTTATATCCCATTCAGGGAGGTGTTGGATGTTGGTAAGTTTGATGAAATGTTGACCGATTGCGTTGGTAAGCGACTTGGGTATCCTTGAGTCACAGACTTTTAGCTGCAAAATTTGTAAACACATGTACAGAGTTACATGCATCTTCCTGATCTTGGAACTAGTAATACCTTTTCTTGATTTCATGCATTCCTAATTACATTACTTTATCTACTATGAGGTCAATCCCTTCTCTCTCTAAAGTTAGTCACTTTATTAACAAGGAAAGAAGTCATCGTCTCTGTAAAACTAAAATGTCTTCTGTTCTTATAACTAATTAAAATACTTAGGAGGGGCATTGGTGGCTTGTCAATCACGTATGTGATCTGGGTTCTATTTCCGGTCGATGTATTCGTCAACCTCTCTTAGCCGGTAGTAGCCTCGGTGAATAGAAAACGTTGGATGTGAGACTAGCAGACTCACTGCTGCAACCCTGTGTGTTCCACTCAGAACATAAAAGAGTTTCAAAAAATACTTAAAACCTGTACATAATAAAAATGCATCTATTTAATTTTCTGTTTGTTTGTTTTATGTTTTATGATTTTTTTTCTTTTAGGCATACATCCTGATCGACACAGTCCACAAATGGTATCTTGGTTTCCATTGGTTTTTCCACTCGAGCATCCAATTTATGTGAATGCTGACAGTCAAGTTACTTTCCATTTATGGCGTCTTGTCAGTAATCGATATGTTTGGTATGAATGGGCTATAATAGAACCACAGCCTACAAAAATTCATAATGCAGCCGGTCATGCTTACAAGATTGCACTTTAATATGAGAATTAATGCTTATGCAAAAGTGTTTTGTACATAAGAGACAAATTATACATGTCATTTCATATAAACGTTATATAAATAAATATATATATATACTGTTGTTGGAGTGTTTTGTCTTTTTTATGATATGTAAAGCATATTCTGAATTTAAAACAAGCAATAAAGGTTAGTAAGGCAGGATTTAATGAATTCATCAAATTTTGGTAGAACTCATCTTCATCTGAATACTCTACATACACGGATATATATACTTTTGAAATTCCATTGGGAGATATAAGACTGATAAGTAAATAAACTACATTGAATTAATCATGTAGAAAGACAGGTGTGAATGTTTTCCAGGTCATGTTCAAATAGATAAGGGGAGAGAGGGAGAATGAGAGATTAAAATTAGGATAAATTGCATTACCCTTCAGTTACATCACTAAGATAAACAATTAGTCAATAGAGAATATAACAAGAATTGCAAACAGAGTAATATCAATAGTAATAGTTATAATAACAATAATAGTGTTGAAGTGAGTTAAGATAATCCTACTGACAAAGGATAATTTTAAATGAATCAATAATAATATTAAGAGGTAGAATAATAAGTAAAACATATTACCGTGGTAGATTCAGAGTGACGACCATCTCCTTTTGTACACAGAGACCTGGTTTATAAACTGGAATTGCAGAAACCTCTTGGTTCTTTGTCTGCTGACAATAGTGAATGACTTGACAGCGTCCATATCATGTCCGTAGTCCACAAGATGTTTTTTTATTGAGGATTTTGGCATTTTGCACTCAGGTGTCTTCAACCATTTTGGCAAATGCTCCATCATGCGAGTAGACAATCACCTTTCTGTACGACCTATGTATTTTTTCCATAAAAAACACACTCAAATTGATATACGCGGTTTGAAGTGTCGACTGGTCTTTCCCAGATTGTTGAAGCACTCGCTTAGTGGTGTTAGGGAAAACAAGTTTTGCAGCATAATAAGTTCTCTTGATGGCTTTATCGAGTCTTCGTTTGGCGACTTCCTGTACATCATCTCCTTTGAATGGTAAACTGATATAGACAGATTTCTTCGGAAATGTTTGAATAGTTTTGCAGGGGCTAATTTCTTTAGGGTATTTATTAATGAACTTCTCAGGATATCCATTCTTAGATAAAATATCCTTCAGAGATTTTATTTCGTGCTAAATAGTGCTGTCAGAACAAAAATTAATAAATGTTTTCAATATTCTGAATAGGCTATATATCTCTAGGATTCTGTAAAAACTGATCCCGATTTCTCATAGGAGTGGCTGTATATCATATCATATCGGGAGTCGTTTACTTTTTTAAATGGACCCAGAACCTCTTGATAGAATTTGTATGTCTTCCAATTATTGTGTGGTGACAGCTGGCTGCAAACCAAAAATTGTGGACAGCAACTTACGCCAATGCTATTTACGTTCCAAATCGGAGTCATGAGAAACATAAAACACTAATAAAGCTTAACCTTGAGCAGCTCACCAACCAATCACAGAAGACTTAAGGTGTGAAAATATGACTCGCAGGTATATGGCCTAACTTTCTGAGAAACGGTCACAAGCAGTACAGAATAACCTTCAGCAAGAAAACAACCAGTCAGAAGACGTTGCTTCTCCACCGACAATAATATACATAAAAATCTATAAGTATGTCTTGATTTTCTCAAAAAACAATCCGTTGTCTGGCCCTTGTTTTCGGACGTTACAACAGGATGTACTAATTCAGAAGTATAATTGACCTAATGATGATAGTTGCGAATAACCTTTCTACTCGAGTGCGTGAGTCGGGTAGTGCCTAGGAGGACTGACTAGTCACCGTATTATTGGTATTAAAACATTTGGGTGAAACTTGCAACGAAGATTATGAACAACATCCATGTGCTATACCGAGCCATCTTATTGATTTATTCGAGGCCGTTTCATTTTGGTGTCCACTATTCAAAATGTCACATTTGATATGATTACAGCATTCCTCTTAAGCATGTAATTAATTTTTTAAAGCATATGGGACTAACTACCTGAAGAAACTCAATTTTTAATTGACCCTTCTCTCCACTATCACACATAACAGAGGCGGAAATCATTGGGAAGTGAATTTGTTTTGACGATAACGCGCATTTACGAGTAGGTTTATGATGTGCTCTAACTAACAAAAATGGTTATTGCTGAGCTGTTTTATTCACGCAATAACATGAGTAATATAAATTTATTTAGATATCAGATCATTTATTTGTGGAAATTAGTAGAATTTTGTACGAGGTGCTTATTTGGATGGCTTCAGAGTTCGCCCTGTAGTCTGTCACACAAATTTTCGCTTCATACTCATTCATATCTAGGCGTTAGACTTGAAATTAATATATGTGTAAAACTTGGGCACTGTGCAGCCTTTAAAACAAAATTTGGTTTGTTTAATACCCTGCTGCTCCAATGATTTTCAGGTAAAATACATAGATCGAACTAGTAGAACTGGAGCAGTCAGACTAGCCAAGCATAAAAAGCTAGCAAAATCTAGATTGGTTAACCCGAATAAGATAAGAAATCTAGAGAATAGTTCGGCTATAGCGCTACATGCAATTACACACAACCAGACAATAGGATGGGATAGCATGACAGTTTTAAAATCTAATGTTACAGGTCACCGGAGACGTTTATCAACAGCTGCCCATTTCACTGGCTCCATACTGAAGATCAAATGGCAGGCTGGCCAGAAAGAATTAGCAACATGAAACTCTGGTTGGGAACAAACCAACATGAGAGAGCCGATTACTCAACAAATATATGCAGGAGAAAATGGAGATGGATCAGGCATACATTGAGGAGGCCGTCCAATGGAATCGCTCGAGTGGAATCCCAGTTGGAAGCGACCAGTGGGTCGTCGGTGCGAGAATGACATGGAGGCAATGAGGTTAAGGAGGAGGAGATTAAAGATTATGGTCAATCAGGGAGCTAGCCAGATGAAGAGGACAGCAGAAAATAGGACAAAGTGGAAATGTGTTGTTGAAACCCTATGTTCCACTCAGAATCCAAGCGGATTATTACACAATTTTCAAATATATCACAAAGATCTGCAGTATACTTTAATAGCATACACATATGTAGAGAAAAACCTAGTTGGCACTAAAACAGTCAACTTTTATCGCTTGTAACAAACTCTCCAAAATAGTAAAGAAATATTTTTTTTTGCAAAGTAAACTGTGCAACTCTTAACTTCGATAACTAAGTATTCCGCTGAAAGAAATTGTAAAAACAAAAAACCATACAACTAACGAAAAAGAAAGTATGAATGACATTGGTTTTTTCTTTTTAATTTACAATTTGATATGACGCAATCTTTCGCTGGAAATAAGACATTGTTACCCTAGAGAGCTAGTAATAAAATGATAACATTTGATTGTGAAATATCAGGCATAATACTGAAATTACTATGGAGTATTTAAATTGACAAGAGACGTCAACCAGGTATAATATTAAAAAAAAATGGCGAAATGACTAACATCTGAAGTGCTCCAACTACAGTTCTAAGCAATAAAAGATAACTTCTTCTGTGCATTAACTTATGAATCTCTTAGGTGTTACAATGTCAGAACTGACTAACTTCTCAACATAGGCTTTCGCACAAATACAAACCGAATGAGGGAAATTTTACAGAAGGTAATTATTAGATGAGTCAAGATGATAATATCTGCATTCCTGCTACATCTAAGGACATAAGAATAAGATGAAAATAGGACTTGTCAATAATTCTCTTCCTTGAAACTTCTGTGTCGTATAATGAGGAATCCCAGCTTTTGATCACAGAGTCTCTAATTTGTTGAAAAGGGGTGAAATTGGAGCACTGTGGTAGAGTTCAATTTCATGCCAGTTAGTCAACTTAATGTATCATGTGGAAAGAGACAGCACCATACGTCGTTTTCTTAACTAGAAATCTTATGCTGTCAACAAAATATGAATTAACCCACTAAAGAGACTGATTTCAAAAGTTTGAATTACAACAATAGGAAAATGAGCAATACATTGTACCCCACGAATTATTGAAGTTAGTTGGTTAGAGGCAATCGGCAAGAAGCTTGGCCTCGGACCTAGGTTTCGGGGCTAGTTGGAACTCACTAGTCAGCTAGGCGTATCTGCAATCTTGAAGGAACTCGTGTCCCACCCCTCTGAGATTCGAACTCGCGTCACCCAGTGAGTACTGCAGTCAGAGACGTTACCACTGGGCTATTCGGGCTATCGATTGACCTCCTGTAGGACTGTATTGGATATTTTTAATTGAACACTAGTCTGTAACTAGTGCAATGTGTGTAAGTCTAGTCCTATCTTTGGTGGATACTGAATTCTATCAGTCAAGTTTGAAATGTGGCCACCCTGCTAGGTACCAACTGATACGAAACCTAGGTCCAAGGCTTCTTGTGGCCGATTGCCTCCAACCATCTAATACCAACAATTCACAGTGCATCGTGACGATGAACCACTTAGTGGCATGGTGGCCACGTTGCAAACTTGACTGATATAATGCAGTCTGCACACATTACACTAGTTACTGACTAGTGCGGATGTCATCCAGGGAAATGCTGAGGATTCATCAAACAGACTAACTAGTAATGATATTGCTACCTCATGTTCATATCACGGTAAACTTCGCTTATTTCCTTATACCTCTTTTTATATATTGACTACAGCAACCAAAAACCGATGGCGAAATAAGCTTGATTGATTTTGGAAGCGACATTTCAACTCCGATTAAAAAATATATCCCCAAATGTCAGTGTGCAAGGATTTGATCCGTCCCTAATTTGATCAGGGATTAACATCAGAGATAAACAGAGAGAGCTATTAAAAAGCAGGGTGTGTCGTAACTCATCCCTAGGTTACGAGGCTAGCCCGTTACCCACTCAGCCATTTGGATGGAATACAATGGTTGATTTATCCTAACAGTCGAATACTAGTGACTGTAATCTTCTACGAGACATTTAGATATTTACAGTTATCGCTATGATCAATTTACTGAATCATCAGTCGGTTAAAATCTGCGTATTCAAACTAACTCCTGACTGCATATTTATAAATTTCAATCATACAGTAATAAGTAACAATGGTGAGAGTTGAAAAGGTGCTGTCAGAGGATTTCAAAGGCTTATTTTTACTCTCTGACTGTAAATAACGATATCAACTTTCGCAAATATGCTAGTCCACCACAGCTTTGTACCTACACTTTACAGGTGAGTCGTTTCATCAGACGACCAGTTAATGAAACCCACAACAGTTAGCTTAAGTTAGCCAGCCACGTAGGAAGGTATAGACTAGTTTCCCTGGTTGGGGTCCTCGGAATGGTTAAAACCAATGATGGCTGGAGGCAATTCATGATATGGCTCGAACTGATCGTTCTCAATGACCGACGCAGATGCATCCACTCCTTGTGACTTAGAATACTCAATGAAACTGTATTGTTCTTCCATATTACTATTCTTTTTTCCCTACACTTCTGTTTATTACCTTTCATTTGAATCTCTTTTTACTCTCTTCTCTCTCTTTGTGTGCTACGTGGAGCGAGTGTAGCGACTCGAACTGCTGTACATCAGTGCAAAGTTCTATGTTGAAACCAGTCATCAGACGATAAATATGTAGCGTTTCATATATAACAATCATATTCATATGGGGGCTGGGCAACTTTCATGTCACGAACTATATATGGTATAAGTTAGATCACGAAATAACTTCGTCGTGAGAGGTGTCTGCTAGCCGAAATTGGTAGACAGCAATTTACATCAATATTCACGTCCCCAATATTGGTGATGAGGAAAAACATGAACAAAGCCTAACCTTGAAAAACTCAACAACCAATCACAGTAGACTTTGCGTGGGCGGATACGATTCGCAGATATATGAACAGACTGTCTAAGAAACGGTAACAAGGAGATGACAGAATAACCTTCAGCAGGAAAACAGCCAATCAGAAAACGCTGTTTCCTTGTGACAATAATGAATAATAATAAACTATCTGTTTCCTGGCCCTCGTCTTCTGTCATTAAAACTTTATTGAAAACGACTGGAATATAGGGGGTACTGAGTGACTTGTTTTGACTGTGGTTGGGGGTACATCAGCAGCACAGAAACACGACCCTACAGGGAATCGAACCAATGACCATCGTGATTAACAATTTGAAATCAACCAAGTTCTTTCAAATTAACATTTGAAAATTAATCCGATAAACACTAGTAAATAACTACAAAATGAATTCACTTGAAGTACTGGCGAGAATTTATGACCAATAGGGTCGACCAAATTGGGTGTGAGAACTACTCACGAGTGACATTGGCTGGCGATTGTGCTATAATATCACGAAATAACGCGAAATTGGGATTCCATATTAGATAAGTTTGCTTGATATAACACATAAGTATTACTAACTCGGTGACGTTCCAAGCACAGTTCATACGGCTTCATAATTTGCTTTATATTTTCTCCCTTCCCTCCCTTGTTCATCGTAAGTTTCTACATATCCGGCATAGACGTTGCGACATTACGATATCACGTGTGAGGTGTTGATTCAATGGCTAACCTCTCTCTCTCCACCTTATTCTATATTACTTTCACCCTGTCCCACTTTACTGTGTGACTACACGCAAGTGAATGCATTGTAATGACCGAGCTTTTTTTCTAGGTTAATCATTCTATGTCTAGATGAATTTTCTGTATTCTAATAATTTAATTCACACCAACCTACTAGTTTGACCTATTGAATTGACCTCACCGTCATTACATGTCATTTGGTAAATTAGATCATATTTTTTTCAATGGATCTATAGGTTCCTTAAAACTATAAAGTAGATCTCTGAGAGAGTTAGTTGGCTTAAATATCACCCTAATTAAGAGTTCCACATAGGACTTTTGATTTTTCTTCTTTATGCGGGGTGGTAGTACCATCGACGCTTTAAATTCCTTACAATATATATAGTAAGAAACCATCAAGTGACATCACTAGACAAGCCCTCGAGTGGAACCTGAAAGGGAAGCGGCGTTTTGGTCATCCAAAGGTGACTTGGAGGAGGTCATGTGAGGAGGAGATGAAAGCATGTGGGCAGACCTGGAGCAGAGTGAAAAAGTTGGCAGGAAACAGAAGGCAATGGAGACGCGCAGCTGAAGCCCTATGTTCCTCTAGGAATTAAAGGATATAATAATAACAATATAGTAAGGAGTGCTGGACTGGTTACAAGGCTAACTAGCTCGTAGACGACCGTTAATCCAGTGGGACCCGATCCAGTGGCCAGCCCGTGAATTCTGACTTCTACCAATTCACGACATAGCCCGACCACTAGCCAATGTCATCCCCGGCGAGTATTTGTCCTCACACCTGACCTGCTTTACCCTACTGGTCACAACTTCATACTAGAATCCAAATAACTACATACCAGTCGCCAGTGAGCATCTCATCGATATTTAAGTGGTGAACCTACCCACCTTTACCGATTCTGGATGAGATAAACTAAAGTCAAAGTATTTATTAGAGAATGGGTCGGTTTTCTATAAATGCTAGTAAACAACCCGCCATCTTTTTTTCGCTTGATTTTACAGTCTAACATTCTAACATGGCCAACTTACCTTCTTCATTTTCTTACCCGCATTTAACCTTTTCTGCTCTTCCTAATGAATTCTATAAAATCGTTGGTTATTTGATACCAACGCTTCTTCTATGTTTTATTTCATCATTTAGATGTTTTGTTGTACTAATTAGTGTTGCCACCCCGTTTGTTAGACATTTAACTAAGCCTGCCTTCACAGACAGATAACGGATGTGATGAATTAAAATCTAAATATCCAATATTAGAATGCGCTGACTATTTATAAACGCTAGTGTGCAGTTTACCTTCTTCGATTCATTTTATTTTACAATCTAACATGGCTAATTTTCCTTGTTTAATTTTGCGAGTCAAATGTGAATGTTATTCCCTTTACTAATGATTTTATATGTGTTAAGAAGCTCGAGATATGTTTTGTTTTTAACACTGGGAAATGTGATGCACATGTCTTCACCATATTTTTGGAGTAGGATTAAATGTTCATAAAGATATCTGCAACCGTAGGAGATATTGGTGACCCATCCCATTGCTACACGTTTTGTTTGTCTGTATATTTTGCCCTGAAATTTAAAGATAGTAGATGTGAGGTATAACTGAATTCCTAAAATAATTTCTTCAATGAGTAGCTTCGTCCTATGAGTAAGTTAAGGACTAGCAGTTAGTTCTCTTTTAACTGCTTCTAAGGCCATATTGATTGGTATATTGGTATAATGATTAGTGATATCAAAACTAACCATTGTTTCATTATTCTCTAATTGAATGTCATTTAGTTTCCACTTCACTTCATATGAATTATTTAGCTTAGAGTTTGAACGATTTCTAATGGGACATAACATTATATAAGAGCTAAGTGTTTTGATAATTCATAAGTACGGATATTCCCGAAATCTTCAATTCGTCTAGTGAGGGCAACCTGGCTTATGTATTATAATAGTACCATATATTCTACTAGCATTATTAGTTCTACGCATTATAATTAAACCATTTGAACTCCACTCAATGACGGCTGATCATCACAATATATGCGATCAGCTTGAATACACTATAAATGGTAGTAGTGAAGAGAGCAAGCGAATTTGCAAAAACAAAAACTACATGCTAACCAATTTGATTTAGGTCTCAAACAGTAAGTTGTCCAGTCCAGTAACACCCTCGTTTCCTACTCAACTATAAAGCCTAATCCATGACGTAACTTGTGATCAGTTAAATTCCTTCACACCAAATCGGCGTAAATATTCAATATAAGCAAGAACAAGTAGAAAAAAATTGATTAAACTAAACAAATTCATCAATTGGTAAAGAAAACTTTATACACACTGTAAGTGGGTAAGGTAGGTAGGTAGGTAGGCAGGTAAGCAGACAGGTAGTCGTCAGCTGGCTAACTACTAACCAACCAGCCGACCAACATACATGCATGCGTACATACATACGTACATACATTAATGAGAATAAAACATTGAACAACAGATTGCGTCATAATTAATTAGTTAATTAATGAATACAGTTAGATAACTAATATAAAATTAGGAAGAAGAGAAACAATAAGAAAACAAAAGAAGGCTGAAGTGTTACTTTGCAAATGTGAATAATAAAAAAAACTAAATAATGCACAATAATCTCTAAAATAAAATAATAATAACAGTAAAAAGAGAAGGATTCACAAACGTTGATAGACGGATGGATAGGATAGGATAGATAGCCGCCAAATAACACACACACACTACAGACACACTGAAAAAGTTTATCATCAGTATTATATCAGCATTATTATCATTTAGCTGCAACATTTGTCATATATATCCATTTGTAAGTAGTATGCATGCATACATGCACATATTGAAGATAGAAGTAATAATAATAATAATAACGGTAGGGATATTAATAATAATAATAATATTATTAAAACATATATATGAATAAATGATAATAATAATAATAATCATAATAATAATAATAATGTGTTAAAACAAAGGGTTAGAAGATACATTGAATTTTATACAAACAAGTATATTAATGCAGGAGGGAGGGAGAGAAAACGAGGGAGGATTGGTAGATCGGTCAGTCGGTTCGTAGGTAGGTGAGTTTATACATTGATATCTGTCAGTCAGATAAATAATAATAATGTGTACATATACAGGTGGTGTGAGTATCATTCAAGTAATATATAAGTAAATAAAATATACCAAAGAAAGAAATAAAAGAAAACAAAAACAAGAAAACTAACTTTTAAGCTGAAATTAGCAAGTATATGTATAAAATCGTGTGAAATAATGTTGATAACTGCATTGAAGAATGAAAGTAGAATTATTGTGTGAAAAATAAACAAACAAAGTACACATTCGCACATACAGAGAGAGAGAGAGAGATTGCGCAAAGTACATATAATAACATAAAAGTAAGGGGTGTCATAATCATCATACATATATGCATTGATAATTATTTATGTACACACGCATACATATCACGTAATAAAATTCAATATAATGATATATATATATATATATATATATATATATATATATATATATATATATATTAAACAAGGAAAATAAGGAGAGAGAAGAGAAAAAACATATTTACACAGCCTATCATGAAGACAATTGTATTAAGAAGAGCATGAAGTATCTGATTCCACTGGAGTTGTTGTAGTTGCATCTACAATGAGATTTCTTTGTCCTTCATCATCATCATCATCATCGTCTTCATCATCCTCCTCCTCGTCGTCCTCCCTCTCACCATCATCGTCATCTTCTGCTTCTTCCCCTTCCTCCTCTCCCTCTTCCTCTTCTCCTTCTTCACCATTATCCTCTTCTTCTTCTTCACAATTTGAGAAACTTTGACCAACTTCACCACCACTGATCAGAGTATTATCATTCACGTCTACAGTCAATGATTCTTTTTTCTGTGATTTCTCTGACTCCATGACGTTGTCAATTGATTTTTCTGTTTCAGGGGGTATTTCATCAACTGTACTCAATGTTTTACTCGCCTCCACCTCCTCCTCCTGATCTTGCTCCTCCTCTTTGTGTTGGACATCATCACTGTTATCAGAGTCAATATGTTTTGCTAACCAATCAGAATGAAATTTATGCCATTTTTCTACAGGATAAGTTCGACAAGTCTTGAATTTTCAGAAGAAAAAAAATTATCAAAAACAAAAATAGTTTAAATGTATGACTACTTATGGATTCAATAAAGTTTATATATATACCTCGACTGAAAGATGAAGTACCTAAACTAGCCACTTGAAACTGTATCTACCAATTCAGCTGCGCTTGTGGAGCCAGTTATATTACCCGTTGCTCTAACAACTTGGTTTTTCGTCCTCGAGAACATATTCCAGGATGGCTAAGTAAAGGTATAGTTAAAATCATCAACATTTCGATATTTGATCATCTGGTCTAAACCGGCCACAAAGCCAGCCAGTGTGGAAGAATCCTTTTCTATAATCTACTGAGTGCCTAATAAATTGCCAAAATCACCGAAGCAACGCATGCTTCAGAAAGCAGAGGCTATTGCCATTTGCCTCAAACAACCAGTGCTATGTGTTCAAAAGAAGCAAGTACAGTCAGCCACTAATACTGCCCTGGCCAGCCTTCAGTAGAGACTATAAATTCATGAATTTGTAATATTTTCTTTGCTAATTTTTCTGACATTCAGCTTATTTTATGTTGATGCTATTTAGCTGTAATTTGTCAATATTATTGATTCGATGTTATTTAAACAACATTAATGTTGTTCATGATGAAATCCTGAAACCAATCAAATCCCTACAAACCAACACTTAAATACCAATGAGATGCTCACTGGCGACTGGCCCTATTCAGGTAGGTAGTTACCTGGGTTCCAGTGGGAAGTCGTGACCAGTAGGGTGCAACAGGTTGGGTGTGAGGACAAATACTCGCCGAAGACATTGGCTAGCGGTCGCGCTATGTCGTGAATTGGTAGAAGTCAGAATTCCCGGGCTGGCCACTGGATCGGGTCCCAGTGGCTTAATGGTATACGAGCTCGCCTTGTAACCGGAAGGTCCTGGATTCGAATGATGGCTGTGGGTGCGTACTGATGAAGAGTCCCAAACTAGGACGAAAAAGCTGTCCAGTACTCCCAGGTCTTCCAATGGTTCTCTAACTAATGTCAGCTCATGATGAAATCCTGAAACCAATCAAATCCCTACAAACCAACACTTAAATACTAATTCATTCATTCACTATAATGTATATATAGCTGTAGAGCTTGATGATGAAGAGGTTATCGAAAAGAGTACTCTTTGTTCAGTATCCATTCTTTTGAGTATATATATATATATATATATATTGAAAAAATTATAATTACATGAATAGGTCTGTTCAATATTTTGGTTAGAACTCCTACTGGGGTTAACTGTCACATTTACGGAAAATTGTTGTGCTGACGAAATGTTATAGTGGAGAGGGGATGCTATAGGTTGATCTGTCTGATTTGACTATAACGAGAGCCCCCCCCCAGCCCCAGACACGACAACACTAAAATATCTCTCTTTTTGGAAAAGATAAAATAGTCAGACTGGAAGGAAAAACGACAATCGGAACGATAACAACTGCAGCATTTATTAGACAAAATATGCGTTGTCATAGTTTCACCACATACAGGCAAAAAATACCGGTACATATCATGCTACTGACAATAGTTGGCTAACAGTAAGAATTATATCCATTGATGTATCAGAGCTGAACTAAGGACCTTAAAAACGAACAACAGCACTCCTATTAGTTACAGGATTTCATTATGAGCTGACGTCGGTCAAGGAACCATTGGTAAATCTGGGAATACTGGACAGCTGTTTCGTCCCAGTTTGGGACTCCTAAGTAGTACGCACTTACCGGGGTTCGAACCCAGTTATTATTCAGACCCTACTTCCACGTGTTTACAATTGATATGTTTTGTATCTAACATCAACAACATAAAATATTGATCTTTTGATTACGTAGTATTCTCTGAGCTGGTTGATTTAATTGCAAAGGTTTCATTGTCCTTCTTGATAACATCCACAGAGCGAGGTAGAAGGACAGCGAAACCTTCACAGTAAAAATCAACTAACTCAGAGAACACTACCTATATCAAAATCACCTACTAGATCTACGAATCTCCCATAATATTTCAAAATACTGATCTCCATGTGTAAAGTATAATGTAACTAATCAGAATCAAATTTATTCGAAGAATTCTAAAAAATATTCAATGCTCAGTGATTGAGCCCCATCGTCACCCCCACTTTGTCTATATTACTGTGACAGACAGATGATTCACCACTGCAGGAAGAGTGAAACCACACTACGACGAACAAAACTCCGTGAAATGAGAAAAAGTTTAGAAAGTAAGGTAACTGAAGTTATATATACACACACATCAAACCCCATGAACGATGTAGAGTTTATTATACTCACCCGTCGTCTAGGATATCGAACGAATATTCCATAAGAACCAACAGACCAATTTATTTTATGATTACGTGTAACTCTTGAATCTAAACGTTCAGTGGAATGCATGCAGTCACTTGAAAAGGTATTACGGAAGAGCTAAGATTTAAAACAGAAGAAAAAACAGTGTTATTTCAAATGTATGTACACTATTTCCAACGCTATTGATTGAAGAAAAAACAAATTATTGTATGCTAGACACAAACAATAAAGTATTGGGTTTTAATTACTCAGTCCCTTTTGACAAGAGAAACTCAGCAAGGTAGTTAGTAATTAAACATGTTATACTCTACAAAACGATATATCTATATTTTTCGAGGGAAGAATTGTAAAATCAATAAGTTCTTATAGATTAGTATGCATAACTATTCATTCAACCTCAAAAACCAACAACCAAATAAAATAAACATCTATGGGTAAAAGCGCGTATTGTTCCCTTGGGTTCCGAGTGGAACATAGGGCTTCAACAACACATCTCCACTTTGTTCTATTTCCTGCTGTCCTCTTCAGCTGACTAGCTCCTTGACTGCGCGTAATTTCACACCTTCTCCTTACTACACAATCTTCTCAATGACACCTTCCCACTGACGACCCATCATTTGGATTCCACTCAAGGCCCTGGGGCGTGATGTCATTCGACGGCCTACTCAGCGTATAACCCGGTCCATCTCCACTTTCTTCCACATATTTTCTGCGCAATCGGCTCTTGGTTAGTTTGTTTCCAGAGTTTCTCGTTGCTAATTCTTTCTGGCCATTCGATCTTCAGTATGCAACCAGCGAGATGGTCAGCTGTTGACAAAAGTCTGCATCAGACTGTTGGAAAGGCTTTTTCTTGATGCGGTAAGTTTCTTACCGACATAGAAGTAGTTACTTGGCATTGTTTGAGTACTTTGGTAGAGTACAATTCGATTTCTGTCTTGTTTTGTGTCGCATAATACATCATTGATAGAATATTATATACTTGATAAACAACTAAAAAACAATAAGATGGGAGTTAAGAAGCACTGTTTACTTCAGTCTACGTCAGTTAAATAGATTCACTTTTTTTAACGATAGGATAGGGGTTGAAGCACGTCCACCTCTCAACTAGACAAATACTAAAGTAGAAGGGGGTAAGGAGTACTTATGATTTCCCTAATATGCATATGTATGCATGAACTATTAGGTATTTAGCTAAAAAAAAAAACTACCGATTAAAATTGTTTGTTTACCCAGGTGAATAATTATAGTAGGAAACGCAGTATAATTTTTAACAAACAAGAATGAACACTTCTTTTAATGTATGTTTGTTACTATATGCAGTGTACGTCGGGAACAATGAACAAACTCGAATAAAAGTACTCAAAATAAGCGTTGGATACATCAAACCGATATTACAGACGAAATTAGGACTAGCTTTAGAAGAATAAAGTTTTAAAAAATAGTCTTAACCAAAAAACCGACAAATATGAATAGTTAGTACACTTGACATAAGAGGAGTCTACCCTACAGTACAGCAACTACTCTAGGATTTCAATACAATCATGAATATCTTCAAATATCACTAAATTAATCAAGGTGTAGGTACTGATGGTCTTTATAGCTTTAGGCGAAGTTAAATTATCATAACCAAAGTCAAGATCTTTCAAGAGTTGACCTTCAAGAACTGATCAGACACAGGTATTATTATGAAATGGACTGAGGATTTCATTACGAGCTGACATCAGTTAGATGTCCACTGGAAAACCTGGGAGTACTGGACAGCTGTTTCGTCCAGGTTTGTGATCCTTCAACAGCACGCACCCGCCGGGGTTCAAACCCATGGCTGATGAAGAGTCTCAAACTAGGACCAAACAGCAGTCCAGTACTCCCAGGTTTTCCAGTGGACATCTAACGGATGTCACCTCATGATGAAATCCTCTATCCAATCAAACAAAATCCCTACAAAACGAATACTTGAAAATACTATGAAACGGCATTCCAAATCAGATCATGCCTGTCTTTTGGGACATGAAGAGGATAAATACAGTATTCTACTTCTTTCCTACGTACTTTTTCTGAAAATCTATAGTATTAGGTAGGGTTATGGCTTTTAAGATTAAGGTTTAGGATTAAAGTTGAGATTAGGAGTTAGGATTATGATTGGAGTTAGGAGTGGGTTGGCGAATAGTATCAGAAATCTCAATGTATCTCAAGGTACCATGACCTACACGGTCACTTAGATGAATGGGGTATATTGCGCATGCTATTATATCTTTATAAATCATCTATGTATTGACATAAGCTACAAATATACAATGTAATATCAAGTTTACGATATTTTTTCATGTATATTTTGCAACGATTATGCAACTTTTGTGCATCTGAATTCTGATTGGCTGTTCAAGATCATCATGATTTTGGGGGCTATGATAGTTTAACTTTGCCTAGCTTTGAAATCTGAAAGCAATTCAAAGGTGTTTGGAAATGCTTTTGCTTGCAAAAGTAAAAACCATTATTTTAATTGAGAAAATTTATAGAGCTAAGAATTTGGTGATAATATAATAGATTCAAATGTTCAAAAACAGTAATTCATGCGAAAATATGAAATGACATTCAACATAATAATAGACAAATACATACACATCTAAAGATATCAAGAGGAGGCGAGACAACACAAAATAAAAATGGCACATACTTCTTTATGTGTAAGATCATTTCTGAAAACGCGGATCATGAACTCCCAAACATCTCTTTCAAAATTAGATGTACTAGGAGATTTGAATCGTTGTTCCTGATTCTCCGAACTACCAACTGATTCAGTAGACTTTTCACTAGTAGAGGCTATTCCTTGTGCTATAATCTAAAGTAATAATGAATAACAAATAATAAGAATTGTTAAATTGGAATAAAACAACAGAATCACATATAAACTTCTGTTGATACACCTAATTTGTGGATGGTGACCAGCAGTGGAATCCAGGATAACGCGCATTTCATCCTATTTGGGACTCGTCAGCTGGATGTACTTGCATCTCTCAGTGAGTGGCTCGAACCCAGTGACCATAGTTTCAAACGCCAAAGCGTTATCCACTGGACCACTTGGGCCACGAGAACCACCACCTCTTGTGCAACGGGTCATATGAATTACTGAATTGAATTTTTTAGATTTTCCCGTCCATTGATTGGACCGACGTGCTCGGTCTCAGGTTAACAACCTAATAATACTAATTAAATGCCCAGACATCGTCGAAGCATTTGCACAAGAACTCAACATGTCAACCTGAGACCGGGCACTTAGGTCCAATCAATCGACGGGAAAATCTAAAATTCAACTAAATTCTGTTGATACACTTTAAAACTTGTCATGTTTGAAAGTTTAGTTATATAACTCGTTAGAGTACATTTTCCCCTAGACTATCATCATGTTGTAGTACATCGACGGAAGAATTTTGAAGTCACTTTTTAGGCAGATTAGTTTACATTTTAAGGAGGTGTCACAGATGATAATCGAAAAGCAAGACAAACCATTCTGTCTGTCTGTCTGTTTTCGACATAGAACTTTGCACAAATGTGCGGAAGTTCAAGTCGCCACATTCCGTGTAGCACGCGAAGCAAGAGAAGAAAGTACAAGAAAAGCATAATAGAAACAGTGAGCAAAGGTGTGAGACAAAGGAGTAATAAACAAATACAAAACAGTTTCATTGGAGATCATAAGTCACAGGGAGTGGATGCATCTGCGCCACTGAGAACGATTTTGAGCCATGTCACCAATTGTTTCCAACCATAGATTTTTACCGTCCCGAGGACCCCAGCCTGGAAGTCTACACCTTCCTACGTGGCTTAGACCAACTGTTGTGGATTTCATTGACTGATGCCAAGTTTTTGTTTGACCGCCGCTAGCTTTTTTCCAGCCTGACCCTATATCCGCTAACATTGCTCGTCGAGGGAGGCGATGACTTGGCATACGTAACACATGTCCTAACCATCTCAGTCTTTGTAACTTCACGACTTCGTCGATTGATTTCCCCTGTTTACCTAGAACTCGACGCCTAACCTCAATGTTGCTCACCTTATTATGCCACTTTACACGGGAAATAGAACGCAGGCACCTATGATCAAAGACAGCTAGTCTTTTCATGTCTTCCACTCTCAGTGGCCAGGTCTCACAGCCATAAAGGAGGACGGAGCGGACTGATGAGCAGTACACCCGCCCTTTGGTCGATAGTCGAACATCTCGTCTACGCCAGAGTCGGCGTAAACTGGCAAATGCGAAACGACCCCCCTGTATTCGTGCTGAGATTTCGTCAGAGATCAACCCGTTGGGACTGGCTGATGGTACTTCCCAAATAAGTGAAGCGGTCAACGTGCTCTACCACTTCACTTCCTATTTTTAAACTAGGCGTCGATGTAGTCCAGTCCTGTAACATCATCTTGCATTTGGCGGGAGCGAATCGCATGCCAAACATTCGTAGATTGCGGCTCAAGGTGTTTAGAAGACTCTGCATTTCGTCAGCGTCTTCGCCTAGAAGGACTATATCGTCTGCATATTCCAAGTCAACGAGATTATTACCCGGTAGCAAGTCAATCCCTGAGTCGCTGAAGTCACCTAGGGTTAAGTCCATTAACACATCTATGATGAAGTTGAATAGAAAAGGAGATAATGGGCATCCTTGACGGACACCACTGGTCGTCATCAGTTCAGATGACAGCTCGCCGTAAGCCCTCACCTGGCTGTATGAGTACGAGTAGAGTGCCTTAATCAGTGCAATATATTTTCTTGGAATTCCCTTTACAGCCAAGCATCTCCAGAGAACTTCCCGATCGACAGAGTCGAATGCTGCCTTTAGGTCAAGAAATATAATGACTGTTGGACGCCGGTAGGAATTCCTATGTTCTAGAATCTGTCGGAGGGTGAAGATATGATCAATACACCCTCTTCCTGGTCTAAAGCCTGCCTGGCTCTCTCGTGTTTGTGTCTCCCGAGCACCACTCAGTCTACGCATGATTATTGAGCCTAAGACTTTAGATACTATATTAGTCAAGCTAATCCCTCTGTGATTATCACAGGAAGACTTGTCTCCCTTCTTGTATATGGGGATAATCAGTGACTTACACCAACCCGATGGGACTTCTTCTGATTCCCAGACGCTGCCTAGTACCTCAGTTAATGCAGACAGTAAGCTGTCTCCACCGTACTTAAATACCTCTGGAGTCATTCCATCAGGTCCCGCTGCTTTGCCTAGTTTCAGATTGGTGACAGCTTTAGTAACCTCAGTTAGTGACGGAGGACCTGTGTCTATATCCCATTCAGGGAGGTGTTGGATGCTCGGAAGGTTGAGCGTGGCTGTGGGCAAATTAAACTGCTCCTCATAATGCTCTTTCCAACGATCCAGTCGTCTATCCTGGGAGCTAATTATAGTGCCATTTTTTTCCGAGATTGTCTCACTGATGATTTGTCTTCTCCCACACGTTTCCCTGATGAGTCTAAAGAGTTGCCTGGTGTTGCCTATCCTCGAAGCTTTCTCCATCTCTTTGGCTTTTGTCGCCCACCACTGTTCACGGTCCTTGCGGAGACTTTTCGTAAGTTTCCTCTTGTGCAGCTTTCGCTCCTCATTGAATTCGGAGCTCGCCGGAATAAGTCTTCTAGCATCTATCAGTTCGGATGAGGAAATCTCCTTCACCCAACATAAAGAACAAGATCCGAATTTTCAACACACATTTCTTCTACATATAGTTCAAAGACGTGATGCGTCACTGAAAAGCGTTCTTAAAAGGCTACTATATAATTTCATCAACAGCTGCCTTGTTTTTGCTCGATGCTGAAGATCAGATGGCCAGTTAGAAAAGATAAGCAGGAGGAAGGAACTCTAGGATGAACTAACCATGCCTAACAAATATGGCCAAAGGAAATAGAGATATTACGGGCACATACTTGAGGAGAACCACTGTGACTAGGCCCCTGAATGAAAACAGAATGGTAAATTACTAGTTGGACGTCCAACGTGAAGTGGAGGAGATAGTATGAGGAGATGAGAGTTTATGGACAATCGTGAAGCCAGAGAGAACAGGATAAAATCGGGTGCTGCTAAAACCTCTTATTTGGAACCCGAAAGAATAATAGTGATAATAATACTCATATGCAACAGCCACAAAATGTTCGCAGGCTATATACAGGGGAAAAAAGCCGCATACATGTCAACCATAGATATATTGAGTGATAATCGTTTAATAGTTGTAAAAATCTTAGTTTCATTATTGATTACAGTAATTCATGCATAAATGAGGTTATTGTCCAACAACAAAAAATAACAACATAGACATAGCATCTTAGCAACTTCACTTTTTAACGTACACTAAGAAGTCAAAGATAATCAATACCTTGACCCTGAACCAATGAGTGACTAATTACCTAAGCCATTGATTACATATCAATTCGAAAACCTTCAGACCTAAATTTTTATTTAGAATTAAAATTCAGTAGAGTGACACAAGAAAGACAGCACGCGTTAAAGAAATAAAATCTATTCAGTGCATAGGTGGTTCAATAATAGACTGCTTGCCAACCAGACACACGTGGTTCACGTACGACTCCTGGTCAACGTAATCCCTAATCTTTGCTTAGCCAGCAGTGAGGAAGGAGGGGATTACACGCATACGGCTAAAGAAACCTCATCCTGCTATCGAAACTTTAAAGCTCAAGTTTGAAGTTGTATGTTCCACTCAGAGATTGCAAAGGAATGAAGGAAACGTGAAACTGAGGTGAAACTTAATCCAGCTTAATGTCAGGTAGTCTATTTCAGTTTCAGACGTAAATGTGACCTACAGCAACTAGTTAGCTCACATGGCCGCACTATCATTGACGGCACAGAGGTTGAAAATACATCTAATGTCAAGTACCTTGGGCTGAGTTTTTCCACCGATCTTTCCTGGTCTTCTCACATCTCGCTAGTTACTAGAAAGATGTTTCGCTTAATGTTCTATGTTAGGAAATTTAGGCAGTCTGGCATAAAGCAGTCTTTGCTTTCTCAGTTTGTAAATTCTTGTATTCTACCCATTCCCCTTTACTGCTCCCCATTAATCTTTCCTGGACTACTTAAGAAAGACTTTGCTTCGCTGAAAAGGGCACTAAAAGCCGTCAGTAGGGCTAGTGGGATATCGGTAAACCAACTGGTTAACACTATTGTAGATAGACATATTATATCATGTAAGAAACTAGCGAATACAATATTGTCGGACCCCGAGAATCCTCTCTATACGCAGCTGTCTCCTTGCATTTCATCTGGTAGAACTAGAAGCAGCTATAGGAGGCTGGCTATATGCTAGGACTACCAAATACAAAAACTCCACAATACCATATCTGGCACAGCTGTTATGTGATGAGAAATCCATTAGGTATGACACGATAAACTTACTGCGGCACTCTAACAAATAGTCCTATTAGTTTTTGTTTTCCTTTCTTCGTTACTAATACACTGTTGTTCTCATCTTCTATCACACATCAACTTTATATTTCATATCCTGTGGTGCATTGTTTGAAATGTAAACTCTACGCTGTTTTTTTATTTATTTTATTTTTATTTATTTATCTTTTGATTTTTAAAATCTTATATGATTTATGAGGTAATTAGATGCAATATACTGTAATGGACGCTCAAAATATTCCATACCTGTACCGCAAATACCGTTTGGAATAAAGCTGTTACTATTATTATTACATTTCTGTTTATGTCTTTTGAATCTCCCATTACTCTCTTCTTCTGCTTTGTGTGCTACACTGAGTGTGGCAACTCGAACTAGTGCACATTTGTGCAAAGTTCTATGTTAAAACCAGTCAGTCAGTTACCGAAACCAATGAGCGAAAGGTCCACTGATATATAATTTCCTAAATGACAGCATATGGAAAAAAATTCATTCTAAAGCTAAAATTTAAGCAATTCATAAGAAATTAACGATTCTCATTATTTCTAGAAAACAAAAAAACTTACTTCTTCAGGTTGTGTATCTCCTGTCTGAATTACCAACTGTTGTCTTCGTTGAAGTGCGGTACGTGTTAAAGCATTCACACATTTACGGACAGTACGATATAAAAATACTGGTAAAATGCGTGAACATATATTGTGCGGGACATATCCAAGAGTCCAAGAAAGATGAGTTGTAAGATAGTCATGCCAATGACGAATAGAAACACCTGATTTCAATTTTTCTCTGTGCAAAAATTCACGATCTGAAGGATTAGAGATGTCTGAAGGAATAAAATTTGTATGATTAGAATAGAAGCATGTATCATGACCTTTCTCTGATTCACACTTAGTTGGATGAGCAGGTTTCATTAGACGAATAAGCATAGTAGACGCTTCTGAGAGTACCACAATTAAATAACAATTAGGCCATGAATTAGGATTATTATTATTATTGTTGTTATTATTATTATTATTATTATTAAAAGTATTTGTGTTGCTTTGTCCTGTATTGGATGAAAATGAATTTCCAGAACCTGAACCAACATTGCAAGAGCTATTTGAACCAGCAAAAGAAGAACAAATAGCCATAGCCTGAGAATGATATGCACTCTCATTTGCCAATCGGCAGACACGAGTATACAATGGACCACAAACGTCCCTAGGAAGAACAGAAAATAAAGATTGACCATTTTCAGATTATGAACAATCATACGAAAATCGTAAATACTCACAATGCTAATGACCACATACAGCATGTGACCCTACTTTTGAACCAGTAAATAAAAAAACCAAACTATCAATTATACTTTCAAACAAATCCTAGAAATGAAAGGACATAGTTGAATTTCAACCCCCCTTAATAAAAATGCTAAAGTGAAATTACACACCTATACTTATGTTCTCTAGGGAATATGAATGCAACAATTTGTCAACAACCAAATAAACTTACGAATACTGAGGAAAATTTGAAACAGAATTATTCAACTGTAGGCCTCGATCATTGTAAGCTGAATTACCGATCCAAGAGCGATGTAAAGCTGTCAATCGACGACTTAATTCATCCCCACTGGTAAGTGCTTGCAATTGACGGACTATATTAATTATAAGACGATCCATAGTAAACCATGGATAGGCATGTATTCCAAACATATCACGTAATCTATCCTCATAGGTGTTTATATCCTCTCCACCATCCAATAGATCTTTAACCAAATTAAGAGCATGAGTATAATATTGCGAGGGATCAGTACCACCTGAATATTTGGAAAACAAAAACCATGTAACGTGACAGAGTGAATTTGCAACAAACATTAACTTTACACCAAATTTCTGTTGTTACTGTTGTTGTTTTTTGAACCCTTATAATCTTAAAATTTCTACTAGAATGAATGACAAATTAAAAACGTATAAGTCAACAAGGAAGATGGGTTAATTAAGAGTAAATATTGAAGTGTATATAGACACTTCAATACCATCATTTTTGTGATGATTTTAAGAACAATGTAAATTTTTTTTCAAAAATGTAGGTTAATCCATAAGTGTGGCCTGATACTCGTTTGGACTAGAATCAAATGCATTTAATTAGTGTCAGCTGATTCACAATAAACATAATTTAGCTTCAATCTGTAAAATCTGAATAGACTTTATGAATAAATAAGGGCCAATAAAAATGGCAAGCTTGTGTGTATGACTTAATTCTTCGAAATTACCAATTTCAAAAAATGAAAGCATTAAGAAGCCATAATGAAGCGGAAATTCATTATTTGTATAGAGCCAGAAAAAGTTTCTGTAGAATAAAGTGGTATCAACATTTATTTCGTTGCCTTCTCATCAGATGCTTACAGGCTAAAGTGATTATTAAATAAATCTACAGAAACAATTTCAACATACTTGCAAACAGTTCATTTTTCTGTTTCTTGAAAAGATGTTAAAGAGCAATGGTTACCCTCAAGGATTCATTAACAAGTATGGAAGATCTGAAGTCTCAAATGTAGAACAAATCACAGTGGAGAAAAAGCCAATCTACATTCAGCTTGACTATAAAGGTGAAAACATTGCAGAAGACTGAGTATGTCACTAGCCCGAGTCTATCCTGCAGTTAAGCTCGTTCCCGTCTATCGAACAACTTGCTCTTTAATGCAATCAAAAATCGATAGATATCCTCCTCATGTTAACTCCAACTGTAAATACAAATTTACGCGTATATGTGGGAGCAGTTACATTAGAAGGACAGAAAGAACGGCATATCTACGATTTTCTGAACATGTACCAAAAGGCTTATGTCTAAAGGGAACAAATGCTTCAAAAAGTGCTATCGCTAAACATCTCCTTGACACGGATCATGAGGTGGACGTCGAAGTCGTACAAAATTATCAATAGGCAAAAGAGCTTAATTCTCCTTAAGTGTGCTGAAGCCATTTCCATCAAGCGCCTGAAACCTGACTTATGCGTCCAGAAAGAAGCGGTTATCAGTCTTTCTTCGCCCTGGTAACTGGATATTTTCATCTCTTTCATCTGAATGCGTAATGCTGAAATGTTTCCATTGTGTATGATTATTATTGTTCAGAATAGTGCTTAATATTACATATATATATATGTATATTATTACTCTGTGCATATATTGATCGACTGACTTTAGTTTAAAATGAACTCTCTGCAAGTATGTTAAAATTGTTTTTGTAGATATATTCAACAATGTCTTTGGCCTGTAAGCAGCTGATGAGAAGGCAACGAAATAAAAGATGGTACCACTTTATTCTGCAAAAACTGTAGTTCTTGCTTTGTTCAAATTCATTGAGGGAAATAAATGTATGGAATTCATCCTTGATGAAGATCGGATCCCAAGTTCCTAAGTTCCAATTCATGGCATAGCGCGACCATTCCGCAATGTCTTCTTCGATGAGTCACTGCTCCACCCTACTGGCCACTGCTTCCCACTAGAATCCCAGGTCACTGCCTGAATAGGGCCAGTCGCTAGTGAGCATCAGATTAATTTTCAAACCCCGGCAGGTGCGTAGTGATGAAGAGTCTCACACTAGGACCAAACAGCAGTCAAGTACTCCCAGGTTTTCCAGTGGTTCTTTAACTTATATCACCTCACGATGAAATCCTCCATCCAATCAAACAAAATCCCTACAAAACCAATACTTGAAAACTTAAATAATTGTTGTTCGATATATACATATGCGGAAGTTCATTCAATCAATTTACATAATATAAAACTAAACTACAATGGCTATCAAGGAAGGTGCCACACAATATTTGATAGTTTATGCGAGAGCTAGGATACAGCTTGGACACCCAGACCGAAGCACGTGACTAGTCATAAGGGGACGCTCCTTCCCCAATTAGTGACTTGAATTCTGATCCATAGAGCAGTGGAACAGTGTTCCCATGACTTCCAATGGTTCATACGCCATTCGATCGATTCGGATTCTCCAGCCCATGTACACCATAGGTTTGAGGTCAGGGTTTCCACGTCCGCTAGACGTCCGGATTCGCCGTTTCACTTTTGTGAGTAACACTCCAGATCCGTGAAGGTATCGTACAGAAATTACCTTACAGAGGCTATGGACGCATGGCCAAATGAGAATATTCCGAGGGTAAGACCGAAGCTATTCACCTTTGGCCGTATCATAAAGGAAGAATCGGACTATATAAACCTTGATTTATTTATTCATCCCAGTGGAAATAATCTACTTCTCTTACAGACAATAAATAAAAGAAGTAATAATAATTCCGGTAGTGAGGTAAAAATACTTCACGGTTTTTCGTCTTCATTTCACACTAGAAATACATATTTCAAGATCAAAATTCAATATTCTCTTAAGTTAGGTATTTAGTAATGAATAACATGAGTTATTATGACAATTGTATCAGCATAAGTTTTCAATCATTTACGTATAACCATAATGTGTCAAATATTTCTTAAAGATTTACCGTATCTACGAAGATGAAGTAATTCAGCCGCTTGTACATGATATTCATCTTTGTCTAAAACAGCTTCTTGAACAGCTGTTGCACCACGAGTACGTAGATGATGCAATCGGCACAAAAGGAGATGATGAAGCCTTAAAAATGCATACCTGAAATGAAAATTGTTTTAAAAAAAACAAAATCAGTTAGTACAATTATTATTCATGAGTGGATTGGATTCTCTAGATTATATACAAAATAATACGGTTAATCAAAGTGAAGCAATGAAGCACACAAAATCTGATGATAACTGCCGAAGTTTCTAGGGGTTTGAACAATTCCACATCAGTAGATGAGAAGGATTTTTTCTCTAAATAATAATAAATGCCTGTGTCTGTCTGTTTGCACCGATGTGCACCAGTTCAAGTTGCCACACTCCTTCCTTGTAGCACACAAAGCAACGGAAGAAAGTTGAAGAAATGCATAACAGAGACGTGCGTCGGTGGAACAGCAGTTAGGGCGCTCGCCGACCATGTACACGGTCCGGGGTTCGACCTCCGGCCGACGCACTCCGACACCTCGCTAAACCAGAAATAATCCTGGTAAAGAGGAAAGGCTGGGCATGGGCTAGCAACCGCATCCTGTAAAAACTAAACACTGCTACAGAAACTTCAAGCCTCTAGCTTGCAGCCCTATGTTCCACTGGGAACGTGAAGGAAAAATTATTTATTTTTTTTTATAATAGAGACAGTAAACAGAGGTGTGAGACAAAGGAATAGTAATATCGAAGAACAAAACAGTTTCATTGGAAATCATAAGTCACAAGGAGTGGATGCATCTGCGCTAGCTAGTCATTGATGACGATCACTTTGAGCCATATCACCAACTGTTTCCAACCATCGGTTTTCACCGTCCCGATAGCCCCAACCAGTCAAGAAGTCTATACCTTCCTAAGTGGCTTGAACTAACTGTTGTGGATTTCATTGACTGGTGCCATGTTTTGGCTTAACCGCCGCTAGCTCTTTTCCAGCCCGACCCTATGTCAGTTAACATTGTCCGTCGAGGAAGGAGATGACCAGACATACGTAACATATGTCCTAACCATCTCAGTCTTTGTAACTTCACGACTTCGTCGATTGATTTCCCCTGTTCACCTAGAACTCGACGCCTAACCTCAATGTTGCTCACCTTATTATGCCACTTTACACGGGAAATAGAGCGCAGGCACCTATGATCAAACACAGCTAGTCTTTTCATTCACCCCACTCTCAATGGCCAGGTCTCACAGCCATAAAGGAGGATGGAGCGGATTGATGAGCAGTACACCCACTCTTTGGTCGATAGCCGGATATCACGTCTACGCCAGAGATGGTGTAAACTGGCATATGCGAAACTAACTCTCTGTATCCGTGGTGAGATTTCGTCAGAGGTCAACCCGTTGGGACTGGCTGATGGTACTTCCCAAATAAGTGAATTGATCAACGTGCTTTACCACTTCACTCCCTATTTCTGAACTAGGAGTTAGTGTAGTCCAGTCCTGTAACATCATCTTGCATTTGGCGGGAGCGAATCGCATTCCAAACAAATAATAAATGCAAGGTGTTTGCGATAAATCATATGACGGAGAGAAAAAATGCCTAAAGGGAATAACGGTATACAATGTCACACACCTGGAGAGAAAACGCAACACAAGCATTTGCCGAAGAGAGAGCCGAATACGCTAACACTTACAACAACACTCGAATGTAGTAATCTACTGAAGAACTTAACTAATAGTCTACAACTATAATTTAAACCTCATGGTAAGTAGTGTGTCACTGGTTACAACTTGATGTCCTTAAGCCTATAGATTTCAAGCATACCACCACCGACTTTTGCTGGTTGACGAAACCCTCATTCAACATCAACATTAAAAACATTGAAGCTTTTTTAACAGTACATTTGCAAGATTATTACTGACAGTCTATGATGATCGTTTTAGCCAACTAGAATATATTTGTGAGGTAGATTAATCACATAATAATGGAGATTTGTAGCTCAAATGGATGATTTTGATGTAGTTGTGTTCTCTGACCTGGATAGTTTACTATTGTGAAGCTTTAATTGCCTTTACACTAGGCAACACCTTCAAAGCACACTTCAATTTAAAGTAGACTAAACATGATTGAAGCAATACCAACTTAGAAGTTCTAAAGAAAGAAAGCGGTTTTTTTCGATGTAGTGACTGATGAATCCATGCAACGTATACTATGCTGCAATCATACAAGTGTGTGGGGGGGCGTTAGTTTGGATACCTATTGTGTGCGATATAGTCTAAATAAACTAATCTTACAACTTCAGTGGGTACTTTTTTTTAAATGTGTTTTTCTTAATCTCCTACAACTTTCTATTACAACAGATATCTTTACTTTTCTTCAATAAGTCTATATGAAGTGGAATAACCTACTATACATAGACATGTAGTTATATGTTATATATGATTCCATATATTTCTCAATACAATAATAGACAACAATAAAAAAAGCATAAAAACGTATAAACCTGAGTTCATTTTAAATCATATAATCAATCAATAGACAAAGTTTTGAAGAAAAAAATCAACAGTACATACGCAAAGCAAACAAACTAACCAGTGATTATTTCCATATAGTACAGAATAGTATTCCTGTTTGGGCAAATTAGACATACAACTAAGTTCCGTATTACGAAGTTCATTAACGGAATTTTCTAAATTATTATTATTATGACAAGATCTGGAGATGTTTTGTGTAGATAATCCAGGTGAATTATAATTTGTATCATCTGGTTTTAGTCGGTTAGATGATAAACCATCATCAGTTTTTACAATAAGTGGTTCTGTTTCCATTTTTACATTATCTTTACGAGTTATATCAGATTCATCAGAATGATCTATAACCGATGATGATGTTGTTGTCTCTTCCCCCGGGAATAGTAGTTTACGAGATTCGGGGAAACGTTTTGATAATTTAAAATTTCTTCCTGGTCTATTACGACAACCATCATCATTATTTTCGCCTATTTCATCGATTGCCTCTTCATCCTCCTGTTTTTGATCGATATCTTCATCTTCATCCTCCTCATCATCTTCATCATCTGACATCGGAAAACGATTCGCCATAAAGATATCTTGTAGTACAGTTCTTACCTGATTAATAGATAGACAAATAAATAAGTGGAGTATAAAAAACATTATTAATGGAATGTACAGTAAAACTTTCCAAGTCCAATAAGTGTAAGTAACACCATTCTATACCACAACTGATTGAATAGTTTCAACATAGGACTTTGAACAGATGTGCAGCAGTTCGAGTCGCTACACTCCCCCCATGTTGCACACAAAACAAGGGCAGAAAGTAAAAAGAAATGCAAAATAGAGACAGTAAACAAAGATATGAGGCAAAGAGAATAGTAATATGGAAGAACAACATAGTTTTATTGGGTATTATAAGTTACAAGGAGTGGCGGCATCTGAGTCAGCCATTGAGAACGATCACTGTGGCATATCACCAATTGTCTCCAGCCTTTGGTGTTTTCCGTCCCGAGAACTTCAACCAGGAAGTCTACATCTTCCTAGGTGGCTCAAACTAACTGTTGTGGATTTGATTGACTGATGAGGCCATGTTTTGGTTTGACCACCACTAGCTTTCTCTTTTCCAACCTGACCCTATGTCAACTAACATTGCTAACATTGTATTTATACCAAAATTATAAACACAAAATTACGTTTTTATCAGTTACAAAACAGTAAACACTATGAACCGATTAGCGTTTTATAAGATTAGTTGACACCGTATCGGAGAACTGTATAACACTAGTAACACCTCAACCACCCCCACACACCTGCTCCCAGATAAAACGACAAGATGAGAACATGACCCTATTTTTTGTTTTTTTATCCAAACAGAAGAACTCATTGGTTCTGCTCATGAATTTATTCATTTTACTTAAGAAAAAGTAGGTCAAGAATTTGAAAAATTGAAATTTACAAAGTATAAAACCGTTAAAGGGTGTCATACGCATATCCTGGGAACACACAACTAAGAAACAAACTCCAATGAGTTGTTATACAACCTCCATGAAAGAAAAGAATTTACAAAAACAGTGACAGGGTGAAAGAAAAATGCTGTAGTGTGTAGTCAGCCGTATGGTTTTTTCAAATATGATTGACTATCATTCCAACCAACTAATCGCTAAATCCTGTAGACCTGAAAAATGATAGACTAACAATAAATGCCCCACAAACGAACTAGTACATCCGAGGGTGAACAGACTTCAGTCTTCCTGCTTTAATCGGTACGTCCGGTCATTATATACCAGCTTCCACACAAACTATGCGATTTTGTTTGGCACATTTTTTGGTTTTTTTGTTTTAATAACAATAAACGACCACAGATCAATACTAATCAATACATATATGCATCAACACTACCTTACTGATATGAAATTAGTGATTAGAAATGTGTAAAACATGTCTTAACTAGACTAATCAATGAAAATGTAATACCTATCTGAAGATAAGCCAAATTTCAATGGCACGGTAAACAGTGTTTTCAATATAAATACAACACTAACTGATAAATATAACCCCCTATGATATTCTACAAACAAGTGAAAAACAAGTCGGGTAAGCTTATAATTTATCGGGAAATAAGAGTGAATAATACTAACTGTGTAAAAGATACTTAGATAAATTTTCTCAACACATGAAGCCACACTATTTATATTTCTGTTCTTATCTAAGACAACATACGTTGATCGCTTTGCACCACATTTACATTTTGTGGTTTACATATCCATCATCTTATATCCTTTCAAAGAGGTTAAACCTTCTGAAATAATCAGTCTGATAGATAAGCGATCCTAATATCTTCTATAGTTTGGTTTGTAAGGGTTAGTTATGTTTTTACGAGTTGACCACGAATCGATATCGGTTAGAGAACCATTGAAAACCAGAACTGGAGTACTGGACAGCTGTTTTATCCGAGTTTGGGAATCATCTCCAGTACGCACCCACTACCAGGATTCGAACCCAGGACCAGTACAATTGCAAGGCAAGCTGGCTCGTATACCATTCGACCACTGGAACCCGATGTTGTGAACTTTTCTTATAATACGTATCTAATCATATTCATATCTCTACCGCTATTAACACTCTCTTTTTCCTTTATATGTTTAAGCCATTCCGGCTTCATTGTAAAATGAATAAAGCCTAAATTCTTGGTTCATTCGTCTTTTCAAGATTCAAGCATCACTCATCGTTCTAAGACTCAATCACCTTCGTAACAATTTATTCATTTTACAATATTCATGGAACGATTTTTCCGACCTGATCGGTTCGACGTAGAACCTAACGCAGTTGGAGCTGCCAAGAAGTGGGATCACTGGTTTGCGACTTTTTCCTACTTCATTGAATCAATGGGATCCGAAAATCCTTCGAAACTACATATTCTCTTCAATCATATTTCTACTTCTGTATACGAATGCATTTCTGAATGCAAAACATACGAAGAAGCTATCGACACTCTCAAGAGTCTCTACATGCAGCCTTGCAACGAAGTGTTTGCTCGACACTTGTTAGCAACGTGTAAACAAGAATCTGGCGAAAATCTGGATCAGTTTGTTCGTCGACTCAAGTCGCTGACTACAGATTGTTCATTCAGGGCAGTTACAGCCGAAGAACATCGTAACGAATCTCTACGTGATTCATTCATCTCAGGTATACAGTCTTCGATGATACGCCAGAGGCTATTAGAACAGCGTACTTTAACTTTTCAAGCGGCATACGATCAAGCACGAGCTCTAGAGATGGCACATCAACAATCGCAGTCATACAACAATCCTGTTACACCTTGCGCGTCCATTTCTTTACATGATGTACCTCATTCATCAGATTCCACACCCTCCGTCAATGAAACAACCATTGCTGCCGTTGAATCCAAATGCTTTTTCTGTGGTAATCGTAGACATCCTCGTTCCAAATGCCCCGCCCGTGATGCAGTTTGCAAAGCTTGTGGCAAGCAAGGACATTTTCAGAAGGTCTGCGCCATCTACGAAAAAAGGTCCATCTTCAGTTAACTCTATAATTTCATCTCTCGTTGTGGCTTCAGCACCTCAAAGTCTCACTGATGCTGTTACGCAGCTTACTGTCAATGGGAAATCAATGCAAGCTCTAGTGGATACCGGAAGCAGTGAGAGCTACATCTCTTCCTCAGTTGTTCGTAAGTATAACTGGAAAGTCCATAAGTCTCGAAACAGAATCACAATGGCGAGTACGAATCTTACTAGTCATACTGAAGGACATTGTTTTCTATCCATCTGCTATAAAAACCACACTTATGATCTATTCAAATTTTCCATTCTTCATAATTTATGTGCAGACGTCCTTCTTGGACATGATTTTTTAAAACTTCACAAACACATTGAGATTCCTTTTGGGGGATCAAAGCCGCCTTTTTCTCTCTGTGGTCTACCTTGTGTTCGCGTCGACCTGCCTACTCTGTTTGAAAATCTTTCAAAAGACTGTAAACCGATCGCGATAAAATCCCGGCGTTATTCTCGTGAAGATGAAAGTTTTATTTCCACCGAAGTCAACCGGTTACTGCAAGAAGGTGTTATTGAACCTTCTAATTCTCCTTGGCGAGCTCAAGTTCTTGTTACGTCAAACGAACGCCATAAAAAGAGGATGGTAGTTGATTATAGTCAGACAATCAATCGATTCACTTTTCTGGATGCTTACCCATTACCTAGGATTGACGAAATGATAGAAAAAATCGCACAATATGACATATTCAGCACTCTTGATCTGAAGAATGCTTATCATCAAATTGCCCTAAGGAACGAAGATAAACCATATACTGCTTTCGAGGCTTGTGGGAAACTTTACCAATTTTGCCGAATTCCTTTTGGTGTTACCAATGGCGTAGCTTGTTTTCAACGCATTATCGATGAATTGATCAGTAAAGAACAACTCACAAGCACGTTTGCCTACATTGACAATGTCACTATCTGCGGCAAAACTCAGGAGGAACACGACAAAAATCTAAACAAGTTTATGGTAGCAGCACGCAATTATGGAATAACCCTTAATGATTCCAAAAGTGTGATCTCAAGCAGAAGCATACAATTACTCGGTTATGAAGTTTCAAAGGGGTTATTAAACCAGATCCCGATCGGCTAAAACCTCTTCGTGATCTAGAACCACCCACAGATATCAAATCTCAACAACGGGCCGTTGGATTATTTGCTTATTATTCACAGTGGATCCCTCGCTTCTCAGATAAAATCCACCCATTGGTAAATAATCGGATTTTCCCTCTTGATATCGAAACTCGAAATGCTTTTGACAAACTGAAAGACGACTTAGAACGTGCAGTCGTTGTGGTAGTTGATCCGAAAGCACCCCTTGTTGTTGAAACAGATGCTTCAGATGTCTCAATTGCAGCTACATTAAACCAGAATGGTAAACCTGTCGCCTTCTTTTCTCGAAGCCTCTCTCGAAGTGAGAAACATCATTCATCGGTTGAGAAAGAAGCCTATGCCGTGGTTGAAGCAATTCGTAAGTGGAAGCATTACCTTCTCGGAAATCACTTCAAACTTGTCACTGATCAACGTTCAGTAGCATTCATGTTTGACAAGATTCATAAAGGCAAAATCAAGAACGATAAAATAATGCGTTGGAGAATTGAGCTATCCCCTTATCAATATGACATCATTTATCGTCCTGGAAGGGATAATCAAGCTGCTGATACATTTTCCCGTAGTTTCTGCGGTTCCTTGCAGTCAGTGTGCGACTTGAAATTTCTCCATGACTCTATGTGCCATCCTGGAGTTGTCCGAATGATGCATTTTGTACGCTCGAGAAACCTTCCATTCTCCCTTGACGAGGTGCGCAATGTAACCAGTAAATGCGTGACATGCTGTGAGTTAAAGCCTCAATTTTACAATCCCTCTAATTTCAAACTCATAAAAGCAACCCAACCTTTTGAAAGGTTAAGCATCGACTTTAAAGGACCTCTACCGTCAGCTAGCCGCAATCACTATCTGCTCACGCTGATCGATGAATATTCTCGATTCCCCTTTGCATTCGCCTGCCCCGACATGTCGTCTCAAACGGTAATGAATTGCCTTTGCCAACTGTTTTCGATTTTCGGTATGCCTTCTTACATACATACCGACAGAGGCGCTGCTTTCATGTCTACCGAATTACGGGCATTTCTTCTGGAGAAAGGCGTAGCAACCAGTCGTACTACCTCATACAATCCTCAAGCCAATGGGCAGGTCGAGCGCCTCAATGGAACACTTTGGCGTGCCATCACTCTAGCATTAAGATCACGGGGCCTACCAACGGCACAATGGGAGTCTGTTCTACTCGACGCCTTGCATTCCATCAGATCTTTGCTCTGTACTGCAACGAACGCCACGCCACACGAACGACTGTTTACCTATAACCGAAGATCGACATCTGGGACAACTCTTCCTACTTGGCTCACTGTACCAGGACCAGTACTTCTCCGGCGGAGTGTTCGTCAGTCCAAATTCGATCCCCTGGTTGAAGAGGTGGAGCTATTGAATTGTAACCCGCAATTCGCTCACGTTCGCTTCGGTAATGGACGTGAAGATACAGTTGCTCTTCATCATCTGGCACCCAAAGGCGAAGATATAGATCAAGTTGAAAATTCAATACCGGAGGGCGACGCAATTCCTGAGCAACAAGTAAATGGGGATGCGACCACTGATCCTAATATTCTTCGTGAAGAAAATACAACTGAAACGAACAACGGGCGTATTCTTTTGGAAAAACAACAACGTGTACGGCCTTACAATTTGCGTACCAGAGAAGCGTGACATAATGGCTCATTCCTTTTCAAGCCGCAGTGAATGTTGTGAACTTTTCTTATAATACGTATCTAGTCATATTCATATCTCTACCGCTATTAACACTCTTTTTTTCCTTTATATGTTTAAGCCATTCCGGCTTCATTGTAAAATGAATAAAGCCTAAATTCTTGGTTCATTCGTCTTTTCAAGATTCAAGCATCACTCATCGTTCTAAAACTCAATCACCTTCGTAACACCCGATTCAATGGCTCATGAATTCTAAATTCTACCAATTCGTGATTTAGCGCGACCCGAAAAACAAATTGACAAATGTTCACTAGCTTTGACCTGGATGTATATATACGCTGTTATGTAATTTTATCGACCAAAGAACACCCATGAAAAATCATGGTGATCAAATATTGAAAATAATCTAATTATACCGTTTGCCAGTAAAGACTAGCTTTATAAGGTACAATAATATTGGGTCAGGGATTCACCAAAACGAAAACGCTACTAAAACATTTGATTCAAGGAAAAACGGACTGAATACAATAGGTTATAACAATGATATCTCCACTAAACATATATTAGAAAACTTTGAAAGCAATCATACACCATAAACAACGTCAGATATTCAGAAGACATATGGGACAGTTCAAACGAAACAATAACACAACTAAGTTACTTTATCTAAGTCAGTAGTTATTCACTGGAAATATGGAACAGAATTACACTCCAGTAATAGCTAGGAATTGATTGTGCAACAATACCACTGATAATAATTTGACTCGTACGTGAATAAAGGAACGCGCTATAAGTACAACTGCTAGACTGGAGTGTGGCGACTCAAACTGCTGCACATCAGTGCAAAGTTATATGGTGAAAAACAACTATTAGATGGTTGTAGGCAGTCGGCAGGAAGCCCAGCCTTGGACTTTGGTTTCGTGCTAGTTGGCAATCACTAGTCAACAACCTTGAAGGAACTCATATCCCTTCTGAGATTCGAACCCACGCCACCCAGTGTTGCAGTTACAGACATTGTCACTGAGCTGTTTTGGTTCGGGAATGACCTACTGTAGGACTATACTGGATACATTTGATTGGACAGTAGTTAGTATCTAGTGTAATGGTGCACGAAACCTAGGTCCAAGACTGGACTTCCTGCCGATTCCTTCCAACCATTTAATATCAACCACTGAAAGTGCGCCGGTGATGGCGAGCCATCTAGAATGGCGGCCACATTGTAAAAGTGACTGATAGAATTCAGTCTGCACCAAACCAGTGGACTGGACACTAGTGTCCAATCATAAGTGCAACTAATCAAATCAACATCACAGCAATAGGTGCCATTTAAGCATTCAAACAAGATTAGATAAACAAGATGCCAAGAGTCAGATAAGATTAAACTATTTTACTACAATTGAATTTCAACCACTCGACTTATCTTTTTTTATTAAATACAACTTTTGAAAATTTACAAAGTTCAAAAACCCTAATAGTTACTAAGGCTAAACAAACGCACAATAACAGGAGAGTTAACAAAATCTCACTTATATGCAGGTACGCCATTTGTAAACTGATTCACTCAGTACACCTAACAGTGTAACACTAAATAGTACGAATGATTCATAAAAAATAAAAAAGCGAGAAATCGATTAATTCAACTGCACTCTACAAATGAGAAATTTACTCCCCACTATAAAAAAAAACAACCTAATCTATAAGAATAAACACAAAAAGAGTCAAAATACAACATCAACACCTGTACACTTCTTTATAACTTACTAAACATTTCATAGATCGTTTATCATTTTTACTTGCATTGGATTGACGTTTTACATGATGTATAATCAATGATGCAGCATCTTCTAAAAGTGAATTTCTAATATCTGGTGGTGGATATACTAATGTTAAATGAGCTGATTCATCTTCATTATTCCCTTCTAATACATTGGCTAAAGCAGAACCCATAGATCCTGGATTACTGATATCACGTGGAATAAAATTATGTTGAGTAAGCAGAGTAGAAATCATTTTACCGACAGGATCTGAACTAGAATGACACGATGTATGCTAAAAAAAAGATCAGGAAACACATTTATGTTAAATGAATTACTCAAATTGAAACATGACAACACTTAAATTAAGATGCGATGATATGCACATCTTAATAATAATTGTGTAAATATTAAGAAAGCTGACTTCCTGCACATCAAAACTATTTTGATTGGACACTAGTTAACAACTAGTGTGAAGTGTCTAGTCCTCTGGTTTGCTGCAGGCTGAATTCTATCAGTCAGGTTTACAATGTGGCCAACATTCTAGGTAGTTCGCCATCACGTGCACATATCGATTTGATGATATTAGATGGTTGGAGGGAATCGGCAGGAAGCCCAGTCTTGGACCTAGGTTTCGTGCTAGTTCACACTCACCAGTCAGCAAGGCGTATCTGTAACCTTGAGGGTTCGAATCTCAGAGGGGTGGGACATGAGTTCCTTCAAGGTTGTAGATACGCCTTGCTGACTGGTGAGTGTCAACTAGCACGAAACCTAGGTTCAAGGCTTCCTGCTGATTGTCTCCAACTATCTAATAACATCAGAACTATGATGAAATATGACGTTTGTATTGCTTAAAACAATTGCTTATCCATCCATACATACATACTATTGAACTTAATGGAATGAGATCTAATAACACATACAATGCACACAGTATGATATCTCATATATAACTAAATAAGAAACTCATAATAAACATAAATATTACATTTACAACAATGACAATGAGCCTAGTATTTTTACATACTTATTTAAGCGTGGTGGTACCTAATTAGTAAGGTTTAAGGTGCAGACTACACGTGCTATGTATCACCTAGACATCTATAACTGACTGAATGACTAAGTTTGAACACAGAACTTAGCACAGAAGTGCAGTAGTTCACAGTTCAAGTTGCCACACTGTGTAGCACACAATGGTAAACAAAAGAGAGGGACAAAAAGAGATTCAGTCTATTGGAGCTGAAACAACCTCCCAAGTAAGTGAAATGTCCTACATACTCCATTACTTCATTCATGTTTAAGATAAAAGTTGGTACAGTTCAGTTTAATAGCATCGTCTTATATTTGACAGGAAGTTTAATATACTTTATGGATTTGTAGATTAGTAAACTAACTTGTACTTGAGTCAATATAATTTAGCTGACTTAGACAATAAATAAATAAAGAACAGGGAAAGCGCATACAGTCTATGATAACAGCCAGGTAACATCCCGGTGTTATTTATCTCTTGGTGTTTGCCCTACAAGTTAACCTGACCATCAGAAAGGAGGCAAAATGAGTCAAGAAAAATTATATTTCCCAAAGGTGATTACTAAATTTTCTATTATATCTTTATCTTAAAAGAAAGACAGGAAACCAACATTTTCCTCAAATAGAAAGCGATTAGATATTCTTTGGTCTTACTTTTACATACACTTAAATAGAATAAAATGCAAAGATATTTTGTTAACTAACTGTAAAGCTTACCTTATCATTTCGGGCGATAGATTCTATCTGACTAATCATAGTTTTACTACGTATGAAAGGTGCATCACGTTGTTTGAATGTTGCACCCTGATGATCCAAAGAACGTAAATAATTACGTGCATCTTGATCTGCCCAAGACCGTTGATAATTACGGATAGTTTCTCGCCATTCTGTGTCTTTTTGACGCATACGTTGTATAACCAATGGGAGTACTGTATTAGGACAATTTTTTAAGCCATATATTACATCACCTGCTTTATCACCATAAACTCTAAATATTCAAGTAAAAATATTAAATAAGCATGTGTTATTGCCAGCTGTAACATATAAATGATTCTATCAATGACTGATAATTATATAAAATAAAGTTTGGAAGAGTAATGGGCAATTAGACAGCAACAAGTATAACAAGGTCTGGCTTAAAATGTTAACCAAATGTACTATTGAATGAAGATTCGTGCTAAATGTCTCTAACCACCTTGTTATTAGTAATTTCCAGGGAAAGCATACCCACCAGCTAACACTAATATCATTTGCCTTTCTATGAATGAATCTATTATCGTTACGGGCGATGAGATTTTCATAAATGTATCTGCAAAAATAGGTTCACCAACGACTTAGCTGATATTGTTCCTTCAAATGAACACACATTGATTACAGCTACTTTAATATTATAAATACACTAAAGATTTAGGAAGAATTAATAAAATGTTGGAATTAGACAAAAATGCCATTTTTCTGCAAGTTTCCTTTTAAACAAAAAAGGTACCCTAGTCGATTTTAACTTCGGATAATTCTATTAGTTTGTAAAAGGTTGTGTATGCCACTTGTTCAGGAAGTCACTGGCGCTGACATATTATCGCATAGTCAACCTGCATAGAATGAGTAGAATTAATAACGCAGAATTATGACGGTGGCAATGAATAAACAAGCACAGTACATATGTATCGCCTCCCTCGACGAGCAATGTTAGCGGATATAGGGTCAGACTGGAAAAAAGCTAGCGGCGGTCAAACAAAAACTTGGCATCAGTCAATGAAATCCACAACAGTTGGTCTAAGCCACGTAGGAAGGTGTAGACTTCGTGACTGGTTGGGGTCCTCGGGACGGTAAAAATCTATGGTTGGAAACAATTGGTGACATGGCTCAAAATCGTTCTCAGTGGCGCAGATGCATCCACTCCCTGTGACTTATGATCTTCAATGAAATTGTTTTGTATTTCTTTATTACTCCTTTGTCTCACACCTGTGCTCACTGTTTCTATTATGCTTTTCTTGTACTTTCTTCTGTTGCTTTGTGTGCTACATGGAGGGAGTGTGGCGACTTGAACTTCCGCACATTTGTGCAAAGTTCTATGTCGAAAACAGACAGACAGACAGACAATATTTACAGCATTCAGGTTAATTCAACACCTGACTAATGAAACCACTCGAGTGCCGAAATCTCGGTCATGAAGCTAAATTGAGACATATAAGTACTAAAGTACTAACCGATGAGAGACTAAAGTTTACTGTCCGTTTTCATCGAAACTTCGAAACTTTGCAGTCATCTCTTCTTTACCCTCTTTTTATTAGTCCGCTTACATTTGAGATACCAACTAGGAAGCTATTCTACATATTAAAGTGAAAAACAGATGCATAATCTATTCTCCAGAAAGGATATTTCAAAAAGAATATTCAAAATACCTGTCTTGACTGGGTATCTGAACACATCTGCTGGTCAGACGAGAAAAGGAGAAACTAAATTTCAATTACTAACTAAAAATCAGTAAAAGTCAAGGTTGATTCTTTCAGACCACTATTTCATCACTTCTTAACAAATATTTCTCTTCGTTTAGACGACTCCTATGTTTTGCATGCAAGGATTGTGTTTTAACAACAGACTTAAAAGGTTCAAAACACATTAGACTTAATGGATGGTGCAGGATGGATTCGTACACACGGATGAAATCATGCTTTTCCCTTTTTTCCTTTTTATTCCTCTGCATTGAGAGTAGAACATAAGACTTCAAAAGCTTGAGGTCTGAATCTTCAGTAGAGGTGGTCGTTTTCATGGGGTGAGATAGCTAGCTTTACACTTAACCTCCCCCTTCTATCGAGCTTACTACTGGCCGACAGATCAATCTAGGAGTGCGTGGGCCGCCCCGAACCATGTGGCTGGGTGGCGAGGAATCTACCACTTAACCACCACCACCAACGCACAGATGAAATCAATAGTCTACGAGCTCGCCTTATAACCAGAACCTCCCGGATTCGAACCCCGGTGGTGCGTATTGCTGAAGAGTCCCAAACTATGACGAAACAGCCGTCCAGTAATCCCAGGTTTTCCAGTGGTTCTCTAACTGATGCCAGCTCATGATGAAATCCTCCATGCAATCAAACAAAGTCCCTACAAAACCAATACTTGAAAATAGATAGATCCATATGTACATAGAGTATGCAAACCATGAGCCTCCAAAGCCTCAGGATGGTCGGGGGTGGGTGTCTTGCGCTGCGGGTTGGCCACTCCTCCGTACACCTCTTGAAATGCTCCCATATGACCGGGCGTCTTACATAGCCTCTCCTGAAGAAGTCCTACTCACTGCCTTCACGTGGCGGAGGTGTTTTTCACCAAAGTGAGAGGGCAAAAGCGGATGCCCCGCGCTCTTCACCGGGTTGACTGTCCATTGGATGACAGTCTAGGGGAGATGGCTAAACCCTGATTCCAAACCTCCAACGACTGGCGTATGAAGCTCACCGGCAGACGTATGGACAAAGAGCTTATTGGATGCCCTGGATGACTGGCCCCATTCAAAAAGGCGAATGAACCGGACTCCGGTCACCGGCTGCCAATGGATAGTGGACTCCCTACTCCACTCCTACTGCCTTGTAGGTCACACTTGGTTGTGTAAAGGCTAGAGCTGCACTCTTAAACAAAAGGCCGAGCGATTCTGGGGACATCACTCGTACCCAATTCCCATGAAACTTCATGGTTCATGAAGCCGGCTCATCCTCCCGTAGGAGATAGCCGAAGTAAAGTAAAGTAAAGTAAGTATGCAAACCAAAACCAAGCGAAACATCATTCAAAAATGCCAAGTACCTGTGTATAGCTTTTCGCATTAAAATTGCTGATGTTCCACCTAATTTATCATCCATATGAAATTGAATAAGTTGTTCTTTATTTAATCTATCCATACGTTTTTTAACAACAACTAGATTTTGCATTGCAGCTCTATTGAGTTCAGTAACCATATCTACTTCATAACGTTCATCTTCCACACGATACATATTTTCTTCATATTGATTCTTTTTAGATGATACAAACTGAGAATCTTCGGAGGTAAGCGAAGAGAAACTGATATACGAATCATTTAACACCTATAATTTAAAAAATAAAAACAACAACAGCAGAAGATGTACTACTACGTATTAAAACAAGGAAACCGAAAAAAATATATCAAAATGGAACAATGATCAGTGAGTGACTAACACGTATAGACATCAATAATGCTTCATCATCAAAAATAAGAAAATAGTTTGCATGACTTGTCATCTATAAAGAACTGTTGACAAAAAACATACTTTAAGGTTTTCCAACATGTGAGAAAAGTGCGGAAGTGTAAAAGTAAAGAGAAAATCACCCTTCAGAGAGCAATACAACACATTAATAACAACTGACAAATTACTTTTCAGTACTTGAGCTTAAAATAACTAATAGAAAAAAACCTTTTTCCAACTGTGGAAAAGGATACTGAAAAATTGATGTGATAAAATCACAAGGCTTAGATTGCTTGCTATCATCTCTCAGTGTCCAGAATATACCAATCGTAAAAATAAGCTGTCCAACCCCTAACTATACACACCTTGTTATACAGTATATCATCATATTATACTAAGTTGCAACTTTATTTAGTATATCAGTAATAGAGAGAGAAAAAAAGTAGTTAATTTGACGACACTAGTGGTAGTGATAGAAAAAACTTTACAAAAAATAAACAAAAAGATAGGTGACAACAAAAAAGTGAAAATATAATCTTAGAGGAATACATTAATGTCACTAGTGTCTTCTATGCGAAATCTTTAAGGTTGGCATAGTGTGAAAAGTATGAGTGAATGTAACTATATATATATATATATATATATATATATATATATATATATATATATATATATATATATATATATATATAATTAACGAATCGATTAAGAGTGTCATTGCACCAACAGCACACACGTGAGTCAAAATAGTAAAGTGACAACAATAGGTTAATATGTTTAACTAACTAACCACACACACACACATATATGTGGGTGTGTATTAACAAACTCATAACTATAGTGATGTCAAATTGAAACCAAGATTATGCACCAAGCAAAGATGCAAATTTAAGCCTGTGATTAAAATATTTGAAAACCAACACTATAATGGAACCATTATATACTATACAATTTGACCATCATTAAAGTACGCTGTGTAATAATAACACAACGTAAGGCAAATATTTTATAAACCTGTATTTACGCTTATTTCTAATAGTGTTACCAAAACAATCCAACTCAAAGGACCATATCAATAGTATACTAAAAAAAACGACTGGCTTACTTCTTTTGCAACTGGGCATTTTTGGCGACCGGAACATTTGCTCTGCGGGAAATTCGATGGTAATGCTCGATAGCTTACACCACAACTTCGGAGTTTAGTGTAATCCAAATCCAATCTTTTTTGAGACACTTCACTTACAAGTGAGACTAATGATGTAGGCGGTTGATTGTTTATGTTGTTGGACAGAGAATCAGAACATGTATGAGCATCACACGGGAAATTACAAGTACCATGTTTATCACGATCATGTCTGTCCCGGGAGTAAGCAGGAGAATGAGACTGAAGTTGTCCAAATCCTTCTTGGGATGAATTTCGTGATGACTAAATGGTTAAAAAAAGAAAGTCAACAAATGTATGATTGCATAACACTGACAACAACAACAAAGGAATTCCACATAAACTGGTGATACCAAATCGAGTTATTCAATAACACTCCATAATTCCGTACTTTCATCCTTTACCCAATATTGCTGTTCTCTTGTATATCATCATCAATTTCGACTGGAATTTGCTAACAGGTTTTCAGTAAAGTAACGAAAAAACCAAGTTTTTTTGTGAGCTACAGGCTAATGGTTATTAATCCTAAACAGCATCAACAAATCCTGATCTTATCACTTTCAGTCAACCTCTTTTCAGTTCATTTACATTTCACTTATCTCATATGATACATGAAATCAATAATCATTCAACATGAACACATAACTAGTTAGTTATTACTGAACTACCGAGTACTGGGTTATGAGCTACATTTATTATGTGAGAACTAATGAAACTACCCAGTTGCTTAGGCTGAAGTAGGTGGAGTAGGACTCGAACACGGAACCCATTGACTGAAAGCTGAGTGCTTAAGCCAAGGAATCACATCTCCACTATAATGAACATAACTGGTCCTTAATTAATTTATTTGCTCATTTCAAGAGAGAAAGGTTAAACAAGACGGTTAACCCAAAAATGGTTTCTCAACATGGTAGTTTAAATGATGAATGAAGATGCAGTGATTAAATTTTCTCCATGCTGTCTGCCTGTTCTCAACACAGAACTTTGCACCGATGTGCACCAGTTCAAATCGCCACACTCCCTCCATGTAGCACACAAAGCAACAGAAGAAAGTACAAGAAATGCATAATAGAAACAGTGAGCAGAGATGTGAGACAAAGGAATAGTAATAACGAAGAACAATATACTTTCATTGGAAATCATAAATCACAAGGAGTAGATGCTCCTGTACCAGCCATTGAGAATGATTTTGAGCCATATCACCAATTGTTTCCAACCATTGGTTTTTACCGTCCCGAGGACCCCAACCAGGAAGTAAACACCTTCCTACGTGGCTTAGACTAACTGTTGTAGATTCCATTGACTGGTGCCATGTCTTGGTTTGACCGCCGCTAGCTCTTTTTTCTCCATGCAAATATATTAAGATTTTAAAACTACTACTCTATTTCACCCTATGGTGTGTCTATGAGTCACTTCATATACAACAATGCGAAGAAACCAAAGGGCCTAATATATTCAATAAGCATGGCTTAGAAAAAGCTACAATAAGCTTTATTTTCACTATGAAAAGCAAACATGATTCCACCTTACTAGTGTCGATAGTTAATTGTTCTCATTTTCAGAAAATGAATATTAGGATGACAAAAACATGGAAGTGAGATCAATGAAATCGTTTAAATTACAGACTTTATAATTACTCATTGCCCAAGTGAAAATAAGAAGAATAAAACTGAAAACTGAGCAAACGAAATCTGTTTTTCTCTACTAAATGCTGGGATAGATATAAACACATGTTGACGCCAGTTATATATACATATATTAGTCTGAAAGTGAGACCTGACCTCACCGACCAATAGGTTGTATAGCAGTGCTTCTCTAAGAAGTGTGTCAGAAATGCACTTTACCTTGCTGAGAGTTCTATGCTTGAAAATTGGTGATCATATTGGGGTCTACAGTAAACTGTGCAGTGACATCAAATAGTTGTCATCAGTAATGCTAAATTTATTTACTAACACTTGTTGCAGATGTCCTTATCGGAATTGCTTTCTTGACTGGATATGCACAGTGATACTGATAATGTGAGGGGGATGCTTAAATGAACTTAATTATGCAGGCAACATAGTCCTGTTAGATTAGACAATCACATTAGTTTTTCGACCATTTTTTTAACAATCACGTTTCAAGTACTTAGGACTGCCTATGTTAACCCAATGAGTCAGGTAGGGAGATGCAGACTCCCGGGTTGGGGCCCTCGGGACTCTAGGAATCAATGGCTGGAGACAATAGGTGACATGGCTCAAAATCGTTGTCAATGGCGCAGATGTATTCAATCTCTGTAATCTTTCATATTCCTCTCTACCATTACCCATTCTGTTTCACTCTTATACTTGTCAAACTCTATTGATTCTCTTCACTCATCTTCTTGTCTACCTCTGTGTGCTATTTGGAACGTGGCAACTCGAACTGCTGCACTTCGGTGCCAAGTTCTATGTTGAATCCAGACAGACAGACAGGACTGCCTATGACAAATTTTTCGTTTTGTGTTATTAACAAAATGTAATGAAGCACGACAGCTGAGGGAGAAAAACAAATTCAATCGTATATTATGACCGTATTGTGAAATATTATCATGTTTTGACGTGTTTTCCACATAATAAACAACATACACACACTCATACAGACAAATACGCATATATGACAATTTGACATTAGTCATTATAAGTGTGTGATGACTGTTTACACTCTTCTATTGGTACAAATGTCTACCGACAAGTGACCTTCAATGAAAGTGATTTCAATTTCTGTAATTTTTTGACTACATATTTTGGTGTTGGTTAATAAAATCAGAATAATTCTACTGCTGAAGATGCTGTGGCTAACCCAGAGGAACGTTTAGAAAAATCTTGTTTTGATTTCTTCTTAAACACACTGGGATTATTTTAAATAATTTGTAGTGATTCAATCTGATTCGGCGCTCAAACTATTCCAAGAAATTCGTAACATCTACGATCCTATATCATACATTATGTCCCAAAATATATAAATAGTCACCTCCACACCAATATAAACTTATTTCACGCGTACTTACCATGATGAAATCACTGAAGCGTCTCCACACGTCTACATGTCTTATAAATAGAGGATGTGTCGTTTCTAACAGTTCATCAGCTGATATTATCCGACGGTTGAATAAACAAACGTTTTGTAGGAAGGTTTGGTAGGAACGACTCCCTACTGGACTGTCAGCATCCAAAGCATCTCGAATCTAGTAGATAAGTTATTAGTTATAATATTAACAAACCTTTTGCAAAAGTGACACGCCAATACCTGTGGTCAATTGATTTGTATCAACAATGCTAACATCTCGTACTGAAGAACGAGATTTCTTGGGTGGAATAACTGTTGAGGCACTGTTCGAAAAAGCAGAAGGTGCAGGAGCAAGTCGCTTTAGTTTTTTGGAATCCACATTTGCAGGAACAGCTTCTTGACCTGGTCGCTGTCTAGAAGACAGCGCTAGGTTGATACCTTCCGAAACACGGTTTATTAACTGAGGCACTGGAACAGACGGATCTAGTAAATCTGACCCACTGAGTTGTGAATAGCCAGAGTTCTTCCTATTTATCGTCGTTTCAGTCTACAAAACAGGAGGATAACTTAAACGGTAAAAACCTACCACAGCACTCGTAACGCCAAAGGATTCAGGTAAGAACTGGCTGAATTCCTGAAGTAGATCCTCTTGGCCATCAAACAGCTTGGCAACATCCTGGTAAACCTGTAATTCGGCCTGTTTACGACACATAGGATCTGAATGTCTTTGTTCCTTTTGGTACCACTGCAATATATCGAGGAATCGTTTGTAGACATCAGGTATGCCTTGGAACCGGTTCTGAACCAACGCCATCCTTATGAAGTAAATATCACTTACCTTTATTTTATTCACATACTGGAGAGCGTGATGGAATGACTGGTGTTGGTTCTGCTGATAAACGTGAGGAGATTGTGGTAAACTTGTAGTATTGTGTGAGTTTCTAACAATGACATTGGAAAGGTTCTCTTGATAGTCTGTCGACAAAAACTGTTGTTGAGTTGACGAGTTATAACTAAGACCATCAGGTTGAATATTAGGAGTTAAAGCACGTATAGGTGGAGATGAAACTGACAGTGGTAGGCAGTTAGAGACAACAGATACATGAACATTTGGGCGACTGGAAACGTCGAACTGACTGCTGGCTACACCAGTTAAACTTCCTGGGGGTGACCATTCACTCACTGCTTCACTAACTTTTAGCGAAGTGCAAACTCCTTTAACTGGAGTTACATTATCGGATGAGGATATTGATAATGTACTCCTTGATGGGATAACGGTGCATGTAGGTTTGCTGTTAAAAGACTGATGTGATGTAGGAGGAGCATCCATACGATACCCTTGAGGTATGAAAGTGTTGAATCCAGTGATCAAATCAGGATGACCTTCAAACAGCTCACGTACCCGTCGAATAACAACTTCCGTACCAATTCTGAGAAATATTTAACATCTGAATGATAGACTTACGTCTGAGCCTTGAAATCACGCATGACATCAAGAAAGTCCATATAGATTGCCCCCTGACCAGAGAATCTCGCTTTGACCTGGTCTAGATAAGATAACGCATCCTCAACTTTGAGGCACTTCATCATTGTTAACTAAAACCTGGAGTAATATAAACAAAAACCAAAAGGTTACAGAAAGAAAGTAGTCATGAGCAATCTCTACGTAAATAGTTCGTTACGTCAGGTGTCAAATATTTCTCACTTTCTTCGGCTATTACCAGCATATCCAAGTAAATCCATTTAGGGATGTGCACTAGATGTTTTCACAAGTAAGGTACTACTAGACTGACCACACTTTACCAGATGAGTCTGTAGTTATAGTTCACTAATGGAAAACCTATCATACTAATTACCAATATTTGAGCTGCCTCACAGTAATATTATCGTGTAGGGCTCACTCCCGAATTCACAAAAGTGGCTGGCGAATAAAATTGCTTTAGTAATTATTGGTGAGTCTCTGTTTAAAGCAACAGTCCAGTAAACAAACATACCAAATACATGCCCTAGAGGCGCTGCTGACTAACACAGCTCTTGAACAGTGTGAGTAAAAGGGTTATTCAGTTGGTGTAGCCATGAACTTACGCTAACTTGAGTAATTTGAACATAACATGTATATTCAATGAACGCTTACTATAAAACATCAACAAGAGTTGGTGAAGGTCAACGGATATTCTGTAATCTCGTCCACTGATTCCAGCAGGCTACGAAAATGATAGAACAGCCAAAACTGTTTAAATGTATACTGATTGAAACTTTTCACAAAGTACGTAAGCAGTGGTAGATTAAGGCAAATAAAACACAACGAATCAGAAATTGGTTGTGCTCTCCAATTGTTTGGACTTAGTGGAAACAGGCCCCAACGTCGGTAGGTGAACAAACTTCGATACATTTTAATGCTTCATCAGTATAATGCAGAGGTGACGTGGCTTGTTTCCTGGTCGTACGGAAAGTACCTATCACTGAACATTAGTCCATGATATGGTTCAAAGTCGTTCTCAATGGTGCAGATGCATTCACTCTTTGTAATTTGTCATATCCAATAAAAACCCCATTGTTCTCTCATATTACTATTCTTTTATCCTTACACTTTTGTTTGTCTTTTGAACCTCCCTTTACTCTCTTCTGATTTGTGTGCTACACTGAGTGTGGCAAATCGAACTGCTGCACATCTGTGCAAAGTTCTATGATGAAACCGGTCAGCCAGTCCGTCAGCAGCACGGCACTCCACCGCGACCCCTAACATTGTAAATGACCTGCACTACGATGGCAACTACTTTCGACTCAACGGTTATTCAACCAGCCTTCCTTGCAAAGTAGGGATTGCAGGACCGTTGGTTCCAGTCAGTAAAGCTAGTCGAATCACTGTCTGTCTGTCTGTCTGTTTTCGATATAGAACTTTGCACAAATGTGCGCCAGTTCAAGTAGCCACACTCCGTGTAGCACGCGAAGCAAGAGAAGAAAGTACAAGAAAAGCATAATAGAAACAGTGAGCACAGGTGTGAGACAAAGGAGTAATAAAGAAATACAAAACAGTTTCATTGAAGATCATAAGTCGCAGGGAGTGGATGCATCTGCGCCACTGAGACATGCAAACCCGACAACTACATTAGGACATCAGCTGCTCGTTTAGCACACACAGTATTGAGAGCATAAGTGGCAAATAGTTCTCCGCATAAATCTAGATATGTACTGACCAACTAGCAAGCACGATTTCGATAGTACCTTCCTAAGTTATTCGAAACTACCAGACTACCACCGGAAATCATCCTGCAAACGGTTTAAATGAAGTGGGACAACTGATGACCTATTTTAGTCATGTGCAATGAGCGTCGCAAGTTGTAATAGTGGTTGTTTTATTTCATGAGTGAGGGCCCTAAGAATTCTAAGGAGTTAAGTTTTAGAAACCAGATGTCTACGGGCGAGATTTTTCCAAAGCTGCAAGAGACTTTATTCGTCTTCATGGGATATTACAGGTGCAACCAGTTTTTCGTGCTCTTTCTAGATGTTTAGCAGCTAGTCTTAAACCTAGTTTGGTATGGCATTTGTCTTCAATAGCACGTGCGGGCAGAGGTAACGCCTTCCACGACGACCACGGCTGGCAGGAGTAGTTTGAAGTTGGGGGTGATGACATCAGTGTGTTAGGAACGTCATTTACTATGTATGAGCGTAAACGTAAATATCATTAGCAGTGATCCACACCTAAATTGAACACATGATATTACTAGACTCCAAATCAACACAGACGAAGCAGTTTTTCAACCAAGTGCCCACAGACAATGAGTCACTTAATCAGTTTAACGAACCATAGTCACAGTGAACAATGGTCTTTCCCACTAATAACATTCGTGTGCGCAGTAGGCACCAGTAATCTTCATGCTAAGAGGAACGAATGTGCAATATGAGAATAATTCCTACTTTGACCTATGTTCCGCATTTAACCACATTCTATGATAACGCAACAAGGAAGTCGTAGCAATAACCACAGCACAGCTAATCAATTATTACTGGTTGAATTTTTAGAACTGATGGTGACAACGAGAAATAACCAACATAAAGGCATAGAGTGGTTACAAAAAAAACCATGATGATAATAGGGAAAATGCGCATTTTAATTCCAAGTGAGAAAACACAGTTTACGATTATCACCCCCAAATTAACAGTGCTCCTGAACCTATATGTTGGAAATAGTTGGGACAAATATGTTGGTTTGATTCCTGCTCATAGGAAGCCAACTAATAGACTATACCTATTCATAAACTGCGAACACCTTTTGGTAAGCTGACGAACTAATACTGAAAGTTAAAGGACATAAACACAGACGCCATCAACAATATCACATCAGTGTCACAACCATAAAACTTATGCAGTGACAAGTGGATTGATGCTCCTTAATATACTAAGGACCAACTTCCAAAGGCAATTATATTGGCTAACGCAATCCAGTACTACCTGAAGGTTTGCACGATGAATAAATTTAAGACATTGAAATAGGAACCCGTAAGTAAGACTAGAAAATGGATTCCATAAGTGTCAGCTGTTTGATACAATTAACAGAATACAGTCAAACCAGTTAACATATACTGCGCTCCTAAGTTCTATACTTTTCTTCTACAATACACATGCTTGACCTTCCTACCACAGAGGCAACAGCACATATCAATCTGAAATTTTTAATCGTGACGACTACACTATGACCTTATTTTGAGATCCTAGTACTTGCTGATGCATTAATTTGACTACAACATACGGCCTTTGAATATGATTCAATACCCTAGTCTAATGTCGAACATTACAAGAAAAACTATGAACATAATATTGTATATAATAGAAAAACTAAAAGAATTATGGGTGAATATACAGATGACAACACGGCTATATGACACTTACCCAGCTTCATTGAATCAACAATTTCTGGTCAGTTAAAAACACTGGCAACTTTGCGGAAATGAATCCCAGGTCAATTTCAAACAACCCACACTAATATATGATTAGTTTTCTATTTTACGAAGCCAAACAATTAAAAATAAAAATAGGTATGACAAATCCATTGTATCGGAGTTTCAAAAGGCCATAAATCTGAAGAAAAACCTTTTCTTCTTCAGTAATTCAATGTTCCAATAAAACTTATGAGATAAAATCATTAGCTGCATTGTTTTTTTATTACATGGAAACATCCATAGTTAAATTATAATTGTTAAGTGGTGTTTTGTCACATACTAATCACCGTCAATGCCAGAAATCTGAGGGAAGCAGTCTGCTTCACCGACCTTACTCGGAGCGTCGTATAAACTACAGGCACCCCGTACGATGTTTTTGGAGACACACAAGTTTGGTAAAGCAAGAAGGACGTCTGTTATTCAGAAATTATTGTTCAAATATGTAGCACTTAGCACAATTAAATTTATCATGCATACCAATTCAGTACTCCTGCTTCGGGAGTGAACGAAAGCAATTCAAACGGTCTGAAGACTTTAATCAATACCTACATTCTCTCGATGCTGAAGATCAAATGGGCGACTGAAAATCGTAGACGATAGTAAACCCTGGTGGTGGAATAGCCAATAAGTGACTTTCTAACAAATATGAAGAAGAGAATGGAAGTGGCCTGGACATACGCCGCAGACACATTTAAGTGACGTAGCATGACAAACATCGAGCCGAACCACATGAAAACCGGCGAGCTAAGCAGTTGTGGGGCCAGGCGAAACTGACATCAGGGAAACGACTGAAAAAGGGATTTTTTACTGTGGCTATGTGTTTCAATAAAAACTCTAGGACCAAATAACAATAAAAATAATATGGTGTTTGCATTCCATTTGCACATAACCCATTGAATACCCTTATACCCACCACTCATTTGCCATCCGGGTTTCAGCAGTGTTCAGCTTTCAACATTTATGTCTCTAATATAACTTGTGTTATCACCTTCAGGCAACTCCAAAGACTACTCACAAATAAATATGCTACGTAGTTATTACATCAAGACCACATGTGTGCTTGACAGTGTGCATTTGCCCTGTTTAAATCAAGCAGTCATCTCGATAAACCTTTCTGCCAGTAAAATATTGCAATGCGGAAAATCATAGATCGAACGGATCTCCGAAAATCGTTCATTTAACACAGCACATAAGAATACTGAGACACCCAAATACAACTCAGCATTCGTATTTTAATTCTCCACATTCTTACATTCCACCCAGACTTCTTCAGAGTGTGCTTTCACCTTCTAATAGAATATTAGGCAGTGTCTATGCAACAACATATGATAACCTGAGGACTGTAAAGTGGGCTGTGGTTCCAATGACCTAACTGACACAGTTGATAAGCATCTGAGTTGGTGTGAAAAACTGATTGAAGTCATATTTTCGAAAGCCAACATTCTTTTAGAGTAACAGCTTCTACTTCCAGCAATTTAGGGGGAACAGAATTTCATAATACTTTATACCCACGCAGTCAAAATCAAAAGCATAACTTCACCTTATTAAGTACTCATCTTGTGTGAAGAGACAGACGTTAGAATTAATCACCAACTTTGTAGTCAGTAAGAGAGGAGATACCCAATTCTTACGATCATCCGTGTTTTGGTGGCGTCGTAATCAAATTTGTCTCAGTCCTAGTGGTTGTTCCTCCCAACTATACTTCCCTATTTACACAAAGCAGATATTAAACCGCAAGATTCGTTTTCCCGATCACCAAAAACTCTGTATGGTGCTGTTTCACTTCTATATTAGTCGTCCAGACACGGACAACTGAAAAGACACTGCTAAAAATATGTTGTGGGATACCATGACTGTTTTGTAATAATCAAAAGGCCACTTTCTTGAAAAAATATCCACTCTTCGCACATTGTGTGAAGGATAATGAATTTAGGTTCCCATTTATCTCTCCATTGCAATTTTCGCACCCACATCATGATAGCCTTCACGCATTTTCACATGCACTAATTGCTTTTGCATTGGCGATCACGGGGCATTTGAAAGAATTATTCTGATAAACAATTCGGTTGCAGTATTGGTTGGGCACATACCGTGATATCATGCGGGACCATATGCTTTCGTCTGGTTTTGTGTGAGTCGGTTACGTTAGAAATGCTTTCGCAAGCGTAGTACATCCAAAATCACTGATGGCTGAATCACAGAGGTTGATAGATTTGAGTTCTTTGAAAACACTCAAGACTATTTAGTCAATCTCAACGGTGAGGATTTTACGATGCTTCTCCCTCACAACTAAAACAATCGACGAATTGACATCTGTTAGTAACCTTTGTGAAGCCCAGCAAAATATCTGCATCATTTTCATTTCAACACTGAACTTTCTTTACTAGTCTGTAATTACTCGTCAGCGTTCACTAGGGACCTGATATTTACCTTAACATATATAAAGTTTGTCAGCTGCCGCCTGCCGGCAGGGACTTATGCCGTAATTAAATTAACTGGCCAGTTTAAACTGAACAATATAGCAGATTAACCCTAGTGATGATAATTCATTCCCTTCAAAAAGTTGCAAATACTTCGTGTACCGCATGTACTAAGTAATCGACTATATTCTCACTCCCATCTGAGGTGTAAAACACTAGAAAAAGGTCTGAAAGTATTGCCGTTTGATTACCACGTCTGCTGACGTTGCCCCACACACTATCTTAGAACAGGCGGTGACAGTGATCATAGGACTGTTTCTGAAATTGCTGGGAGGTTTTCTGTTTTTTCTAAAGATAATTAGATGGTTTCCAGTCACAGTTTTGTAATTTTGGAGTGCAACTTTGGGCAAAAACTGCGGGGGGATACAAATATTTTAAGAGAAAACAGAATAGCTTTTAGAAGGAAATTCAGCAGGTGATTGAGTATTATTTTGTGTGTCTGCAGGCATTAAAATAGGTTTACAAAATCAGATAGCGTCCATTTCGGAAATGCACTGTTTTATAATTGAATTATGAGGTAAACTCCATACTAAATACTAACTAAATGTAGTACACAAACAGAAGAGCAATGGTAGTAGCAATGTTGTGCTATTACAAGAGCCGAAATTTAGACGAGGCAGTCAGAAAGCACTAGTGACACATAAACCTCATCGGGAGGTATAACTGGTCACCTAGATGCGAATAGTTCCGGGGTAATGAATTAGGCCATTTCGTGAATCTGAAGAGTCAGTTGGAGAACAAACAGGCAAACTAATATGACGAAGACTTTGGATGTGTGAATTAAAGAAGGTTTAAATGCCAGCACAAAAAAGCAAAATCAGAGGAAAATACTGTCAGTTAGGATCGGTTGAAACTCAGATACCCAGATCAGATTCCTCGGACAAATGGCTAGAAATCATACAAATTGTTGCAAAAATTGAAAAACATGGGACGCAAATGGAGTCCAGGCCTCATTACCCAAAATCCATCAGCCGAATCCAACGAGCCACATCTATTAAAAAGTTAAAAGTAAAATTTACCTACTCCCTTTGATACAGTCCCAGGAAGTAAATTTGCAAATTAACAGTCTATGTATCATTCGGTTCCTACGCTTGCAGATGAGTGTACCATATTATTCAAGTACGCCCAAATTCTGCGACAGCTGCACCATAGTTGTCAAGACACAACTCTTGCACACTGAGCACACCAAAGCATGACCATATGCAATTAATAGTGTTCTCTGGGCTGGTTGGTTTAGTTACGGGGCTTTCGTCGTCCTTCTGGACGGCATCTTCAGCGCAATATTTAGCATAAAGTGAAATGATTTAAATTTCCTCATGAACGATATGATTGCGTCTCCCGGTAACCATCCACCTGAGCCATAAATCTTCTCTATTAGCATGACCATATATCTGTATACTCTCTCACACACCCTGCAACTGAAAAGACAGTTATTTGCAGCTTACTGTAGTAGAGGATGATGTCATCAGCTTTATTAGTTTGACTAAGTACGTTTTCCGTGGAGTTGGCCTCAGCATTACCAAAATCCTGCACTTCTAATGCGATGTTTTATTTGCCTACTAAATCTATTACTAATATACCTCCATTATAGATAAGATTTTATTTTGATAAATCACACAGCGTTGTACATTTATATGAACTGATGACGTTTCGAGCACAAACTATTGCTCATAATCATATCAACTTGATATGAAATAAAATCTTATCTATAATGGAGTTATACTCTACCAGAGTGCCCAAGTTTTATACTAATATACCTGTTTCCAAGATCTATAATTCTTTGAATTACTGCATGTATTATCTAGCTGGTTTCAGCTCTTAAGACTTAACTGTGATTACAATCAAAATGTCTTGCTGTAATTCACATTATCATTATAGGCATTCACATCTATCACATAACTTTTCTATTGGGATATAGTTTAAAAAATTGCATCTGCTATTCTACAGCTTGAAAATAAACCTGGTTGATAAAAATCCCTCTTTCAACATCATTTTCTTAATAATTTTAGATAACTTTTTATAGCTACAAGGCAATTTCACATCAAGAAGACGTAGAAGGTAACTCTGACCAGTACATGATCAATAGAATTAAATATATTTTTCAGTACCTCTCAACAGTTCATTAGTAGTGGCTGTACTGCATTTAAACCTTTTGGATTTCAAGATTGTATGGTTAATAAATAATGGAACGTCTCTATCTCAACTTTAAGAAGAACGGTACAAAAATGAAACTTGAACCCATTGTTACCTTTCAAGGCTTAGGCGGTGCTTCAAATTTTCAGGTCATCGCCGATGGACGGCATTATGGGGTGAGTTTCTCTTAAAGTCTGGGCTTCCATCTTTAAGTTTTCTCCTTATATCGTAGTTATTTAATTCTCTCGTGTTGTGGGGTCTTAAAAGAGAAGTCATGACGATTTTCTTGCAGGTTTTGTGTGAATAATTAATATCAAAATGTGGTTAATGAGCATGATATGTTTTGATATATTTTGTTGTTTTAAGCATAGTGCAGGCCTGGGCTTGAATTAGTGCCCTCTACTATATCCACTCATTTCTTCGAATTTTTGCATGCGTTCATGTATCTGGAGATAACAACCAAATGGATTCATCCAAAGTTGGTCCTTGGTAGATAATTTTTTGGTTAGTTTTAAGCAGTAAATTCTTGTATACTTCCCATTATCTTCAAGTTTCAGTGGATTACAAATCGTTGAGTTGTCAACCTTAAGAAAGTCAGGGAGTCTTTTGTCATGTAAATGCGCAAAGTGTTGCAAAATGTGGCATAGTCACTTGGAGCACCTCACTGGAATATCTTTTTCTTTCTGGTCACTAATAAAAAAGACATAAGTATCACGAATCCCCAGCGTTTTTGACAAAACCTATATCCGTCGACATGTAAACACTGTGGTATTCCTGAATGAGACAGGTGTGAGATATCACACTAGAGACCAACTTTCTGAAAGCAACTGTATGGGCAAAGTTAGATACCAAACAATAAGCAGCTGACAACAGCAACAGTAAAAGATGGGAAGTTGATAGTAGTAAAATGAAGTAATGTATATGTAAAAACAGCAATAGTATTATGCTGGACAACTGGGATGCCTTGTCTGCTAAATAGTAAGTACGATGATTTGCAGGCACATGTAGCTAACCCGGTATCCTCACTGAATTGTTGCTCTGTAGTTCATGTGAGCGTCAAGATACTATCTGAACGCCCAGAATGTAACGGATGGTTACCGCTCGGGTCCACTCTACGAGTTTTTGGACACTGGCATATTATCTTCAGAAGCTATGTTCCCAATGACTAATACAAGCTTTTCTCCCATCTCAGGTACGAGGACCCATGGGCACCATTATTTCGGAGCAGGGTTTGTATAACCCTCTTAGGAAAACTTTCCATAGTGTGAAGTGGTATAATAAGGTGAACAGTATTGAGGTGAAGCATCTGTCGGTTGCTAGGTATGGAGAAGGAATCAATCAACGAGGCTGTAAAGCTATATTGACTGAGATGGTTAGGACATGTATTACGCATGCATACCAGCAAGCCATCACCTTCCTCGACAATGGGCAATGTTAGCTGGAGACAATCGATGGTATGGCTCAGACTTATCGTTCCCAATGGCTGGCTCAGATGTATCCACTCCCTGTGACTTATAATACCTAATAAAACTATGTTCTTCGATATTACCATTCTTTTTGCCTCATATCTCTGTATACTGTCTCTGTTTTGCATTTCCTTCTCTTGCTTTGTATGCTACATAGAAGGAGGGTGGTGACTCAAACTACTGCACATCAGTGCAAAGTTCTATGTTGAAACTAGTCAGTCACAGACTGACAATCAACTTTCAAATGTTGTAGAAAATCTAATAGACTAATTAAGCACTACACTCTAGTGTAATATAAAAAAATAAGATGCAATTTAATAACATATTCTTACTTCAAACTGTAAACAAGACAAATAAGAATTTAGTTGTTGGCAATTTGAAATATCTAATGATGTACCGAAAATACAGTGTGGAATCAAGCTGTAAATAAAAAATAAAAAAAATAATAATAATTTTGTGACTCAATAGATCCAAGCACTCAAAAGCCATTGATATAATGGCACGATTGTCACACCACGTGTTAGAATCCATCACAAAATTAAATCTGTGCATTTAAATTCACATCTCACAAAGACACGCTGAGCTATTCTAATCATTATTCTTCCCACTTGAATTTTGGGATTTGAAGTATAACCTATCAGTCGTGGATTGAGATGCAGTATGGGCTGTCAGAATGCATCCAGGCTTCGAGCGAAACCACGACAAATAATACAGTTCAAAAACAAGTCAGGTATCACTTACACTAGGTGATCATCGATTTATTTGAAAACTCTATGATATTGCAATTATTATTTCTGCCCTGTTACGCTGGTACTTTCCGCAAACATATTGTGCGTTCTTTAATTTAAGTAGTGTAGTATTTATTATGCTACTAATAAAATGTACTACCAGTTTACAGTTCTCTATGGCTCTGAAACATGGCCAATACGCGTTGAAGACATGAAAAGGTTGACTGCTTTCGATCATAGATGTCTGCGATCTCTGTCTCACGTTAGGTGGTTTCACAAGATAAGTAATGTTGACGTTAGGCGTAGAGTGTTGGGCAAAGAGGGAAAATCAATCGACGAGGTTATAAAGTTACATAGACTAAGATGGCTAGGTCACGTGGTGCGCATGCCTAACCACCGCCTCCCCCGACGGGCATTGTTAGCTGATATAGGTTCAGGTTGGAAAAGAGCCAGTGGTGGCCAAACAAAAACATGGCATCAATCCATGAAATCCTTGACAGTTAAACTGAGTCAGGTAGGGAGATGCAGACTCCCGGGTTGGGGCCCTCGGGACTCTAGGAATCAATGGCTGGAGACAATAGGTGACATGGCTCAAAATCGTTGTCAATGGCGCAGATGTATTCAATCTCTGTAATCTTTCATATTCCTTTCTACCATTACCCATTCTGTTTCACTCCTATATTTGTCAAACTCTATTAATTCTCTCCACTCATCTTCTTGTCTACCTCTGTGTGCTATTTGGAACGTGGCAACTCGAACTGGTGCACTTCGGTGCCAAGTTCTATGTTGAATCCAGACAGACCAGTTTACAGCAATTTAGAACTGGGAGATTTTGTTACGAGAGGTGCTGTTTAACATTGATAAGTAATCCATTCTCAGTTTCTTTGAAATAATTTTCCTGTTGTTTAGAACTTTTCGTTCAATATCTAGATATATCATTATTTAGATTGGATTCGTCATAGTGAAAATGTTCTTTTATACGGATATGATTTTCAGGTCAACCCGTGGACTTGGTAGTAAATATGGACTTGGAAGTTCTCTAGGGTCGTCAAGTGATGTTGTGCAAATCCGGTTACAAGGCGACTCTTATCCGAGTGGTGATTCCCTTGGATCATCTGGCGCTGATATGTTTGGACTGCCTGGTTATACCGGTATCTCTTCCGGTCTTCCTTATTACGTTGACTCGGTGGGTGGTAATGTGGGTTTGTGTGGCGGAATGATGGGTTTTGATGATGAACTCGGTCACTCCGGCCTAGACAGCAATGAACTTGTCCAGCTTTTGGGAGGCAGTCAAGCTATCGCTCAATTGTCCGACAGCCAGCTAGAAGAACTGGGTCGTGCGCAGTTTACCATTGTGGATCCTAGAACTGACAACGAATTAGGTAAGTCCAGATGACACATAAACCTTAAAATGTTGGCCTCAATTTGTTACATCGATTTTTTCCCCAATAATCACAATCCCATACATTTTATTATTCACTTTCATTTCAGGAAGATAATTCCATCCATTCGTATAGGTAACCCAAAATCATTGTCCGTCAGAATTGGTCCTAATAAGTGCTTACAAAATGTCAGTAAAAACCAAAGTCATAGGACTAATTAAATTTAGACACTAAATGATTGTGAGGAATGAACACCCTTAAGAATAAGTCAAAATAGAATTTATTTGTAACAATTGTAATAACTTTATTCTGACTTCACAGAAAGAACCAACTGACCTCCTGTGAACTCCCCCAAAGTGTAGCGATTTAAAGATAAGCTCATTTTAACTCTACGCGCAGATTCCTTCATTCAAAGGCGGCAAAGTGTGGATGTCTTTGGAACTTAATGCTTTCATAATTACTCTTTATGAATGCTTGGTTGGAAGTCAAATAATTCCAGTACTACTATCTATCCTCTTTTCTACTATTCATTTTTTGTTTGCAAGGACATACATTTTAACAAAGAATAATATTATCTCATTTTATCTACTTGGATTAGTGGTAGTAACTTCCGATCTTTTACTCCATCTTCATTCGTTGTTTTCATGCTTGTTTGTTGATTACTTTCAGCCCAGTATCGCTTTCTCATTGTCTGTGCAATGGTGTTCGATATTGAAAGAACTTAGTCGTCAGAGTGGGGTTATACTTATATTTATGCTCATGGCTTATCTGTAACCCTGAAGCAATTCAAAACTGCCAATTCGAGAATCTCTGTCTAAAAAGACCTATGAAGTTATCCAGTTTACTAATGATCCTCAATAGGACAGATCATTCGATAGTAACCAGACTTAGGACTTCTATCTGTTAAATATCATTCGTAAAGTAAAACAGCTCTGCTAGCGAAAACTTTATTTAAAGATAAATTCTGGTGAATCCAGAGAATTACTTTGTTTATTTGCTGCAAAGTAGTCGGTACCCTTAAAGTGTTTTATTTACCACAGCTATATTTATACATCTATTCAAACATATACATCAACTTATATGTTTGTCTTGATTTCTCTTTACAGCAAACTGTCCTTTAAGTTTATCTGTAGAAGAGGATGATCGACCGTTAGATGAAGATGAAATTCTCTATCTGACTAAAGCAAAAAGTTTGGATTCTATTCGTATCATCTCGGTTCCTGCTTCCGGATATACAAGCATTAATGCTAGCCATTTAGCTAAATGTGTGAATCTCCGTGAACTGGATCTATCAGAAAATGCACTGCGTGTATTCCCCAGGCGTTTACATTTACCTCAGTTAACTAAACTGAGTATTACAGGGAATAGATTTATACATGTACCCCTAATTGAACAATTTCCTAAACTGATTCGATTGAATTTGGATGAGAATTTGAAACAAGTATGTTAATTATTTAATTATTAATAGATTTTAAATGGTTTTATTCTGTTTGTCCTTCCTACGGTGTATACATAAGGATATTTAAAAATATCCTTATGTATATATCTCAGTTTAAGTAAATACTTTATAAATAAGAGTTTTCCTACCAAGTTAATTCTACTGTCTCCTCAAAAAGTTTATTTGTAAGCTAAGTGTATATTTTGTAAACGGACATTCTTAAAAATATCAAGTCAATTGTGCTTGAGTATTTTCTCTCAAAATTCACTTCAGTATAAAAAACTAAATAGAAACCGTTGCTGAATTTACGGATGTATGAAGGTATTCTGCAGTTAATTTACTCAAGATCTTATTAGTGAAAACAAGCATGGTCTGTTTTAGACCAGACAAGACATCATATTATTCAACTTATTATTTCTTTTGTGAACGAAGATATAAACTGATTGTATTGTGCGAAATCTATATACATAACAACTTAGATAGTACAACGTCTTGATTTTTTTATTTCTTTACGTTCCCAGTGTGGAACACAGGGCTTCTAGCTAGAGCTTTGAAGTCCCGGTAGCAGTGGGATGAGGTTGCTAGCTCCATATCCAACATTCCCTCTCTACAAATCTTATTAATGGCTTATCGAGGTAAAGGAGTGCGTGGGTCGGGGATCGGACCCTGAACCATCTGCGTGGTTGGCGAGCATTCTACCGCTGTGCCACCGACTCTTGTTTAAATTAAGCGTTATCTTTTAAAGACTACTTCCGTCACTGAGTTATACAAACTATCTGGGCATCCAGACTGCATGTGTCTGCCTTCTAATCCCCCCCCCAAAAGACCTAACTTTAAATTACCGTATGACATACCTCAGAAATGTGTCATATCCCTCAGCTTATTGATCACGCCACTCACCTGAGAGACAGATTTTAACCAACTCTTGAGACTAAATATTGGCTATCACTTCATAAATAATTTCTATAAACTCTGCAATACCTATTGAGTTGTTAAACTAAACATAACTTCACACCTTCAACATATCCTAAAAGTGTCAATTATTCCCGGTATATCGTGTTAGCTTCACCTGAGTACTAATATCCCTTAATTTCTCATGTAGTTCTGTTTACTGGAATCTCTTTCGACAGCCTAACTGAACAATCAGTATTAATAAGTTGTTTAAAAAGCTCTGTATATTGAAATTTATCACCATTACTTGACTGTGAGTCTTTTCACTGTATTTGACAAGCATATGTGTCAACAAAAAATGAAGGAAAGAAACTGTCCACGTGTTGATTATTTCGAGCCGAATAAAATGTTTGGTTAGAATAGAATTCAGCCGTCCCAATAACGAGAATTCCGTAAAGCAAACAAATTATACTTTCCATATTTACGTATAATCCCTTGTCTAATACACTCTCACATAGTTTAGCGGTTAGGCTTCCTGGTGTCTGCGCAGGTAGAAGTCAGGTGGAAGATCCGGGTTCAACTCCTTGCCAACTCACTTCTAAACCTCACCTAACCCGTAATAAGCCCGGCAAAGAGGGGAGACTGAGTCTTAAGCTAGCAACATCATCCCGATGTAAGAGCAAAACCACTACTACTGGAATTTTGAAAAGAAGAAGCTGTAGGATTCACACTTACTTTCTTATTATGCATTATAGAAAATGATATGTAGCCAAGTGTATTTCTATTGCCATTCATTCACCCACTTATTCTTGTTTTTCAATGTAGCTATTAAATCCTCAAATGCTGGTCTATTTTTGTCCAAAACTTAAATATATCAATAGTATATACTTTGAAGAGACGCTTAATGATTTCACTATTCGTATTATACAAGAAGCTAGATCTATAATGGAACCGATTGTGAGTACTTTTGTTGTATACCGTTTATTATTATTATTGTTGTTCATATTAATATTAAGTATTAATTATTGCTATTTAAGCATGATAACATCCGAAGAAATTATCTTTTGATCACATAAATTGAACTAACTAAACTGAGTGAACTTTGAACAAAAACAAGGACATGTTGTGCAGCATAAAATGGTCTTATTATATCTTATTAGTTCTTTTCAACTACGTACAACCATGCATCATTTAATATCAATGTACAAAATATTCAAATACTGTAGTTACTGACCATAAAAGTGATGGATATTAATTGATATCACGTGATTAAGTAGCAAAATGCGAAGATAGGGAGTGAAACGGTGACTGAGCGTGTCGACCACTTCACTTATTTAGGAAGTTAAATCAGCCAATGCCAGCGGGTTGATCTCTGACGAAGTCTCACCACGGATACAGAAGGCCCGTTTCGCATATGCCAGTTCACACCATCTCTGGCATAGACGTGATATCCGGCTGGCTGTCGACAAAAGACATGTGTACTGCTCACCAGTTCGCTCCACCTTCCTTTATGGCTTATTGTAGAACCTGGCCATTGAGAGGGAAAGACATACAAAGGCCGGCTAGCTGTCTTTGATCATAGGTGTCTGCGGTCTATCTCCCGTGTGTATTAGGTGGCATAATGAGGTGAGGCATCGGTCGAGTGATGGGTAAGGAGGGAGAGGAAGTCAGTCAACGAGGTTGTGAAGCAGCTGCATCGATTGACATGGTTAGGGCATGTGTTACGCATACCACCGAGCCATCGCCTTCCTCGACAATGGACAACATTAGATAGCTGACAAAGGGTCAGGTTGGAAAAGAGCCATTGGTGGTCAAACCGAAATATGACCTCATTCTATTTTATTTTTATTATAGCTTGATTCCACACCGTATTTTCGGTACAAGTGTGGAATTTCCAGCATGTGAGATCGGTAGCCCAAATTTTTCAGGTCGATCATTCATATCAGGTGTGTGTCGGCAGGGGATCAAACCCCGGACCATGCGTATAGTCGGCGAGAGTCCTAGCCGCTGTGTTACCAGTCAATGAATCCACAACAGTTAGTTTATCCAGCCACGTAGGAAGGTGTAGACTGGCTTCTTGATTGGGGTCCTCGAAATGGTAAGAACCAATGACGACTGGAGGCAATTGGTGATATGGCTCAAACTCATTGTTCTCAATGGCTGGTGCAGACGCATTCACTCTTTTTGATCTCTCATATCCAATAAAATTCTATTGTTGTTCCATATTATTATTATTCCTTTTGCCTCTCATGTCTATTTATTATCTCTCTATTGAATCTCTTTTTACTCTCCTCTCCTGCTTTTTGTGCAACATTGATTGTAGCAACTTGAACAGCTCTGCACATCTGTGCAAAGTTTTATGTTGAAACCAGTTAGTCAGTCAGTCAAGTGTCGAGTATTAGGTAGGGAGAGAGAGGATTAATTGGCGAGGTTATACAGTTACGTCGACTGAGATGGTAGGGCATGCGTTACGCATGCCTGATTGGAGCCCTCGGGATGATGGGAACCATTAGCTGGAGACTATTAATGATACGGATCAAAGTCGTTCCGAATAGCGCATACCCATTAAACCTTACTGCTTTTTCTATGTTATTATTCTGTCTCCCCCATATTTATGCTTATTACTGTTAGTTCAAATATCTTTTTTTCTCTATCCATCTTCTTTTGTGTGCTACACATGGAGTGTGGCAACCCGAAATGCTGCACTTCTGTACAAATTTCTTCATTGTTAAGCTCATTAGTGTGCATGAAAATAATTAAGAAATCCTCTAGAACTACAATAAGCTGTTACAAATAGAATAGGGGTGTAAAATTAACAATACACTTATGTAAAGGTCAAATCATTTAGTTGAACAGAGGTCAGAAAGAGAGCATGATCAAGAATATAAGTAGGAAAATGACATTACCAGGACAAATTATAATTAAGATGACAAAATTAAGGAAAACTATTTAATCACATAAGGTATATTTACCAGGATAAGGCAAGATTAACGACGTTTTTCCTTCTGGATGAAAAATTTGGCCATAACTATCTTGAAATTTAATTATCTTAAAAAATTCTAATGTATCGATTTCATGACTACTGTCTCACACCTGGTGATCAATGCCACTACTATACACTTTCCACCCTTCAGACTCAATCTTCTTGGAATGTGTTCAGATATGTGGTCACAAATCTTTCTGTCTACTCGTTTGATATGTGTGTGCTTTGGCGCGTACATATAAATTGGTATATACGGTAGGAGGTAACATAAAACGGGGACTTGTTAACCTTGAATAATTGTCTCAGTGAGCATTTTATTCGTTAAATTGTAACTAGTCTGGCAGCTGAATAAATTCGCACGAAAGCAGCATTTATTCTACATTTAATTCTTCTAGATATGTCATAACATTTGAGGGAAGATGGGGCATGGGGCTAGCAACCCTCCCCCCCCCTACGCCAGAGATACCTTAAGACAATTAGATGATATGTAATCATTATTTCATAAGTATGAATAGATCTGCATTTTCAACTATACTACTATCGTTATTAGCACTGTTACCATGTTTTTTCTGTTCACCATGTTAGATACGTTCAAAATGGGAAACTGACTTTACTGATCGATATCCCTTTGTAAAAAATCGTGAAGAACGCATGACGTTAATTGGAAACATGATCCAGCAGATAAGAGAACGTAATATTATACTCAGTGAAGCTTTAAATAAGTATAAAGATTTATTGGTAAGTTGAATTGTGTTTTTCTTTTTAAGTGTATGGTAATATAAACGTTTGTTATAACTTTGTATGATTGAGAAGACAGGAATCCTATGAACCGATAAGAAGACACTAGGAGATGTGGATTTCACGCGAAAATGATTTACGTTTGATGTCACACATCCAAACTGGAAGACTTACAGGCAGGCAAAAACCAACAAACTGGTTGAAGAGAAGATATGCAGCGAAAACAGAAATCAAAGTGAATATAAAGAAGACAGAGGTGATGATGATACCCACCAACCAACAGTAACACCACCATCAACGGAAAAGATTTGACTGAGGTCACTTCCTTCACTTATCTAGGTAGCTACAGCATCGTTTCAACTACAGGCGGGCGAAACGGATGTAGATGTCGAAGCCAGGCCAGCCAGAATCAGAAAAGCAAGATACGCCTTCATCACCCTGAAACCAGTTTGGAAATTTTCTGTACTCCGCCGCAGCGTAAACAACAAGATTCGTATTTTCAGCACAAGTGTCAGTTGAATCAGTTCTTCTGTACGGGTGAGAAACTTGCTCTGCGTGCCACGGAAAGCATTTCCAACAAGTTGATGCAGACTTTTATCAACATTTGCCACATTCACTGGCTCCATATTAAAGATCAAATGGCTGGCCGGCCGGCCAGAAAGAATTAGCAATTAGAAACTTTGACTGGGAACACACCAACAGGCGAGAGCCGATTACTCAACAAATATGCAGGAAAAAATGGAGATAGATTGGGCATACGTTGAGGAGGCCGTCGAATGACATCGCTCGACAGGAATTCCAATGGGGAGCGACGAGTAGGTCGTCAGTGCAAGGGTGATATGGAGGAGATTATGGGCGATCGTGGAGCTAGCCAGCTGAAGAGGACAGTAAAAAATAGAGCAAAGTAGAGTTACGTTGATGAAGCCCTATGTTCCAATTGCAAACCAAGTGAATAATAATGATAACTGTGTAATTTTCTTGTCGTCTCAATATTTAACATTGCATTCCTAATAACCCTTAATGTTGCTTTCATTATTTCTTTATTTTACTTTAGTCAATGGGCGTTTCTGATTGTCTAACAATTAAAATAGCAGTTATTGCATCACTGAGAGATTTAAGCATTTATGCTTTTACTATTGACATATTTGTTAAAATTTTAGACATCAGTAATCTGAGGTCGTATAGACACCCATAGAAACACATATATATGTATATACTGATGTTACTCTTCAGCGCTAGATGTAGAAAAAGCCAATGAATCGATTCCCAATAGTTTTTGTTCGCTACTCATAAAAGACCAAAAGATTGAAATTTAGTGATTTTAATATAACTACTTATTACTAGAAAGTAGTATAGTTTTGTTCTATACATACGTATAGTATAAATTAATTATTAATTAATCTTTCCTTCACGTTCCCAGTGGAACATAGGGCTTCAAGCTAGTGGCTTGAAGTTTCTGTAGCAGTGTTTATTTTACAGGATGGGGTTGCTAGCCTCATGACCAACCTTTCCTCTTTACCAGCATTATTTCTGGCTCAGCGAGGTAAAGGAGTGCGTCGGCCGGGAATCGAACCCCGGACCATGTGCATCGTCGGCGATCGTCCTAATCGTTGTTCCACCGACTCACTCGTATAATATAGTCTTAGCTGTTAATTGTATCGATTAGAAGTTTCCTGTGCTGTTGACTTTTGCATATGTTATCTTTTACAAAAGCTTATCATTACACTTTTAAGTAATATGTTTACTTAGACAGTAATTAGAGAATCAGTACTACTAGTGATCATTCTGCATTTCTGTTAACGCCATCGTTTCTTTGATCGGATACTAGGTGGGTGAGGTTATACACACTATCACAAATCAAACTTCAAATAATGGAAATGATTTGTCGCTAAGTTGGATGATATTGCATTAATTGTGTTCTCTGAGCTCTAGTTGATTTAATCGCGAAACTTGCGTCGTTGTCCTTCTAGGCAACATCCGCCTTCAGCACAGGTTTTTAGTATAAAATGAACTTATTTAATTGCTCCACGAACGATGATGTAATTTTCAAAAGAGTTGATATTGAACAAAGAGTACTCTTTTTGATAACTTCACCATCAGGCTCTACATTTATACATACAAATAGTGAATGAATGAATGAATTAGTGTTATGAACAACATTAACGCTGTTTAAATAACATCGAATCAATAATATTGATGATTACAGCTCAATAGCATCAAAATAAAGTAGGCTGAATGTCAACCACTAGTGTGATTGATTGCTATTTTACGTCTCTATTGATCATTTTCTATTGACTTGGAATTTGAACTTTCGTGTCATGTGATTTACTTTTTATTAGTTGGTAAATTTGGTCTATAATGTTTGTTAATCGCCGACTGATTCATTTGAGTACCAGGATTCTAAAAATTCCTTGGCATTTTTGGTGTTTCCTCTGTTTAAAATTTCGACATTATCCAAGTCAAATTGGTGTCCATAAATATCTACATGAAATTATATGACAGAATATTTATCATGTCTTTTTAAAGCCAATTTGTGTTCCTGGCTTGTGATTCGAAGGAGACGCCCACTTTGGTCGATGTAATGTCTGTTACAGTTCATACAACTTATTTTGTAAATGGTATTAATTTTATCTTCTTTTTCTGTTGGATCTTTCGGTTCGCACAATACCGAATGAAGTGATTGGACTGGTCGGTTTGTGTGCTATATTTATTTCAAACGGTCCTAATATTCTAGTCGTTATTTCAGAGATATTCTTTATGTATGGTAGAGTGAATTTTCTTGTGGTCTTTGATGATAGTTTCATGTTGGTGTTACGAGTTGAGTTTAAACACTTTTTGATAAAACTGTAAAGACGGTTAGTAGGTATTTTTTTGTCCATTCTCTTCAACAGTGGAGTCCTACATTGTGTTTGAACTCTTCTAAACAATGTCTACACACAGTTTCTTTTGAGGGTTATCGGGTTATCACTACAATAGTTGAGTCTTTTGGTCCGTGTTGATTTTCCATATACTTTTGTCTCTAAATTTCCTGTGTTAGTTCTCTTGATTAAGACATCTAAAAATGGAATTATGTTGTCTAATTCTTCTTCTATTGTGAATTTAATGTCCTCAAATATGTTGTTTATTAATTTGTGGGTATATTTCAAATCATTTCTTTTGAGTATTAGAAGTGGATCATTAAAGTAGCTTACCCAGATTTTTGGTTTAGTTATAGGTAGAGTTATTAATTCTAATCTTTGCGTGACGGCTTCAGCTATTTATCCTGTTATGGGCTATTCCATTGGTGTTCCTTTTAGCTGTTCGTATTTTCATTATTGAATTGGCAATATGCTGTAAGACATAATTCTATGAGTTCCATCCAAGTTGAACATAACATTTTTGTGTTCTCATCGCTTTAGACTATTTGTGACATAGTTCCTTTCTTTAGGTTTGGACCAATTGAAGTTTATAACGTTGCTACATCAAAGGACACCATTATTTCATTGCCACCCACTTGAATGTTTTCGATTCTCTGTAGAAATCGGATTGCCAAATTGATAGAATGGTCGCATGATTCTGTTAGCTACACGGAATGTGGCGACTTGAACTTCCGCACATTTGTGCAAAGTTCTATGTCGAAAACAGACAGACATTTTAATTTTCTGAAAAGTTCTTTGGATGCATTATACGTGGGTGTTCCTGGTAGCGAAACGATTAGTCGTAAGGGAATTTTTGGTTTGTGTAGTTTTTGTGAAATTGGGGGTAAACTAAAACCTGCGCTGAAGATGTTATCTAGAAGGACGACGAAAGATTCGCAATTAAATCAACCAGCTCAGAGAACATAACTAATTCACAAATCAAACGTACAGCGCTTTCATGTAAGGTAGAATGAAAGCCGTCAGTCACGGTTTGAATTTCCTCAGGTAGTTGATTTTGTACTGCTACTTCAAATCGGCTGTTACGTCTAGCTGTTTTAAAGGGTTTCTATCAATTCTTCTACTCAACTAGAATATCTGTTGTGATGTTTCCGATACTTTCGCTCCCGCCAAATGCAAGATGATGTTACAGGACTGGACTACATCGACGCCTAGTTTAAAAATAGGAAGTGAAGTGGTAGAGCACGTTGACTGCTTCACTTATTTGAGAAGTACCATCAGCCAGTGCCAACGGGTTGATCTCTGACGAAATCACAGCACGAATACAGGGGGCTCGTTTCGCATTTGCCAGTTTACGCCGACTCTGGCGTAGACGAGATGTTCGACTACTGACCAAAGGGCGGGTGTACTGCTCATCAGTGCGCACCGTCCTCCTTTATGGCTGTGAGCGAGACCTGGCCACTGAGAGTGGAAGACATGAAAAAGGTGACTAGCTGTCTTTGATCATAGGTGCCTGCGCTCTATTTCCCGTGTAAAGTGGCATAATAAGGTGAGCAACATTGAGGTTAGGCGTCGAGTTCTAGGTGAACAGGGGAAATCAATCGACGAAGTCGTGAAGTTACAAAGACTGAGATGGTTAGGACATGTGTTACGTATGCCTAGTCATCGCCTACCTCGACAATGGGCAATGTTAGCGGATATAGGGTCGGGCTGGAAAAAAGCTAGCGGCGGTCAAACAAAAACTTGGCACCAGTCAATGAAATCCACAACAGTTGGTCTAAGCCACGTAGAAAGGTGTAGACTTCCAGGCTGGGGTCCTCGGGACGGTAAAAATCTATGGTTGGAAACAATTGGTGACATGGCTCAAAATCGTTCTCAGTGGCGCAGATGCATCCACTCCCTGTGACTTATGATTTCCAATGAAACTTTTTTGTTCTTCGTTATTACTCCTTTGTCTCACACCTCTGTTTACTGTTTCTATTATGCTTTTCTTGTACTTTCTTCTCTTGCTTCGCGTGCTACACGGAGTGTGGCGACTTGAACTGGCGCACATTTGTGCAAAGTTCTATGTCGAAAACAGACAGACAGACAGTTTCCGATACTATGGGCTAAAACACCTCGTGATAGCCTTTATCTACATTCATACTAGTTGATAACTTATATTATTCGCCTAGTCCTCCATATGGTGCAGATTGAATTCTGTTATTCAAGTTCGCGATATGATAACCATGCTGGGTGGCTCACCCACACGGTGCACTCTGGATTGTTGTTATCTGATGGTTGGAGGCAATGGACCATAAACCGTGGATGTAGGTTTCGTGCATACTGACACTCTCTAAGAAGACCTGTCTTCACTCTTGAGGGAACTCTTTTCCCTTGAACCCCACACTACTCTGTGCTGATATCCAAAACGTTACCAATGAGTTATCGTCCCTACATTAGGCAATTTTTTCTACACACATCTTTTGTACTAAGTCTGTCTTTATTCATGTAGTAGTTTCGTGAATGAATGTGACTTGAGTGCTCAGGTTAATTCTTGATTTATAAGTATTTTAACCTCTTGTATTAATCTCTATCTTGCTTCAAATATATACAACAATTTTATAACAATCTTTATTATGAATATTCAGTTACACATACCTACAATATTTTTTTTCTAATCGCTTAATTTCTTTTCAGCTTTTTCGATCTATTGATGAATTACTCCGATCAAAATTGTATGATGCCTCTGATACAGAACTATTGAATGCAGTTGATTCGCTTGTAGATGATAAATTAACAACAAATGTTGATAATACTCTGGACATGACAGCTGCTTCTGTTACTGCGAATGGACACACTGAGGAAGATTACGCCTTAACTGAAGCTTCACGAATAGCTGATAGTGAATTGACTCCTTCAGGTGATTGTACTGTTGTTGCTAAAGTCACCGCCGCTGCTGCTCCTGGTGGTGGTGCTACTAATACTACTTCACCGCATAAAAGTGTTGATTCGCTTCATTTGATGAATGCAAAACTGTCTCTATGTGATTTAGAATCTGATGATACACACGATGACGATGAAGAAGAAAAAGAAGCGGCTGCACGTGCTGCCAGTTAGTTTCATTTACTAATTTTCTTTAACTGTTATTATTATTTTTAATATCTTCTATGTTTTTTTCCTTCACGTTCCCCAGTGGAACATAGGGCTTCAACCTAGTGGTTCGAAGTTTCTGTAGCAGTGTTTATTTTACAGGATGGGGTTGCTAGCCTCATGACCAACCTTTCCTCTTTACCAGCATTATTTCTGGCTCAGCGAGGTAAAGGGGTGCGTCGGCCGGGAATCGAATCCCGGATCATGTGCATGGTCGGCGAGCGTCCTAACCGCTATGCCACCGACGCACATCTGTGTTTACTTCAGACATATTAGCTGAACCTTCAGTTAGGCAAATTGAATATATATCCTTTGAACCTCACAGTATTCTGATCGCAACATTAATAGGTTCAGATCTAAGCTAACGAAATTATCTATATAGTCTTTTATTTTAATGATCTCTGATGACTGATTGGTGTGCATTGGTCCCACCCACTCGGATTCCCTCTCCCCCCTCTAATAGATCAACAGCCTTATTCTTGATAGATTTTAGAAAAGCTCTCAGCTGCTAATAAAAATCGTATCAATAAAATACTTTACATATTTATCCTGTATTGTCTCATCGCGCAAACCTCTAGGGAGATAGTCGCGGTGTCTTAAATGATTTCTGTATTTATCTTGTGTTACATTCAATCATAGACAGAAAATTAATATAACTTAAATTCATATAAAATCAACTTGTTTTGTTGTAGGTGTATTTGTTGTGCTTGCGAAGGTGTCTACATATCTGGTATCTGATACGGCTGGCTGGCTTGCTAGTTTCAACAAATAACTTTGCACGGATGTGCAGCAGTTCGAGAGATAATAAACAGAAATGCGAGGCAAAAGGAATAATAATATGGAAGAACAATAGAATTTTATTGAATATGAGAGATTACAAAGAGTGAATGCGTCAGCACCAGCCATTGAGAACAATGAGTTTGAGCCATATCACCAATTGCCTCCAGTCGTCATTGGTTCTTACCATCCCGAGGACCACAGCCAGTCAGGAAATCTACACCTTCCTATATGGCTGACTGTCTGGCTTAAACTAACTGTTGTGGATTTCATTGACTGATGAGGCCATGTTTTGGTTTCACCACCACTAGCTTTCTCTTTTCCAACTTAACCCTATGTCAGCTGACATTCCCCATTGTCGAGAAAGGCGGTGACTCGCTGGTATTCTCGCTTAACACATGTCCTAATCATCCAACTCAGTCGATATAACTTCACAGCCTCGTTGATTGATTTCCCCCTCCTTACCAACACTCGACCGATGCCTCACCTCAATATTGTTCACCCTATTATACCACCACCACACCGGAGATAGGACGCAGACACCTGTGATCAAAGACAGCTAGCCGGCCTTTGTATGTCTTCCACTCTCAATGGCCAGGTCTCACAGCCAGCCATAAAGGAAGGTGGAGCGGACTGGTGAGCAGTACAAATGTCCTTTGTCGACAGCCAGCCGGATATCACGTCTATGCCAGAGATGGTGTGAACTGGCATATGCGAAACTAGCCTTCTGTGTCCGTGCTGAGATTTCATCAGCGGTCTACCTGCTAGCGTTGGTTGATGCAACCTGTGAAATAAGTGAAGTGGTCAACACGCTCAGCCACCATTCCACTCCTTATTTCTTAGCTAGGAGTCAACGTAGTCCAATCCTGCATCACCATCTTACATTTGGCGGAAGCAAATCGTATGCCAAACATCCGCAGATTGCAGCTCAATGTGTTCAGAAGACTCCGACACTAACTGAATTACTAAGTAGTGCAGAAGTGGAAAGATCAGTTTAGCGGCAATGTTTATAGAATCACAAGAGCAATTTTCAAGCTTATCAGGATTAGATTTTAGAGAAATATTCAGTTTGATACTTCTCAGACACATTTCCAAAAAAAAACTACTAATGTTTGATTGATAATTGATTGTTTGAAGTCCGATGTCTTCGGTGTTTAGACTTGTTCTGTGAATGTGCCTTTAGGCGTTTCGAACCAGCTGTCAAGTTTGTGGAGAGCTATGGCTCACTGGTTTACATGCTCGATTTCCATCCAAGTGAGTCACACGTTCAAATCACGCCTCACCCATTGAAGTTTGAGCAACCAGGTTGGTATTACTAACCCTCACACCATAGGTGCGGTTCACTGCCAACTGCACAGACCTGCATTTCGCCCTTTTTCGATTATTCAATTGAAATAAGTCACTTTATATTCAGAAATTAGCCTACTATACAGTCATCACTCCAGTTGTTGATGTCAAACGAGATAAATTTCTTCATTTTGTTACATTGCGTAATCGGTATTGTCAGATAATAGCAATTATATTATTTTTCGCCATTTTTCTGTTCTAGATGAATGTGCATTGTTCGATGCTGCTGATGAGTTATTAGGTACACATCTGCCTGATTTACAATTATTAGCTCAAAATGCTAATCAACTGCAAACCACATTTTTTGTTGATTCAATGGGTCGTTTACATCAACAACAAGTACTTCTTGCATCGAATGGTACTTGTCAACTAGGCTTACCAAATAATGGATTGTCAAATTATCAACTGCACTTGGGACGTTCACTGCGACAAGGTCGTTCAATTGTTATGACTGTTGTTCGTCCACGTGGTGTTAGTGGTCGACCGGTGGCTGAATTTCTACCCGGTGAACTGCGTAATAAAGACTATGTGAAAGGTTATATGGCTTCTGAGATATATAAAAAAGCTGTGAAAGACACTTTGGGACAAAAAGTAACTCCTAAAAAGTGAGTATGAAAGCATTAGGCTTTGTCCAGATGCATATACTTCTTTATTTTTTTTATCATTAATGTGAATTAGACTAAGTGGATTTTTACACTATGATGACACCCAGTGGCTATAAGTGAAGTCTCAAAGACTTTTGGATGTTGATTTCTATACTACTACTACTACTACTACTACTGATATACACATATCAAGATATGGTGGTTCTTTCTTAAACCCTTCTGTGAATTCGATCAATCACCAAGGGGCTTACTGATGGGCACATAAACTGTGTACCTGTAAACTTTTCCTAGACTAGGTATGTTTTTGATTGAGCTGGAAGAAATCTCAATTGTTTCATCATGAGCTAACATCCGTTATTAGAGAACCATTTAGAGCCTGAGTGTACTGGACAGCTGTCTCGTCCTGGCCTGCGACTTCTTATTGTGCCATCCTCTTTTCTGGTCATCAGTATACTGATATTTTCAGCTTCGTGTCTTTGAAATACAAACGCAATCTGATGAAGTTCTTGGTCCGCAGAGCAAGAGTAATCTGCTCGGATGCATGTCTTAATGAAGAACTTAATAATATTAAACGATTACTGAGTGAAAACTGTTATCCAGAGGAGTTTGTTGATAAGAATATGAATCTAAAATCAATGCAGCCCAAGGTACAAACAGTTTCTAAAAAGGCCTTGTTCTTAAAAATGTAGTTCCATGGGGACAACATCAACGAGATATTAATATAGCGCCTTATAAATGCTGTAAAAAGAGCATTCCCTGCTGCCGAATTACACTGTGTCTTCAAAACCACGCCTCTTTTGCATTCGGGAGTAAAAGACAAACTGCCTAATTTCGCCTCTTCCATGGGTATCTACCAGTTTAACTGCTCCCGTGGAGCCAGTTACATAGGCAACATAATCAGGCGTGTTTCTCGTCGAATTTCCGAACATCACCTTGCATAGTGGTTAAGTAAAGGACAAACAAAATCCATTCATAGCACTATTCTATCTCACCTTGTGACTGCAGAACACAAGACTGATGTTAACCATGCTTTCAGGATAATTTACCGCATACCAACAAATCTCAATTTCGCCCTAAGAGTTCGACTAATAAATATTGCTGAGACTGATGGGAATCATATTAAGAAGCCTAATTTGTGCATCCGAAAGAAGTTAGTTCAAACATTATCCTTACCTTGGCCATCTAGGTTTGATTGATCCTGAATTTCTGTGGAATCTTCCTAATTTTAGGTGATATTCTGTTTGCTACAAAGTTAATTGTCTATAAAGTCGTTACTTCCTTTGATTTATAACTCGTATAATGTGCTAAGCTGAATAACAAAAGCATTTAGTTGATAGATTTCCAGACAAGAAATATCAATAGAAGTTACGCAACCGAACCGATCGATTGTAAACTGGATTAAACTTTGGTTAGGAATTATTAGATTGTCTGTAACACCACCCACCTATAAGCAGCCTTGGTAGAAATGGTTTGACAGATACTTTAAAGTAAGAAACAATCACATCCTACACTATCCTATTAGTTGAAGATGTAATATTTGAGTATACTTGCTGAAACGAATCTGACATTTTTCAATAAAACTACAAATTAATTAACATATTACTTATATTTTGAAGGCGAACCGGAACAGGACGGGTACGGAAATCAGATCAAGTCAGTACTTCTGCAGCGGATAAATCTTGGCCTGGATCTGGTATGGTTCCACTCGGTGAAGTTAATATTGACGCTAACACACCAGGTGCAAGTGGCAAAAAAGCATCTGGTACTGCTAACCAGTACCGATCGGGTAAAGTTGATTTTGATACTAGTGAAGATTCAGGTGGAGCAACTGGTGGTCTTCCTCCACGACCAAAGAAACGGAAATCTATGGGAATGCACAGGTAATGTCTGCTACACTATTGTCTCTTGTGCTTTCCAAGTTCTCATTGCAACGGCAGAAAATATGAGAACTGGCAACGAACTTCTTTATTAAGGAAAAAAAACATGTCATATGCATTTTTAACCACATTAAAAGTCGGCTAGGTTAACGGACAATAGACCTTTCTGATTGGTTGACGATTGGCCTAAGGTCAAACAATGAAACATACAGTTGTCCAATAAGGTTGTTTCATATCCACAACGTAAACTATGCCCAGATTCGAGGAATAAACACTTCTACCTTTATAGCCACCGTCTTAAAATGGTGATTTAAATTTTGACCACATACTACTGATAAAATCTTGTCAGTAGCACACGCCACACCATAAGCAACAACAAAAAATGGACTGTTTGAATAGGCGGATGATGACGCTCCTTACTGATACAGTAAGGAAAATAAATCTGAATCTATAAGGTATAAGAGGTACAGACACATTTCGTCCTACGATGCTGATGGAAATGGAGTGCTTTCCTTAGAACTTCTGACTGTCAGCCATAATTGTCAATCTGACAGTCATTTGTATAATGATGACAAAAAACTTGTCAATAGGAAGGTCCAAAAGTATATTTCATAGGTTTTGTTGCATATTGTCTACAGTTTTTCTTAAGTGGATCGGGAATATTTTTGACGCATCCAATAATTTCTTTTCATTCGCCCTCGTTTCAGATGGGACATAGGACTTCAAGCTTTAGTCTTTTAAGTTTTTTACTGGATGAAGTCGCCAGCCTCACTCCCAGCCTTCTCTCTTTTACCGGATTACTACCAACCAGGTGAGGTTTAGGAGTATGTTGAGCGGGAGTCGAACCTTGATCCAGAATTGTATCATGTATTGCGACAGTTTGTTAGGCTAACTAAACATGGCTATTTTTAATGTTTGATAAGCATTTTTATGTTAATGTCATCATTATCTGAATATAATAATTAGCGGAAAAATGTACAGTGAATTTTGCCGCTTTTTTAAACAAAATTGTATGCATTCTATGCAAATTAGGTAGGCATGGTTTAACGAAATAAACAGATTGTTCTAGTTTCTTAATCTTTATTGTATCCTCCTATTCTGCATCGTTTTGTTTAAGAAGCTTACGGGATCTATGTTCAGATACACCTTTCCCATCTGATGCCTACAATACAATGAATTCAGTGGCAACTGCTGGTCCTCGCTCTGATGCAACTCCTATCGACTATGACCCGCTACACTTTATTCGTTGTCATGCTAAAGATAATGATGCTGGTGATAGTGAAACTAAGGTGTGGCGTTGTCTTTTCGAACCAAATCCATTACGACCAGATGAAACAACTCATGTGGTTGCCACTTGTGGAGGTGAATGTGTATGCTTAATCAATTGTGAAACTGGCAAAGTTATGAAGCGTTTCAAGCACATGGAAGAGGTAAGTACCACCTACTATCTGCAATACTCATGTCACTAGTTCGTGTTGTTGTTGTATTCGATTAACTAAAGTCCGTTATTCATTATTATTTAAAAAAATTGTATTTCCTAATGAATGAAAAAAACGAAACGATATTGTTAGGTTTAATGAAGTTTCACTATTCAAAGCTGTTAACAGCTTTATCAAAGTGATATTAAACTAGAACTCACAAAATCTCAGATTATTTATGTGTGTATACATTATTGTTTCCTTTAGTCTCTAGAGGAACATAGGGCTTCATCCACATGTCTTTATTGCGTTTGGTTCGCTGCCAACGTTTTCACCTGGTTCCACGTCTGCTCACATGCTTTCATCTCCTCCTCGCATGACCACCTCCACGTCACCCTCACACTGACGACCAACTCGCCGCTTTCCATGCGGGTTCCACTCGAGCGATGGCCTGTTTAGCGATGTCACTTGATGGTTTCCTCAAAGTATGGCCAATCCATCTCCATTCCTTCCTGCTTATTTGTTGCACAATCTGTTCCTTCTGAGTTGGTTCGTTCCCAGAGATCCCTGTTGCTGATATTTTCTGGACAGCCATCTGATCTTGAGTAGTATTGAGCAAAGACAACTGTTAATGAAGGTCTGTAGTTTGTTTGAGGTGCTCTTCTTGACGCGCCAAGTTTCTGATCCGTATAGTAGCACTGACTTCACATTGGAGTTGAAAATCCGGATCTTATTTTTGATGCTGAGTGCTGTTGACCTCCACACAGACTTGAGAGTAATAAAAGCTTGCCTTGCTTTCCTGATCCTCGCTTTGATATGCCTGTAGTTGAAACGATGCTTCTCAGGTACGTAGGTAAAGGAGGTTGCCTCTTCTAGATTTCTCCCATTTATGCTGATTGTTGTCTGCTGGGGTTGTTCCTGTTGCCGTTGGCCAGGAATCTCCACCACCTTTGTTTTCTCTATGTTCACCTGAAGTCCTATCTTTGATGCTTCTTCTGCCAACTTGTTGCTTTTCACTTGCATATCTTCCAGTTTGTGGGAAACCAGACATATATCATCGGCGAAGTCCTCCAAGTTTTTTGTGTGGGTCCATTTTAGGCCTGTTTCCTCGCTTCCCGCTGATATATATATATATATATATATAAAGCAACTTAATCATCTTTCTTCATCGTGAAATGATCTCTCTTCGTTGTCAAGTAGATGAATTGGTAAAGATAATAAACCCTGTGCAGATTGTTAGATTTGATGTTTGTATGAATTATGTAACCGAAATGTGTTCACATACTGAAAACGTCAATCATGATTTTGTCAGTTCATGGTGGAGGGTGGGGGATGTTGGGTTGTAAGAACCAGATCAAATTCTGTCTTAATCCATCATCCTTATTGCAGACATTTTGGATTCCATTCAATGTAAAGTACTTCATGTATGGGATGTTCTTTATGTGATTTTTGAAAATTTATCTGAATTTTTTAATTTTGATACCATCAAAATCAGATTCTGTAACGCGTAGACCTATGACTGACGATTTCTCAAGCTTTTCTAGTTCCACTGGTTTTTCAGTGATCGAATAGAGCCTCTATGGTGCTCATTTTTTCTGACCTTGATTTCTCGAGAGGCTTTTTCAATACACATATATTGCATCACATTTTAAGCACTTTAGTTAATTGGCGCAAGTTGATGGATCCTTTGGAATTGAATCTTTCATGTGAACAAGACGGCCTTTTAGTGCATCTGATGTTTTGAAGAAAACTAGTGTTGCATTTATTGAGTAGCACTCTTCTGATCTTGTCTGACGAGTTTGATCCACGATACATAAATTGAAATTTTGTAAATATTCTCGTTCAATATTACTCTTTGAAGCTCTTCAAATTTTTTATCAATTGCATCACTCTTGACTTGAAATTGAGCCATAAATTGTGAAATACCTTCATTATTTTGTGTATCCAATCGGATTATTGAATCCTGAAAACTCATTTCGTCATACCTCTAGGTTTTAGATCTTTTAATCTAATAATCATCGCCACGGAGTAGTGTGTGTGTATGGAAGCTAACTAATGTTTTCCCTTCTATATTGATTCTCTTTTTTGCATGGGGTTTCTCGTAACTCCATAATTCCTGAACACTGGCTTATTCAATGCCCTGCCCCTTTATTTTTGTAAAACATTTTATCCAATCTCACTTTGTCTTCTGTATTTCTTCTATAATATCCGTCTGACCAATTTATAACATATCAATTTTGTGTTTTTATAGGAATTTTATACCATAGCCTGGACCACTGTTGAAGTGGAAGGCGGTAAACGTACTAATATATTGGCTGCAGCTGGTCGTATGCATGAAATTCGACTACTTCACCCGGAACAATTGGTTTGTTATGCTGAAATGAAAGGTCATACAGAGGATATAACCGCTATGATATTTCATCAAACTCAGTCTACAATTCTATTCAGTGGAGATTCTAAGGTATTTTACCTCTATATTTGTCGTGTTTCCAGTTAAATTTGTTTGTTTTTGTTTTAGTTAGATAAATGATGACATGATTTCTTTTTCCCTTTAATAATGAGAATGCTATGAAACTGTAGAATGCAGTGAGTCAACAGATTATTATTCATTATTCCTTTGCATCCCCAGTGGAACATAAGATTTCAAGCTAGAGCTCTGAAGTTTCGGTAGCAGTAGTTTTATTTTTATGGGGTGGGGTTACTAGTCTCACACTCAACCTTCCCTTCTTGCCATCTTTATTACTAGCTAAGCGAGGTTTGGGAGTGCGTTGGGGAATTGAACCGCGGATCGAATGAGTGGCTGGCGAGCATTCTCACCCCTGCGCCACTAACACAGTGAACAAATGTATGCTTGAATCAGAATTCCTGGGAAATACCCATCAGAACATTAGGGAGAAAAGGATAAGAAGTTCAGAAGAGGTATCTTCTTGGAGATTTCATTCTCAAAAGCTGTACAATTGCACTTATATACATAAGTTTACAGAGATACCATTATTATTATTATTTTTGTTTAATTCCGTATAATAACGCAGGAGATTAAAGGTGTGAGCATAGATTATTAGAAGGGGTTAAGAAACAAAATATATAGAATTGGATAGAATACTGGTATGAATTTGATGAGCATGGAAATAAATTGAAACTCAAATGAAAAATGCCTTCAAAAATGAAAGCTAAATAGTCAAACCGAACCTAGATCCAAGGTAAATATTAGAGGTTAGACTGGCTTCTTACGAACGCATAGCGACGGCTTCTGCAGTACAAAAAAGTAGGAAATACACACTGCCTTTGACAGATTTTCGTTTACTTTGTAAATGGTCTCTGAATGATAAGTAAGTTGAGATGCTGTGACAGGTATTGACGAGGCTGTTTAATCGTGGCAAACCTATGCTTGTCTGGGCATACAACTCAACCATTTTCTAATTTTATGTAATTTTATTTCTTAACCCCTTGTAATCTATGCTCACACCTTCAAACTTTCATATCAAGTTGAAAATTATTATCACACCTTGAATCTCTTTCATTATTATGGGGAATTAAATTGTAACGACAGAAGACAACGGCCAGGAAACAGATCGTTTGTTGATAAAATCAACAGATATTTATAGATTTTTATGTACATTATTATTAGCGTTATTGTTATCAGAGAAGCAACGTTTCTCGTTGGTTGTTTTCTTGCTGAAGGCTATTCTGTCATCTCTTTGTGTCCGTTTCTTAGATAGGCAGGCTATATATCTGCAAATCGTATTTGCATACGTTAAGTCTGCTACAATTGGTTGTTGAGTTCCCCGGGGTTAAGCTTTGTTTGACGTGAATTGCTGTTTACCAATTTTTGGCTTACAGCTTTCACCATAAAATAATAGTTGTATTTTTCTGTGAACCTATGCATATAAATGTGATTATTACAGCTTTTGAGAATGAAATCAATGTCTTTTCCACACATTCACATAATAACGGACGAGCGATAGATCAAAGAATGCCATTAAAACCGTTATTAATCTTCGGTCTGCCGGAGTTGCCTACAAATAATCTCACCTGTAATTTTACTGAAATTACTATTGAGAATACCGGAATTATGCCTCAACAGTATATGACAGTATATGATGCGTATAGCGTCGTACAGAAGTATCTTTCTCTCTGTCTGTCTCTGTTTTGATGTAGTGTAGTTTCCTTTTTGAAAAACCTCTTTTTCTGTATTGTCGTGTTTTGGTTTTCTCTTACACACTTGTTTTTTACAACTTTCTCTTAATTTTCAGGCATCTATTATCGTCTGGGATATTGGTATCCCTTCTGTACCGGATTACAAAACACGCTATCAGTTATTAATGCGTCTTCGTTGTCCTAGATTAGATGTAAATCCTGTCTTGAATCTTGTTTTCCTTCCACACTATGCCTATTTAATAGCTGGTTGTGAAGATGGTTTATTCGCTTGGAAGATAACTGATTTACGATTAGAGAAAAGAGAACGTGAGCCTGATATGGAGTTGAAGTTAGACTTTAATCATGAAGTGTGTATTGACGCCTTGGCTCAGCTTAGTGACAATGCTTTGGTGATAAAAGTTGTCGAGTCTGGAGAAATTATGGTCTTCGATTTTGCATCAATTCTTGAACGACGTAAAGGTTAGTTTGATGAAGCACTGGTGTTTACTTATTTTCATTGACTATCAGCTTTGTAGGTATGAATCTCTTGTTACATTCTCATAGATAAACATAGAGTATAGAATGTACATATTTCGTTTAAAGATTCTCCCTATCTAAGTTCTTGGACCACAGGTATGATGAAAGTAGTCACATCTGCATTGTAATAAACCAAACAAGATCTATCATAGAAAAAATCTGTATATCTTGTTGTAGTACACTGATGAAATCACTACAAACTGTCTTTCAGTTTCCTCTCTCACTTTAATCAATTATACACTTGGATATATATGCAGCTCTTCAATCTATCTCTTCATTAATTTAACGGAGAATGTCTTTTTTTTACCGATCGTATCTTCGGGAAATCAGATTAACAGTTATTGAGAAAAGCATACAGCATTTTTGTGCGCTGATTTCCAGCACATTTAAGTGTATCAAATACATAAGCTCAGAATAAGTAGTCTATGTGAATTTTTTAAAATTGATGATGAGATTATATGGGATTTTGAAAACTACAATATCTGAACCTTCAAGTTATAATTTTCTTCTTTAAATCGGTACTGTACCAATGACTTCATCAATCTTCGTTGAACGAATTTTATCCCCCAAATAAATCTATATGCTGTTGGATGTTTTCTGAGTTCATCTGATCGACATTGATCATTTCAGTCAGTCTGTCTGTCTATCTGTTTTCGACATAGAACTTTCCACCAATGTGCACCAGTTCAAATCGCCACACTCCCTCCATGTAGCACACAAAGCAAGAGAAGAAAGTAGAAGAAATGCATATTAGAGACAGTAAACAGAGGTGTGAGACAAAGGAATAGTAATAACGAAGAACAACATAGTTTAATTGGAAATCATAAGTCACAAGGTGTGTATGCATCTGCGTTAGCCTTTGAGAAGGATTTTGAGCCATATCACCAATTGTTTCTAACCATTGGTTTTTACCGTCTCGAGGACCCCAACCAGGAAGTAAACACCTTCCTACGTGGCTTAAACTAACTGTTGTAGGTTTCATGGACTAGTGCCATGTTTTGGTTTGACCGCTGCTAGCCCTTTTCCAGCCTGACCCTATGTCAGCTAACATTGCTCTTTGAGGAAGCCGATGACTAGGAATATGTTACACATGTCCTAACCATCTGAGTCGATGTAATTTCCGCAGCCTCGTCGATTGATTTCGCTTCCCTCCTTACCATTCGACGCCTAACCTCAACATTGCTCACCTTATTTCAGTCTGTAGTATATATTTCGTTATTCATCTTTCGCCCTTGAACTTTAACTGTTACATCATAAAATGAGTTGGAAGTGGTTCCATTTTTGATTGTCATATCTACTATCGTAATTTGTTTTCTAATCACCGTTAGGGTATAAAAATAATTACGAAGTATGCTACTTGTTAAATTATTGATTTTTTTCAGTTGTTTGAAATATTCTTAGTGGAGATGTGGTACACGTGACTGACTGTCAACTGATGGGTATCGGGTTCATATCTAGCTCAAGCCTGGACAACTGTGTAATAGCATCAGTCCCCCTACACACTAGGTGTGTAGCTCATAACCTGGATCATTGATATATCTGTTATGCGTAAATGAGTTCTAGCATGACATGAAGAGTCTCGAATCTAATTGGATTGTGTTGCGTATTCATGAATTAAGTATTCTGACTACGTTGTTTAATTATAATTTAAATACTTTTGATTGGACATTAGTTAGTAACTAGTGTGGTATGTCTAGTCCTCTGGTTTGGTGCAGACTGAATTCTGTCGGGTTTGCAATGTGGTCACCATTCTAGACTGCTCACCATCATAGTCCACATATTGATTTGCTGATATTAGATAGTTGGAGGCATTCGGCAGGAAGCCTAGTCTTGGACCTAGGTTTCGTGCTAGTTGGCGCTCGCTAGTCAGCAAGGCGCATCTGCAACCGTGAAGAAACTCATTTCCCTTCTGAGATTCGAACCCGCGTCGCCTAATGAGTACTACAGTCAGAGACGTTACCACTGAGCAGCTATTCGGGTTTGCGATTGACCTCCTGTAGGACTATATTGGATAGTTAGCAACTAGTGTGATGTGTCTAGTCCTCTGTTTGGTGCAGACTGAATTCTTTCAGTCATCTTTAAATAATTTTTATGAGTTAGTTTGTAGGGATTTGATTTGTGTTAGGTTTGATGCCAGATTGGTGTCAGTTAGTCAGAACTGTCGGATTGGTAGAAGTTGGAATTCATGGACTGGCCACTGGGTGGGGTCCTAGTATCTAAATGACCCACGAGCTTGCTTTGTTACCGCAGGGTCATTGGTTCAAATCCCTGTAGGTACATACTGCTAGAAAGTCCCCAACTAGTGCGAAACAACTGTTCAATACACCCCAGCCTTCTCTGCTTCCCTAACTGACATAAATCTATGATCCATCTTAAAATTAGCAATTTTCATTCTGATGATTTCTGTATCCGAATTGTTAGATTTTCACAACCCGAAAGAGCCATGAAAAAGTGTATTATCTATTTTGATTAGTTTTTTTCGCCTGCCTATAAATGTTTGTATTATTTTGTTTGTTGTGAAAAATCCATTTTCTAACTTTTACCCTCAATGTGATTGATAGGTCTTCAGCGTATTGTTCCAATTGAAATGCGAGGACATTTATTATGGCAAAAAACAGATGAAATCTATATAAATGTATCTGTTAGACAAAATCTTGGCGCTGTCCTATGCGGTGATAATGAAGGCTCAATTTGGATATATGATTTAGATCCGTATTTAGATGATTTACACGCTTCTAGTCGTAAACGCTTTCATGTGAAACCAATTAAAGTAGGCAATTTTCTTCTCTTTCTTTTTTGTTTTCTTTTAAATGTCTTTGTTTTCCACTGTTAGTGTTCGAAGTTTGAATGATCTCTGTTTACGTAATACAGTTGTGGAGTTTTGCCTCATTGGTTTAGGCGGTATTAGTTGGTCACGCTTCCGAATGTTGCTTCACTCATCGAGGTTTGTGCAACCAGGTAGTAAGATTAATCAGCCCGCACAAACAATAGACGTTGCTCATTGCTAGCTGCATGAAAATGCAATGGGTGATTGAATAACATTTCATTTTCTATATATTACAGTCGATTTTCTATGTGGTATTATCTCAATTGAACTGTAAAACTGTTATAAGAGGTATTGCGATATAGAGTACGATTGTAGTGCGTGATTTAGATTGTTAGGAAGTAGCCGAAATTGAAATCAACAGTTTTAGTCAATGGCTGCAAAGGCAGAAGTATTTATTTCTCAAATTTGAACATGAAATAACCTCATTGGATAACATATTTAACCTTGGGCCAATCGCCAACCAATCAGAACAATTTATTCCCCTGTAACCTAGCCGAACTCTAATGTCTCTAAGGGTGTATAAATACGGCGTGTCATCTATTGCATACCAAATAATCTTAATTTCATCTTGAGAATTCGTCTACTACTACATATGGCTGAGGTCGTTGTGATCCACATTAAGAAACCTAACGTATGTATCCAAAAGAAGTTGGTTCAGACACTCTCCTTACCTTGGCCATCAAGGTTTTAATGTTGCTCAATTTATTGTGGAAATTTCCTTAATTTTATTTGATGTTCTGTTTGTGATTACATTTTTATGCTGATAAGTTAATAATCTTTGTTGAAGTGTTATTCCATTGATCTTACTTAACAAATCGATAGTACTTAAAACATCAATATTGTCAATAACGGTTATTTTAGAAAATGCTATGCATATAAACATATATACATATAATTGTAGAGCCAGAAGAGGGGATTATCGAAGTGGATATTCTTTTCTAGATGTTTAAATGAATATTTTTGGTATATTAATATACTTAACTAACATGTTTTCCCATCACTGATATAAAGCATTACACGGCAGCATCTGTTGCCTATGTACTGTTCCAAAGTATATTTTTTGTGTCCTATGATCCAATGTTTTAATGTGTCATTTATATTCTACATGTATTATAAATCGTATTGTTGATCATCCCATCTGTCTTGAAATTCACACTTACATCAAACTTTAGAGAAAAAATATTGCTTGTGATCTCCATCTTTGCTATTTTTCCCCTTAAACTACCAGAAGTGCAGCATAAATATAGACAGTGAAATTTAATTAACATCCCTTACACCATTATCCAGACAAACGTACTAATTGTATCTTTAAACGAGTATATCACAGGATAGAATGAGGTTCTGAAACCTATGGATAATAACGTATAAGTTCATCACTTTGCTTTCTGTACGTATATCCTGTGAAAATTACACCATTCCTTTTGAGCGGTAGAATGCTCGCCAATCACGCCTCATGTAGTTCGGGGTTCGATCCCCGGCCGACGCACTCCGATACCTCGCTAAGCTGGTGATCAGATCGGTAAAGAGGTTAGGCTGGACGTGAGGCTAGCAATACCACGTCGTAAAAATAAACAGGACTGTTACCGAAACTTCAAGCCTCTAGCCTCAAGTCCTAGGTTCCACCGGGAACATAGATACATTCAGTGAACTGGATGCTTTAACTGTGAAGGCTTCGTTGTCTTTCAGCACAACAACACCCCCTCTCAGAGCTCTGACTTCAGTAGGAACCGAGGTGTTATGGAAAGTACTCTAAAAGCTCACTTCTCATATTGAAGTCATCTCTGAACATTTTGCTTACGACGAAGAGAATCAATATCATCCAGGTCAGAGAACACACTTGAAAGTTTCAGTTACATATAACAGCTTTTTTCATATTTTGATTATTTTGTAGATTCTTGAATGGCCAGAGTGTTCAGTTCAAGGGAATCGTGATGAAGATCAACAACTCAAAGAAAGTATTACATCTGGTTTTCGTAATCCTGTAGTGAATTCAGTTGAAATGAGCTCTGATGGTTATTATCTAGCCGCTGTCACTGATAATAATCTTGTATGCATATGGCGATATGCTCCACCTCAACAACAACAACAACACATACAGCAACAACAACAACAGCAATATTCTCAAGTTATTCAACAAATGCCTACATCAATGCCTCAAAACAGTATGCAATTTGCAACAGCATTGACTAATGATACTATTGTTACAAGTGCTGGTGGTGGTGATATCATCTGTGGTGGTGGTGATGACATGTCAGTACAATTTACTGGCCTAGATATGCTACAGGATCATTCGTCGGCTTCAAATGTTCTCGAATTTGTTACTGCTGATCAACAGTTGTTAGGCTAGATTAGTCAATGCTCATGTTGTTGTTGTTGTTGTTGTTATTATCATTATCATTCTGATTAATATTCACTTGTTTTTTAGAAAAATATATTTGTCCCGATATTGTTCTCTCCCTCTTCCTATCTCAATAAATGTATACATTTCAATTGTAAAGAATTTTGTTTATTTTTTTCGACTTGTTTCTTTTTTAAGCGTCCTGTCTCTGTGTATACTACACAAGGGGTGTACACTTGTACACACGAACAAACACACACACACACAGCCACACAGGTGTAACGACATCGTCTCACAACTCTTTCTTTTTCTTCTTGCTATTTTTCATTTTTGTTTTTCTATACTACTTATGGTCATATTATCATATCAGTCGTTTGTTCATCATCTGATTTGATATTGAATGGTATTCATTCATTCCCTGGTATAAGGTAGGATAGTAGTGCTATTATTATTATTATTATTATTATTATTATTATTATTATCTCAATATAAAGTTAATCTGCATATTTCTCTACTTTATAATAAACACCAAGATTGTACTCATTTCTATAAATAAATACATAACATACACAAAGAAAGAAGACAGATAATTACTTTGTTTACTAATAATAATAATTATCATTATTATTATTATTATTAATCTACCACACCTTCCATAATACTACTGCTCTCTCCATATAAATATTGTCGTTGTGTATCTATTATCATTATTTTTGTATATCTCTTCCCCCACCCTCCTTTTTATTTGTTTAATTTATTTATTTGCGTTTTTTTCTAATTTTGTATTCCATTTATTTTTAATAAATAAATAAACAAACAAACTCCTAACTCGTCCTCCTCGCCTCCCTCACTGAATGAATGTTGGTGAAGAATGTCATTGTCGCCAATGTTTTATCATTATTGTCATATTATCTATTTGATGAGTGCTATCTAACTTGTTTCATCTTTCATGAACCGCATACCTACATATAAATACATATACGTGTACAATATACTTCTGTCCTATTTGTATATCTAAGTGCATACGTAGCCTATATATATTTCTACTGTTTAATAGAATATTTTTTTTACATTCTTTGGTTTTGTTTTCCTCTCATAATGTTCGGCATAATATGACATCTGTCTGTCTGTCTGTCCATCTATCTATCTATCTGTTCTATACATATTATCATTATTAATCTTATTTTTCTCTTTTCTTTTGTGCTAATAAAAGAGAGTAGTTAGCTAGTTAGTTAGTTAGGTAGGCAGTTACGTTGATTGGTCACCAAGAGAGGGGTGACCAGACCAGTGTCATTGAGTCTAGTAGTATCCTTTAGTGTTGGTGTATACTGAATTCTATTATCAGCCAAGTTTTCCAGTGTGTGATAGTCACTCATTATTGTGTGGTACACTCTGAATTAATCTTATTTGATAGTTGGAGACAGTCGATACTAAGTGCTGTCTCGCCCTCTAGGGTTTCGAGCTTATTGACACTCATCCAATTTGACTGTGAGATACTCAGTGAATCAATGAGAGTCCTACAGGAGGAGGTCATTTATGAACCCGAATTGGCTCTGACTGCAACACTGAAGGACATTATTTCTTCCTTTCAAGGTGTCACATACGCCTTGCTGATGATGAGTTTGCCAACGAGCACGAAACCTAGGTCCGTCGCGCTTCTTGCTGATGATTGCCTCTGACCATCTAACATCAGTTCAGAGTAGATAGTTATTGGATTGCTAGGGATTGTGTTTCTTATTTTAGGGTTACTTATCGTGCGTTGTTTTCCAAGTGTGTTTAACTGTTCGTCATACCTCGAACCATACTCCGGGAAAGTTGGTTGTAGGACAATTAGGCAAACTGTATCGTACTGTGGGTTATTGTGTTATTGCGAAATTCTGAAGTATAATTTGTACTTTTGTCCACTAAAGTCTGTTAGTGTTCAATTTGTCTTGTAGCACTTAATTATCTCTTTTTGAAAGGGTGGGGGCCATCATAAAATCAATATATACTCTCCTACTCTGACCTATAACTCTGTGACTTTGAGGTTATAACATAAAAGTTTAGAAGCAGCGAACATACTACTTGACTAAGTTTTAGTTGTTATTAATTAAGTAGAGTCCAATGAGTTTGTCAGCTGTTGCTGTAAGCTCCAACTTTCTTGTCTTATTTACTCTTTTATATAATATTTGGTTTATCGTCCCGTTCCAATCTGACATCATGGGAGCTTTTCTCTCTCTAAATGATTTGCCTGTTGCATAAGAGATGATTATAATCGGAGTTACTCACTGTTAGTTTCTTTTGTTGCAGACATAGTTGAAGTCCTCTTATAACGATCAAGTTAGGATGGTTTTTGAGGTTAGTGTTTGGGCTTGTTCTTTGCCCCTTAGCCTATAGTGCTAGTCAGTCGTCCCTTAACTGTGCCATGGTGTCTAGTGCTAACCTATCAACCCGTGTTAGAACATAAGTCCAGAAATTTTACCGTGAGTTGTAAAGCTTCCTTCAATCCAAACTATCTTATACAGTACACAAGCACACGTCGAATGCTCAAATAGTGCATAGGGAGAAATTAGCAGTTACTGTGAAACAAATTGCTATAGTTCTACTCTAAATACACTTTAATGCTAACTGCCGTCTATTTTTAGTCTGAAAATTTATTTGACTGGAACAGCATTTTCAAACAATTGTGTCCGCAGGTTCAGATCGCATCCCTCTGTATTTCACTCTGAGTAGTATTATTGTAACAACAGAAGACAAGGACTAGGCAACAGATCCTTCATTGAGGAAATCAACATATATGTATATATCTATATATATGGATTTTCATGTGCACAATTATAGGTTATTGTTAGCAGAAAAACACAGTCTTCTGATTGGTTGTTTCTTACTGAAAGTTAATCTTTCATCTCTTTGTGGCTGTTTCTTGAATGTTAGATCATCTATATGGTAACTGTATCCGCCTACGCAAAGTCTGCTGTGGCTGGTTGTTGAATCAGTTCCAATTTTTCTCACCAATATTGGGGACGTAAATTACTGTCACCCGATTTGTCTAGCAGCCAGCACTCACCACATAATGAGCTCCTCCACCCGTCGTCAACTTAAACTTTCAACGTATCCTGTAACACTTTCTTGACCTCAGAACTAACCCTAGAAGCACAGGTCAGTACTGGAGTACTTATTGATGCATACATTATACCCCATATCGATAACAATCATCAACTGTTAAGACGCTTATTGGACGGTAGGTATCATCAGATGTAATATACATCGACTACGGAGTAGTCAGATATATTGCTGGAATACGTTATCCAAATACAGTTCAATTCTTGGGAATTCTTACCACTGAAAGGACTCGAATAAACAATAAACATACTAATTTCAATTGTTAGATTTTTGTCAAGAGCCAACATCAGTCAGAGAGATTATTGAAAGCCAAGGTGCACTGGACAGTTGTCTCATCCTATTGTGAGACTCTTCAACAGTGTACACCTACAATCTCGCCGGAGATCGAACTCGAGACCCTAAGGTTACGAGACCAAGCTTGTTGAAAATCATTCACCCTAACCGATGTTGGTCTGTGATAAAATCTAACAATTAGAATGAATCCAAAATCCTCACAGAATTCTATCAACAGAATGAAAATATTAGTCTTTCATCTTGTCTTATCGTAATTCCTATCTTCAGGGATTCTTGTGCAACTGATAGCAATACAAGAACAATAAACACTTTTAGAATGTGCATGTACACAACTGAACTAATTTATTGGTATCTTACAGTTTATTCTTTCCAAAGCTTGAACACTTGATAGGTACAGTTAGTTAGATGAAACGACGCAGACAAACGTGTATTTCTGCAGATTCCTAGTATACAATACCAAACTTGCCAATAATTGTTACCTTTATTATAAATGTGACTAAGCCAGTAAGTAAGCAAGATATTAAGGAATTGACGTTGTATCGTCTCTTAGCATTTATGTGCGTCGGTAGCACACCGACGTAGAATGCCCACCAACCACGCCTCATGTGGTCAGAGGTTCGATCCCCAGCCACAAACGCCCTCCTACACCTCGCTAAGCACGTAATAATGTGGTAAAAGCTGTCTGCTAGCCAAAATTGTAGGCAACAATTGACGTCAATGTTTACGTCCTGAATCGGGATCATGAGAAAAGACACAATAACAAAGCTTAACCTTTAGGGGCTTACCAACCAATCACAGCAGACTTAACGTGTGCCAATACGATTTGCAGATATATAGCCTGGCTTTGTAAGAAAAGCCACAAATAGATGACAGAATAGCCTTCAGCAAGAAAACAACCAATCAGAAGACGTTGCTACTCTGCTAACATAACTCCAATAATAATAAACATAAAAATCTATAAATATCTGTTGATTTTCTCAATAAACGGTTTGTTGCCTGGCCTTTGTCTTCTGTGGTTACAATAAGACTGGTAAAAAGGGGAGGCTGTGCATGCGGCTAGTAACCACCATCCCGTAAAAATAAATACTTTAAAGCTCTGGCTTGAAGCCCTATGTTCCACACTGGGAACGTGTAAAGGAATAAAATAAACAATTCAAGTGTTGGTTTGTGGGGATTTGATTGGTTACAAGATTTTATCATGAGCTGACATCAGTTAGAGAACCATTGGAAAACCAGCTGGGATTACTGGACAGGTGTTTTGTCCTAACTTGGGACTCTTCATCAGTACGCACCCACTGTACTGAATTGGCAGAAGTTAGAATTCATGGACTGTCCATCGGATCGGTTCCCAGTGGCTCGATGGTCTACGAGCTAGCTCACCTTGTAACCAGAAGGTCATGGGTTCGAATCCCGGTTTGTGCGTACTGCTGAAGAGCCCCAAACTAGGACGAGACACCTGTCCAGTACTCTAGGCAGGTTTTCCAATGGTTCTCTAACTAATATCAGCTCATGATGAAATCTTGTAAACAGTAATAGCATTTATTTTACTTCTATGCATGTAGACTTATCTTGCAGTATATCATTTCCTGGAATACATATAATAAAGTTGTCTGACTTATTTTCAACCCTTCCTTATATTATTTACACTTTTCAATTTAACTAGATATGAATAAGAAAATAAGGAATAAATTGAATGACAATAATGAAACGTTGGATACTTCAAATGGTGATGCAGCAGCAGAAGACGACACTGATATTCCATGTTTGGCGCATGATATAATCAATAAACCACAAGAACGAACTGCTGATATTTTTGAAGTCGATGATGATGATGATGATAATAATAATGATGATTGTAATACATCAAATGAAAAGTGTAAAATTAATATTAATAGTATACATTTTACTAATTTACAATTATCTAAACCGGTTCTAAGTGGACTTCAAGATGCTGGTTTCATTCGACCATCACCTATACAATATAAAGCTATCCCTATGGGTAAATTAGGATTGGATTTAATTATTCAAGTAAGCAAATGTGTGTGTGTGTATACATTAAAATTGTCAAACAAACATAGAAATTAGTCAGGGTTATTGTTTACGTCATCAAAATGATCCATAAATGTTATGAATTATTAAAATTGTAACTCGGGGGAAGGGGGTGAAGATTGGTAAGTATTGACAGGGGTTACGTAATATGAAATAGGATGTTAATGGAGACACGTGTCCAAGATAAATTGCGTAATAGGTAGAAGGATTGAATAATGGGTTGTTTAAGATAATGGTGTCATACAAAAAATTCAAAAATAGTACTAATAACGAAGCAGTTGACCTTGGAAGGCAGAAGGAAGGGATAAAGAAGTTTCTTCTGTGTACATAAATCAGAAGTTTTCATCCGAATCGCTAAGGCCTCGGGCAGTGCAAAATATGCGGTAGCTTACCGTTTTCAACGGAAGGGTTGTTTTGAAATTGAATGAATTCTCCTTACATATTGAGTGAACAGTGTTGAATATTTGTTCAGTTATAGCACTCTTTATTGATCCACTGTTAACTATTCATAATCATGTGGGATAATGTTCTTTGACTCTTTTGGATGAAACACGCATCAAACGACCCATATATCTCGTTCCACAAGAGCAAGTAAATTGGTAGATACACATAGGATTGGTCAAATGCGATAGTTTATCTTTGGAGGTGCTGAAGAAACTATCGTATTTGACCAATTCTATGTGTATCTACCAATTTACTTGCTCGTGTGGAATGGGATATATAGAAGTCGTTCGATGCATGTTTTATTCAAAAGAGTCAAAGGACATTATGCCGCTTAGCTACAAAAAGGTAACAGTGGATCAATAAGGATGTGCTGTAATTAAACATACTGATCACTCAATATGCATGGAGAATTCATTCAAAGTTATCTACAAAATCAAAAGAAGTCTCACGAAAGGGGTAAGCTATCGCATATTTTGCACTACCTGAGACCTTAAGGATTCGGATAGAAAAGCCTGATTTATGTACACAGAAGAAACTTCTTCATCCCCCCTTCTATCTTGGGTATAATTCCCAATACTATTTTCGAATTTTTTTTTGTATGACATCTTTATCTTAACAAACCCACTATTTACTCTTTCTACCTATTACGCAATCTATCTTGGACACATGTCTCCATTAGCATCCTAGTTCATATTACGCAACCCTTGTCAATACTTATCAATCTTCATCCCCCCCCTAGTTACAATTTTGATTATTCATAACATTTATGGATCATTTTGATGAAGTAAACAATAACTCAGACTAATTTTTATTTTTGTTTGACAATCCAAATGTCTAATGTACTGGAAATTAGTTGTATTTTGAAGCATAAATTAACCGAAATCGCTAACTGTTCTAACCACTGCTCATCACTGATTATATATATATATATGTATATATATATATATATATATATATATATATATATATATATATATATATATAATACATATCGTATCTTGTGCTAGGGCTGAGATACTACCCAGATTGAAGCAAGTGGTTGTCTTATGGGGTTATCCCCCCGCTCGAGCCTTTTTCTTGAAGTCTGATCCACAAGGTAGTGGCGCAGCGTCAGGAGCTACGTTCCTATGGATGCTGATGACCAAAATAGGTTTATACTCTATTCAGTTTGTTCGGATTTTAGAGCCCATATACACCACTTGCTTGAAAATAGGGGTTTTCTAACTCCCCTAGGCAGAATAGCCTGTCAACCAGTTCGGTTGTGTCGTAAGTTCGCATTATACATTTCACTTTTGTGAATATATACATATATACATATATATATATATATATATATATATATATAATCGCTTAATATCTGTGATTGTAATCACAACTATTTTGTCACAGGGTTTAAAAAACATCACTATCTCTTTGTTGTATGAGCACAAATCACAAACATTTGAAATCCTTTTGAACGATTTTTATTTCATTCCTATCACCCAAGAAGCTAAGCGTGTCATTCTGTGGGATGACTGACCACTCTAAGCGACTACTTGTGAAGATATTGAAAGGATAAGTATAAAAATAACACAGCTTTCTCTCTGTGTGTCTCCTCTCTCTGAATGCCCTATGCTGGTTTCTATTGGACAGTAATGAGTGACTGACTGACCACTAAGTACCAGATTTACTGTTTGTCATTCATCAGTCTATCTTTGCAGTTTTCGGCTTAACAAGTTGTCCGTTTAACATATCACTAATCATTCTGGACTGCCTGTAAACGGTAACTGTAATCGTGTCAACTTCTTGAAATTTCACTTGCAACATGTTGAAATAATAAAATTGTGTAATATTTTGTGAAGGGTGTGGAAAACTGTGAATTGCCTATATGACATGTTGGCGTGTTGTAACTGCGGTACTCCCTTACACGTTTGTCATTTACTAGCGTTTATATTTCAGCTACATTCTTAATACCATTTCATAACTTCTTGCATTATTATAGCTTTACTGTTCACCACGCATAAACATATCATAGCTTCCACTACCCAATAGTGAGAGATTATTTATTATGTTGTTTATTTTCCTTTCTACTTCTTGGCATTTTTTCCGCATTTTTTTAATCATTTTTTTGTTTTTATATTTATTTTTTGAAATATTCCTTTTAAATGTTTGATGAAATTAGATGCAATATTGTAGATATGTGCTGAAAATTCCACACTGTACCACTAGTACTGTTTCTGGAATAAAGCAAATAATTATTATCATTATTTTGGCCTTTTCTGATCTTCTTCCAAATGAATTTTATAGGATATTTAGTTATTTAACACCAACACTTCTTATATCTGTTTCATTTCATCACTTAGACTTTTTGTTGTTGTACTACTTAATGCTACTGCTCGGTTTGTTAGACACTGAACTAAATCTTCCTTCACGGACAGATAACGGATGAGATGAATTAAAGTCTAAATATCTATTAGAATGCATTATCTTTTTATAAACACTAGTGTGCAGTTTACCTGCTTCTGCTCGTTTTATTTTACAATCCAACATCACAACCAATTCAAAAATTGTCTAGTAAAGTTATCATGCTAAGTGCTTGCATCAATTATGCCTTCACGGCTGTCCGTTCTAATAAATCCTGAGAATGTAATCAGAAGTTTTGAAGTTATTGTTGTTATTATTATTATTATTTAAAATTGAGGTGGCAGAACAAGGCTTATCCACTGATGACTACGATATCATCTACATACCTTCTATAAAGTGGCACATTTTCGATGAAATCCTCCGATAAACTCTCAATGTACGATATATAGATAGATATCTGCTAAGAGGGGCACTAATGAACTTCCTATAACAACACCATCAATCTGGCGGAAACAGACGCCTTCAAATGCAAACCTAACATTGTTAGTACATAGAAGTAATAAATCCCTTAACTAAGATATAGGGAACGGGATGAACAAATTGCTTGTGGAAATATAATCACACAAAATGTCAACTGTTTTGATCATAGGTACATTAGTAAATAGCGAGTTTACATCTAAAGAGTACATATTCTTGTTCAGAATATTACTATTACTATCGTCAAGATCATCAACCAATTCAAATGTATCTTTTAACACATACTTACAGAATTGTGTTTTGACTGGATACAATAATTCTACTAACCATTTAGCAAGTTTATGCCTTGGGAATTTGCACACTGACAATATAGGATGTAGAGGATTATTGGGTTTATCTATTTTTAGCAACTCATACATATATGGGAATTTACGATCTGATGGTTTTAATGATGATCTTGACGATAGTAATATAAATATTCTGAACAAGAATATGTACTCTTTTGATGTAAACTCGCTATTTACTAATGTACCTATGATCAAAACAGTTGACATTTTGTGTGATTATATTTCCACAAGCAATTTGTTCATCCCGTTCCCTATATCTTAGTTAAGGGATTTATTACTTCTATGTACTAACAATGTTAGGTTTGCATTTGAAGGCGTCTGTTTCCGCCAGATTGATGGTGTTGTTATGGGAAGTTCATTAGTGCCCCTCTTAGCAGATATCTATCTATATATCGTACATTGAGAGTTTATCGGAGGATTTCATCGAAAATGTGCCACTTTATAGAAGGTATGTAGATGATATCGTAGTCATCAGTGGATAAGCCTTGTTCTGCCACCTCAATTTTAAATCGAATGAATGAAGATCAGAATGCCATATCAGTTATTATTATTATTGGTGACATGGCTCAAAATCGTTCTCAGTGGCGCAGATGCATCCACTCCTTGTGACTTATGATCTTCAATGGAACTGTTTTGTATTTCTTTATTACTCCTTTGTCTCACACCTCTGCTCACTGTTTCTATTATGCTTTTCTTGTACTTTCTTCTCTTGCTTCGCGTGCTACACGGAATGTGGCGACTTGAACTTCCGCACATTTGTGCAAAGTTCTATGTCGAAAACAGACAGACAGACAGACATTATTATTGCTACTATCAATTTATTTTATTTTTTTTTTAAATATTTTTGATTACAGCTTGATTCCACACTGTATTTTTGGTACAAGTATGGAATTTTCAGCATGGATATCGGTAGCCCAAATTTTGCAGGCCGACCATAGACATCAGGTGTGCGTCGGCGAGGGCTCGAACGTCGGACCATGTGCATGGTCGGCAAGAGTCCTAACCACTGTGCCACCGACGCAATCAATAAGATTAAAGGATTTAGACAGCTGAATTATTCTATATACCTCCTTTTTGAACATCGTCAATCGGATTAAATATCAATATCTCTTGTCCATGTTTATATTTATATTTTATAATCCTTTGAAATAATAATGAAATGACTATTCAATATTCTAATCGATTTTCTTTTCTTTCTTTTTCTATAAAATCATAGGCTAAATCTGGTACTGGGAAAACTGTTGTATTTGCTGTTGTCATTTTAGAATCGATTAATGTGAAAGAAAGGAGTATACAAGCTGTAGTCTTATCGCCTACACGAGAAATTGCCTTACAATCACAAATGGTTATTAAAAAATTAGGCTGTCATATACCTGATTTAAAGTGTCATCTATTTGTTGGTGGTAAGTTGAAGCGTAAATTATTATTATTATTTTATTCAAATCATAGTAATAATAAATAATAAAGTCTTGTATATGATCTTTGAATCGTCTAGGACCAATAATGAAGGTGTCCAAATATATATCATTCTGATAAATGTTTAATTGAATTCTAAATTTTCCCGTCGATTGATGATTGGACCGAAGTGCTTGGTCTCAAGTTGACATGTCTGTTGGCTTCTTGTGCAGATGCTTCGACGATATCTGGACATGTAATTAAAATTTAATTGGTGAATTTTGACTAGCAGTGGAATGCAGAATAAAGCGCATTTCGTCCTATTTGGTCCAGTCAATCGACGGGAAAATCTAATATTCAATTAAATTATTAATATGACCCGTTGCGCAAGAGATGGTGGCTGTCGTGGCCCAAGTGGTTCAGTGAATATCGCTTTGGCGTGTGAAACTATGGGCACTGGGTTCGAGCCTCGGTGGGAACATCATCACCGACTGAGTGTGAAATGCAGACACATCCAGATGACGAGTCCCAAATAGGACGAAATACGCGTTATCTTGGATTCCACTGCTAGTCACCATCCACCAATTAAATTCTGATAAATGATTTAAATCTGTCAATCAACGTTAAGGTGTCGGTATAACCAGACACTGATTTCAGGTGATAAACGTTAGCGAACAACAGGCAATGATATCTGATTTTGGTATATGATTGGTTGTACAACTCAGAATTATATTATTATGTTACTATCCCTTGGTTTCCTGGTGGAACATAAGCCTTCAGCAGTACATTTCCATTTTTCCCTCTTCTCTGAAGTCCTCTTAAGCTCACACCTCCCCTGATTACATGATCTCCTCCATGTCATCCTCGGACTCATGCCTACCTAACTTGTCACTCCCTATTCGAGTTCTACTCGGGTGATGGCTTGACACGCGTGTGTCCAACCCATCTCCATTTTCTTTACCATAGTTGTTGAACAATAAGCTCTTGATTGGTTCGTTCCAAGAGTTTCTTATTGCTAATCCTTTCTGACCATCGAATCTTCAGTATGGTAGAAAGTTTTTGGATGGCCAGTGTTTCGGCTATGCCCAGATGCCTTAATTTTACTCCCTTTGATAGGTTTAATCGGATCTTGTATATTATTTTGAAGGATTTTTCGAATGGCGCTGAATGTTCTGCATTGACCAGATGTTCTGTCACTGAACTGCATACACGTTTTCATTCTCTTACTAGCTAGGCTGAATAGTGTTGACAAGCTCGTTTTTTAAGTTGGCGCATGCTACAGCGAATGTACTCGAAGAAAATTTTCTTTTCGACAAAGTCACCAACTAGATAGCTTTACATTCGTGTATTTATAATAAATGGGTGCGAAAATTCCAGAATAATTTCCAATCAAAGGTCAAATTAATAAAATTACAATTACGAATTAAAATGCCGTACCATGAGCCAACTTAAAAAATGCGCTCGTGAACACTATCCAGCCTGGCTAGTAAGAGGAGAATGAAAATGTGTAAATAGTTCAGTGACAGAACTTTGGGTCAATTCAGGACATTCAGAGGCATTCGAAAAATCCTTTAAAATAATATGATAAAAGTTTTCAGCAGCCTGTTAGAAGTGCATTTCATGATGCGCCAAGTTTTTGACCTATATATATATATATATATATAAAACAACTGATTAAACGAACATTGGTGTCGAAATTTTCTAATTTCGTTCTTTACTCTGGGTGCAGAAGATTTTCCGAAATGATTTCAAATTATTAAAAAGACGATTGCAGCGAAAAAAAACTATTTTTTCGACAAAGTCACCAACTAGGCTGTACATTCGTGTGTTTATATTGAATGTGTGAGAAAGTTCCAGAATTATTTCCGGTTGGAGGTCAAATTAATAAGATTACTAAGTGTAATAATCATGAAGATCGGTCAGAAAAGACACAATGTCTGTTAACTCCCAGCTTGACTGTACTAAGACGAACAGCTTTCTATCAGGAATTAGCAAATGGTCTTCGTCTAACGGCCTTAAACTAAATCCTTCCAAATGTCAGACTGTTAATTTCAGTTTCCCATGTGAACGAAAGTTAAATAAAGCCGTTGGTTTCTATGACCCTTGCAAAATTGATGATATCAATATAGAAATCAAGTCTCAAGTTAAGTATCTTGGATTAATACTTTCTTTGGACCTATCCTGGTCTTCCTATGTCTTAGCGATTTCTAAAAGAATATTTCGTCTGACCTTTTACATTAAGAAGTTAAGGCACTCAGCCATAACCCAAACACTTCTTTTACAATTTGTCAACTCATGTATTTTACCTATTCTCCTTTACTGTTCACCCTTATTCTTTCCCGGATTGCTTAAAAAAGACTATATAATACTTCGTAAAACTCGGAAGACTAGCTGTCAGTAGGACGAGTGGTATCCGATTGGGCCATATTGTTGACATTGTCACTGATAGGCACTTGATGTCATACAACGAATTTGCTAAAGGGATTTTGTCAGACTGTGAGCACCCACTCTACTCGCAGCTCCAACCTTGTGTCTCCACAGGTAAAATAGAGAAGTCTTTTCAAAAGACTTTATGCACGTACATCTAAGTATAAAAATCCCACTACATCATATTTGGCAGCACGTACTTTATGTGATGAAAATAGTGTTAGGCATGAACTAACTAACCTTCTTTGCACTACTAATTAAACCATTTCCTCCACCCTTACAGTACCAAACTTCATTGTTATTGTATTTCTTATATTTATAATCCTCTCAATTTCTTGTTTTTGCTTATTTTTTTTCATAAATCCGAGCATCATTTAAGCTGTGTTATAACTGTTAATTTTGTATTTCCCCTCATTATATTATATCAACAGAACATTAGATCCAATAATGTATAACATGCTAAAATTTCCAAATTGAATCGACAATACTGTTTGAAACAAACTCACTGTTATTATTATTATTATCGTCATATTTAATACTCTCAATTCGTGCTTCGAATATTTTTGACTTTATATTGTAAACGTGGACAAATTCCCCTGGTTACTTTTGTTTTAATTTTTAATTTTATTTTTATATTTTAAGTAAATCAGATGCAATGTGTTGTGACAAATGCTGAGAATTCCATACTGTATTATAAGTACTGTCTGTTCTGGAATAAAGTAGATAATCCTTTTTAAAAAATAAGATAATAATTACTGGAAAACTGGTCAGTCTGTACAAATTACGAATTAAGGATGTAGTTATAACAAAATAGGTAAGAAATTCGGACATATATAAAAATATAAGAAAACCTCAACCAAATCTAGTAATGCAGATAAGAATTGAAAACGTAAAAATAACAGAAATAAACAGGAAGGTTGGATGAGAAAAGGTACATAGGATAATCATAATTGGTTGGACTAACTTTTCATGATGGCCACGGTAGGGACACTGGTTGGACGTATTTCTTTTGAACACATAGAATGGCTTGAGTTTTTGGATCACCATTGCCTCAGTCAGATGCCCAGCCAGATGCTTAGATTTCACTCTATTTGCTAGGTTTGATCGAATCTTCTCTATGACTTTGAAGGACTTTTTTTCAAATGGAGCTGAATGTCCTGAATTCCCTAGATGTTCTGTTACCGAAGTGTATACACCCTTGCGTTTTCTCTATGCTAACCATGATGGGTAGTGTAAACTAGTTGTCTACTAAATTGGGAAATCTGCACAAAAGTGCAGCCGTTCAATTTACCACACTTCATCAAAGTACACATAAAGGTAGAAAAAGACTCAAAAAAAATCTACGATAAACTGGGGTGTTTATGACTAAAATAATTAAATGGAGAATAATTAGGATGGCTGGATCATGGTGGATACAACTGCTGCTTTGATCCGTCTCACCAACAACTTCAATAGTTCTTAGCATCTCGAGTATCCCAACAAGTCAATCTACATCGACCTACGTGACTGACTCAAACCAACAGTCAAAGATTTAACATGAGTTGATTCCGTGTTTCTGGTTTGACCATACTTTCTAACACTTTCCTAACCCAATACTATACTAGCTAACATTACTCTATATCTGCATCTTTGAATCATTGAAGGACTCAGTTTAATAACTTCCATGTTAAATATTAGTTCAGCAGCTAAGTTAAGATAATATAACAGCCAATAGACACAGTGACCCTGAACAACCAGTTAGAATTGAGATGCAAAAAAATCGCAGAATCGTTGAAATGTATTTAGAAAACATTAAAAACATGGTTTTACACTGAATAATTATCTCTTATTTGTTGTAAAAATGTTTCCCGGTTTCACCAATGGAAAACCAATAGAAAAGTCACTTCACTTGCTATGCAAGTACTCATTCAGGTAACTGTAGATCATGATGTCTTGAGATCGATTGATATTTCTGATTCTATTCTTCAGATAACCCTAAAATTCTTCGACAGAGTTGTCTGTGTGACTGCCTGTGACTGAATCCACAAAATCGAAGTGGTACACACGGTAGTGAACATAACCAAAATCTTACAGGATTTCATCAAAAGCTGTCATCAGTTAGAGAACCATTGGAAAATCTGGGAGTACTGGACAGCCAACTGTTTCGTCCTAGTTTGGGACTCTTCATCAGTACGCATTCACAACAACTGGATTTGAACCCAGGACCTTCTGGTTACAAGGCTAGCGAGCTCGTATACCATTCAGCCACTGGGACCCAATCCAATGGAACATGAATTCTAACTTCTGCCAATTCACGATATTGCGCGACCCCTAGCCATTCCAATGGTTCTCTAACTGATGTCAGCTGAAGATGAAATCCTGTAGCCAATCAAATCCCTACAAACCAACACTTGAATAACCGAAGGGTGGCAGTTCGGTCATATTCCTTCCATTCATCTGTATGTATCATCATCCCTAGCATAACCAAGTGCTGAATTGTTGGAATTATTACGATGGTACTTCCATTGGGTATTGTTTCTAAAAAAATCCTTAGTCTGTGAAGTGTCGTAAATTCTAGCCACCGCAAATTTAATTAGCTCTTCTGGTTCCTCTATTATACTTCCCTCTGAAGTCAGTTATATCAATATCCTCTATAGTCCTTGCTACTCCTAGACTATACGAGTGGTAATCCTCACTAATTTCCATCATATAACATCTCCACATTGCTGATACCATTGCATTGTAGAGACCAGACTGTTTTCATTCACCGCTGCTGTCATCTATACAGGCCAACAATAGATGAGCCCTAGGATATCTGACAAAAACAGATTAGATTTACTGAAAAAAATTATCTAGGAAATAAGTGAAATACTATCTGTACCTGCCCTCATGAACGGATTTTCTCTTATGGCATAAATTGTATCTACAGCAATATTTATCTCTCGCAAGGTTATATTGTGTTGTAACGACAGTAGACAACGACCAGCTAACAGATCGTTTATTCAGGAAATCAAGAGATATTTGCAGATTTTTATTTACATTATTCTTAGCATTATTGCTAGCAGAGAAGCGACGTCTTCTGACTGGTTGTCTTTTTGTTGAAGGTTGTTCTGTACCGCCTGTGACCGCTTCTTAGAAAGCTAAGCCATTTATCTGCGAATCGTATTTGCACACGTTTAGTCTTCTGTGATTGGTTGATAAGTTTCTCAAGGTTAAGCTTTGTTATTGTTTTTTCTCATGATCCCGATTTGGGGCATAAACATTGACGTAAATTGTTGTCTACAACTGGCTAGCAGTCAGCCCTCACCACAGTCTTACTGTAATCACCCCTCCCACACACACACACACACACACACATGAGTCATTGGGACTCCAATGAATCCGTTATTGTTACAGTAGTTGGTGGCACAGTGGTTAGGACTCTCTCCAACCATGCACATGGTCCGAGGTTCGATCCCTCGCCGACGCACACCTGATATCTACGGTCGGTCTGCGAAATTTGGGCTACCGATATCCATGCTGAAAATTCCATACTTATACCAAAAATACAGTGTGGAATCAAGCTGTAATCAAATATATAAAAAAATTGGTAAAATACTCGGTCATCATGGTGCTCTCATTCATCAAATCCATAGAGACAGATGTAAATTAACTAAGAATAGAGTTTCATAACGTTTCCTTAGTTTGATTGCTTCTTGAAGGTCAAGTTTCGATAAACCTTGACCTTTCCAGTCTAGTCTTTTTCTCCAATTTTTATTTATTAGTATTCTGAGTCGGTAACATTTTACCTAAAACTTTACTTATCCCTTTTATGACTATTGTTATTATTGTTATCATTTTTATTTTAGGTTTACCTTTGTCTGATGATCTAGCAAATCTTTCAGATTGTCATATTGTTGTCGGTACACCTGGACGTGTACGTTATTTAATAGAATCTGGTTATATGTCAACTGATAGTGTCAAACACTTTATATTAGATGAAGCTGATCTACTCTTATCAGGTGGGGCTGATGCGAAACTGACTGGTGGGAGTGCAAATAATGCTTTCCCAGCTGATATTAATTATATCTATTGGTGTCTACCAACATTCAGACAAATGTTAGCCTTATCAGCTACATACACGGATTATTTAGTCAATGAATATTTACCACGTTATATGAATAATCCAGTGATTATACGTTTAGCTGTAAAAGATCCAGCATTGATAGGTAATTGAAAAAAAACAGCTTTACTATTTATTTTCTCTTGTATTCAATTGGTTTAATTGATTTAAACAGTATATACTACTACTGGTTAATTGAGATGAGTAGTAGTTGTATACTACTCATATCAACCCCAGCCAGATCGAGGTAATCTAAGCACACTGAACGACTGTTTCCCTCATTTAAAGCTAAGTTCAAGATATTTTTGAAAAGTAACAAAGTAGACTTCATTATAAACTGATATCAGTTTTAAAAAATCAGAAAAAATAATGTATAGGTGTTTCGTCCTAGTTTGGGACTCTTCAGCACTACATACAGTCGTAACTAACATCATCAGGGACTGAGCCTAGGTTTTTCAGGTTGCGAAGTGAGTTGGTCATTGAAGAGTTCTAAACTTGGGGAAATATAATTCTTCAACACGTTCTAGTCTTCAGTAATTCTCTGAATGATGTCGCTTAATGGCGAAACTTGCCATGAAAATCAATTAAATCCCGGAAAGTCTAACATCTCATATACACTTTTCATAACACTCAATATGCTTTAGTGATTTTTGTGTTCAGAGTGAGGAATAAATTCACGTTAGTCTTTCAGCATAAATGCAAATGTAGGAATGATACACTGTTAGTGCATACACGTACCTTACAATTTTCTATTATTTGATTGCATGGAGGATTTAATCATGAGCTAACATCAGTTAGAGAACCACTGGAAAACAACAATCAAACAAAATCCCTACAAAACCAATACTTAAGAATTTTCTATTAGTTTTAGCATAGTTATGAATTATGCTACTGACAAGTTCTCTAAGTAGTATATCGGTAAATATTAAAATATGTATATCATTTAGAAAAATGTTTAGTAGTCAAGCTACATAGAAAACATGAAACGAAGGCATATTCTAATTGTAATTTCAATATTTGGTAGACACACTTTGTCTATATTTGTACACTGGATGACCAGTAAGTAATTCTGTCGGCAGATATGCTTGTGTCCCGCCGTTACATTGTAACGAAATAGATATTAACGTTTGTGGTTATATGACTTTGAAATTAACGAATTCCTCTCTTCTTTGAAGAATTCAGACAATAATATTTGCTGTACTTTTGAAACATAGAGTAAAATCATTTTTAACTAAGACTACCCTATTCGATTCTCGTGTTAATCACATAATCTGAAGTTCAGTTGAGGTTAAATATGATTCACTCAACGCTACAACTATTTCATTATCATGATTATTGAATTATTCATTCCGTGTGTTTCGAGCGGAACATGGGGCCTTGAATAGCAAATCTGCATTCCACTTGGTTCTATGCCATAACTTTTAGCTAGCTTTCATTCACACCACTAGACACCCAACCCGTCGCTTCCCACTAGCGTCCGACACTATGGTCTATATAGCGTAGGATGTTATTTGATTGTCTCCTCAGGGAGTATTCAATCCATCTCCATTCCCTACTGTATATTTGTTGACTGGATCGCTTCGTATGCCGAAGAAGACTTGTACCTCAGGTGGATGATTTTCTGATGGAGTTGTAGCTTCGCAAATAAACCAGCCAGCCAGCTCAGAGAACACAACGACATCAAAATCATCCACTTGATGTACAAATCTTCTCCATCATATCTAAATCTTACGAGCGGAACACGCTTTTTTCTGCTCGAAAGTGGGAAGACCTCGCCAAAAGACAAGGATCTACCAGAGGACAATTATTCTTTCTCCATGAATGCCTTCGTCACCAAATCTTATCAACCAGTGTCAGATTCAAACTACCAGTCAACTACCCAATGGGATGGAAATAAGCCGAACAATGTGAAAGACGAATGGTTAAATTAATGATTACAAATGCACATCATTAGATTAATAAATATCAAGAAATAATGGATGTCCAAAAAGAAAAAAACGAGAGAAAATCCTTAATCAGGAACACTGCAACTGCATTGTCAAGTAGGAAACGCAAAGAACAAAGACGGAAAGTTCTCACAACCAAGCTAGCCAAAATTAGAAAACAACAACCAGACAATACACCTATTGACTGTATAGTCTACCTATCAAAACAACGACTAACAAAAAGGATTAAACTACAACACTGAGGATGCCTCGAAAACTGATTTCTTCACTGTCATTGAATCACCACTCAAATCATCAAACTTAAAGGAGGAAACACAAAAAGAGATACGTCAAACAATCGTACTGATTGTCAAATAGAAGAAACAACACACCTAACTCAACTCTCAAGAACTAAAGGCCCTGAAAAAGCTGAAAAACAGGAAGGAAGGAAGGAAGGACATCTTCATTCTACCAGCTGACAAAGGAAGAACCACAGTAGTCATGAACAAAGAACAATGCACCAAAAAAACTGAAGAATTACTCAAAGATTAGGATGTATATCAAGAACTCAGGACACAAATCGCATACAAACATTAAACAACCGCATCCAAAAGATCTCTTGGTGTCAGAGCCGACCATCTAATTCTCGGTATTTGAGTGTTGTGTAGACATCTCTGTTGATGAAAGTCTATAACAGGCTGTTGGAAATGTTTTAAACCGATGTACGCACCAATTCTCGAAACTCTATAGAAGCAGAGAATAACGCTTTCATAACTTCAATTTAAATTTTTCACCAATTTTATTACTTTTTTTGCATACCCTTTACAACTCGTTTTGTTTTACAATTTGATAAAAAGTAATAATAATAAATAATTACCTTACATAGGTGTTCGACAATTCTTTCATCTTATTCAACCGGCTACACGTTCTCTAAATTCAATATTCCTGGCTAAAATGAAATTTATCTCCAAATTACTCGATGCTATTCACTTTCAACAGTGTTTAATTTTCACAAATTTTCATAACAGGTAAATAGTGGATTTTTTTTAAAATTTTTCAGTTTATAAATAATTTTTGTTGTTGTAGAGGTTGAAATTCATTACATCTCGTCATGAACCATTATCTCCCTGAGTGTTAGAGAGATCATTAAAAGCTAGTGAGTAGGGGGCAGTAGCCAACTGTTTTATCCTAGTTTTATACTCTTTAGACATGATACCACCAGGGATCAAATCCCAAGACCTTCCTGTGACGAGAACAAGTTCGTTGACTGTTCGTTCAGTTGTGGTCAAAAGAGGAACGCGAATCCTACTATTGAAACTTATCACAACACTCATGTTTTTAACGATTCTATTATTATTATCATTATTATTTATAAATAGTAAACTAGATTATGAATGCAAACAGAGGCATTGATTAATTGACCTACGATCCTGATATAAACGATTTTTAAGAGGTGTGTGGTGAGAGCTATCTGCTAGCCGAAATTGCTAGGCAGCAATTCACGTCAGCGTTTACTTCCCAAATATTGATCTTAAGAAAAAAAGAACAAAGACTTTGTGTGAGTGGATACGATTCGCAGATATATATATATATATATATCGCAGAGAAACGGCCTCAAAGAGATAACAGATTTACTTTCAGCGAGAAAACGACCAATCAGAAGACGCTATTTCTCTGCTAATATTAATGTACATAAACCGCAATACTAGTTAATTTCGTCGCATTAACGTTGAACCTCTCTCTCCGCCGCTATTTAACATTTTTGTGTGACGATGAACGCACCCTTCATATACTACTGATATATCTTGTTAGTAGCACACGCCACACTGGGCAGTGTTTCTTTGATCTGGATAGTTTCATTGTCTATCTAGGGACACAACATCTTCATTTATAATAGCTAGCTTCATTTCGTCTTCTTACTTACTTTCTTTCTTTGCTAATAATAATTTAGTGCTGAAGACCTTCATAGTTCCTTATCTTCACGTGGTTGGCCAGTCAGTTATATATCGAGTGGTTTAGACCAGGGTGAACGCTTTAGTGCATTCAAAAAACTACGTACATTCCAGTGTCGTGTTTTTATTACTACAGATTTAGTAAGTTTATTATCTATTGGGCTGTTTTTTTTTTTTGCAAAAGTATTCTGTTTTTTGTATGAAAGAGTAATAACACTGTGAGTGTAGTATGTGTTACTGTGGAACAACTGTGCTGCCTCATTGGTTTAATCCGTCAACTTTGAACCAAATGGATGAAAGTTTGAAACTCCGCTCCACCCAACCGTGGTGTAGGCAGCCAGATAGGTGTCAATAACCCCACGGCGCGCACACACACACACACAATAGGTTTGTGGCTCACATTACTAATAACAGTGGATCAAGTAGTATGTAGTCTAATTTCCTCTAGAATTGCTAAATTAGCTATAAAAGAACTGAATAAGTTGGTAGACAATTAAGACAATTAAGCAGCTTCCTTCTTTCACAATAGCTGGTATTGTTTGCAAACAATGGGATAAATTCAGTGTTTATTATTCTAATCAATAATGTTCGTTGTATTTAGTCTTTTTCACTATCCCTTCACGTTCCCAGTGCAATATAGGGCTTGAAGCTAGAGGCTTGGTAGCAGTTGTGTTTTATTTATTTACGTGATGGGGTTGCTAGCCTCATACCCAACCCCTTCCCTCTTTGCCAGTTCTATTACTGGCTTAGTGAGGTAAAGGAGTGCATCTGTGACCGGGAATCGAACCCTGGAGCATGTGCATTGTCGGCGAGCATCCTAATCTCTGTGCCACCGACGGTCATGAGTCTTGCTCTCTATAATTTATCGGTTAGTTAAATGTGTATTTCAGTAAATAATACTGTTCCAATTATTATATCTAATAATTAAATGATTATGGAATCATGCTCACACACTCGACTATAGTGTGTTAGATCTTCATTTCACCTTCAGTCGTGCACACCCATTACATCAATATAACGACTAGATATTCTTCGTATCAATCAAAAACTCTATTAGGTAAAATATCACATTTCAAGGCTTCCCATCAAAACGGTTTATAGATCAAATAATCCACAATCGTATGCTATTATTATAAATAAGCTTTGGATTGATTGATTACTAACAAAGTAACCAATGTCATGAATTGAGTGTAGTCCTTAATGTCGGTGCAGACTGATATCTATCAGTCAAGTGTACAATGTGATCACCAAGCTATTTAGGGGACTGTGACTTGATTTCAGATAGTTAAAGGTAGTCGTCAAGACGTCATAGTGGACCACCTAGGTTTCGTACTTGTTAGCATTCATCAACACCTATGTCTATTAGAGTCCTACAGAAGGCTTATCGTGAACCCGAATAGCTAAGTGATAACGTTTTTCAGTGCAGCAGTGTATAATGCGAGTGACAGAGAAGATACCATTCCCTTGAAGGTTGGAAATGTGCTGTGCTGACGAGTGCTAACAAGCACAAAACCTAGATGTATGGCTTCCTGTTAGTTTTATAAATTAAACGATGTGAAGTAGTAAGGCGTTAGAGTGTCTATAATCGTGAGTGAGTTTGTTAAAAATATGTATTGTGTATACAGGTGTGTGTGTGTGTGTCTGTTAAGGATTCAGTCTTATTGTTTGATCCTAAATATTATGCACTCCTCCTTGCCCTATGACTCTGCCGTTTATATTATTGGCGATACAATTTTTTCTAATTATAGACTCAATTCTACAAAGTTGCATATCACACTACAGTCATGTAGAGGGGAATTTCGAGTTGTTATCTCATGCAAAACTTTTCAATTACTTAAATAAAAGACATTAAGTTCCATTGTAAATTGTATCCAGATTGTTGTATCAGTTGTCCACGCTATTTTATGCTTAGAATGAGTTCTCTTCTCTTGTGTTTTACCTAGACCTTATAGCATAAATCTAAACAGCATCATCTCAAACTGATAGAATAAGTTCATTTTTGTATAGGGCAATAAGTTCAAGTAAACTGTATTCTTGGGATCCGATTGAAACGATGGAGAAAACAGTTAGCTAAATCATTTAGAAGACTGAAATAACAAGGTTTTATCTCACAAAGTCAGTATGCATCACTGAAACCCACTGAGACGTTCACATCAAGATTGCATGGCTCGCCAAAAGTGCACAAAAATGGTTTATCACTTCGATAGGTATTAGATATGTTAAATTCACCAGTCAAACTTTTACAGCCTCTACATACTGAAATTGGTGAAAGATAGCGTAAAGGATACTTTTGGATCTGTTGAAAAGATAAAAGATTTAAATGTTGATAATAAATGCTTGATATCATTTGACGTATCTGCCTTATTCACCAGTGCACCACTTATGGAAACGGTTGACTTTGTATGTGAAGAGTTCATAAGACGAAACATCACTGTCAGTATTTCTATATCTTTCATAAAAGAGCTTCTCTTGAAATGCACAATGAACGTTCACTTTCTATTTAATAAGGAAGTATACAGACAAATTGATGGTGTGGCAATGGTGTCACCACTAAGACCCATTCTATTAGACATTTTCCTTGCGAAACTAGAGAATGGCGCTTTGAAAGATGTAATTGATGAACTTGAATTCTATTGTCGGTATATTTTTTTTTCTTCACGTTCCCCAGTGGAACATAGGGCTTCAAGCTAGTGGCTTGAAGTTTCTGTAGCAGTGTTTATTTTACAGGATGGGGTTGCTAGCCTCATGCCCAACCTTTCCTCTTTACCAGCATTACTTCTGGTTTAGCGAGGTGTCGGAGTGCATCTGAGGCCGGGAATCGAACCCCGGACCATGTGAATGGTTGGCGAGCGTCCTAACCGCTATACCACCAACGCACACACTGTCGGAACATGGATGACACATTTTTGATTATGAAAAACGAGGATGAAGCAAAGATCATCCAGGACAAATTTAATGATGTTCATCCTGCAATAAATTTTACCATTAAGAAAGAAAGAGACCCTAGTAATTCATTCCTAGACGTTCTTGTGACTAGAAAAGAGGACGATACAATAAGAAGAAGTGTATATAGAAAACCAACACCAACTAGTCAGTATACTCATTTTTTCAGCTTCGTGCCTTTGAAATACAAACGAAATCTAATAAAATGTTTGGTACACAGAGCAGAAGCACTCTTTTCCGATGAATGTCTTAATGGAGAGCTTACTATTATTAAACACTTGCTGAGTGAAAACGGTTATCCTGAAAAATTCATCGATAAGAATATCAATCAAAAGTCAAGATGGGACAAAGACCGTTTTCTTACAACTTCAGTTCCTGGAGGATAGCATCAGCGAGATATTAACACAACGCGCAGTGAATACGGCGGCAAAAAGAGCATTCAGTGTTACTGAATTATGCTGTCTTCAAAACCACTCCTATTGTGCATTCGGCATTTAAAGATAAACTGCCTAATTTCGCCTCTTCTATGTGTATCTACCAATTTAACTGCTCCTGTGGAGCCTATAACAAAGGTTGTACAATAAGGGATGTTTCTTTTCGGATTTCCGGACATAATCCTGCGTGTTTCAGTAAGGGACAAACAAAAGTCATTCATAGGTCTATTCAATCTCATCTCATGGATACAGAACACAAGATTGATGTTAACCAGGCCTTCGAAGTCATCTATTGCCTACCATCTAATCTTAACTTCACCTTAAGAGTTCGTCTACTACATACTGCTAAGGCCGTTGGGATCCACATTAAGAAGCCTAATTTATGCATCCAAAAGAAGTTAGTTGAGACACTACCCTTACCTAGGCCATCAAGGTTCTAATGATCCTCACTTTTGTTGTGGAAATTTCTTTAATTTTATTTGATATTCTATTTACTACTACATTTTTATACTTATTATAACTCAAGTATCTTTCTTGAACTGTAATCTCGTTCATCTTAACAAATCGTTAGTAATCTAAAAAACACCACTATTGTTAATGACGACTATTCTAGAATATTCTATATATATAATTGTAGAGGAAAAATAGGGGATTATCGAAAAGGATATTATTTGCTCAATTTTTTTTCTAAATGTTATCTTATTATTGTTTATCAAACGTCTAGACAGCACGTGGTATCGATGCTCAAAACGTTAATCTTGTGATAAGCTTAGAAGTACCCTGGGATCATGAAACTTATGTACATCGAGTAGGACGTGCTGGTAGATTTGGTACGTTATTTTTATTTTGGCATACATTACCTTCATTCTGTGAATTTTTTTTCGTTGAATTTCTCTTTCTATATGGTTCAGAATCAATATTAGAATAAATTCAGCGTCACTGGTATTTTTCGATTTCGATATCCAGCTCCAAATACTAACTACTGAATTGTTGTCATTATTGACTGACTGACTGACTGGCTAGTTTCAACGTAGAACTTTACACAGATATGCACCAGTTTGAGTTAACACACTCATTCCTTGTAGCATACAAAGTGAGAGAAGAGAGTAAACAGAGATTCAAAAATAAGGTGATAAGCAGAAATGTAGGGAAAAAAGAACAGTAATATGGAAGAACCATAGAATTTTATTGCATATTATAAATCACAAAGAGTGGATGTATCTGCGCCAGCCATTAAAAACGATTTTGAGCTATATCACGAATTGTCTCCAGCTGTCACTGGTTCTTATCATCCCGAGGACTTCAACCAGGAAGCTAGTCTACACCTTCCTACGTGGCTGGTTGGCTAGCTGACTTAAACTAACTGTTTTGGATTTCATTGACTGATGAGACCATGTTTTGGTTTGACCACCACTAGCTTTCTCTTCTCCAACTTAATCCATCCTATATCATTTAGTCTGTCGATGAAGGCGGTGGCTAGACAGACATGCACAACACATGTCCTAACCATCTCAATCGATGTAAATTCACAACCGTGTCAATTGATTTCCACTCTTTAACTGGCAATCACTGGATGCCTAACCTCAATATTGCTCACCTTATAATACCACTTGACATACACAGGAGACAGAACGCCGACACGTATTATCGAACTGATCATTACTCAAATTGATTATAATATTTTACTATTATTATTGTTATTCTTTGTTCCAGGTAGTTATGGCGCCTCAATCATCATTGTCTCTGATGTAGGTGATGAGTGTGAGCTATTAAAAAAGATACAAGCGAAATGCCCGAGAGAAATTCGTGAATTACCTGGTAAGCTTGTTTATTTGTTTGTACGTGCGTGCGTGCGTGTGTCTGTATGTTTGTAATGGTGTATTTCTGTTTCAATTACTTCCTGACTATATATGCTACATCAAGTATAGTCTTCCGTCAGTTCTTTCCGAGTGGAACATAAGGCTGCAAGCTTTCTCTTTGAAATTTCAGTAGCAGTGGTGTTTCCTTTTACGGGATGAGGGTTGCCAGCTTCATGCTCAACCTCCTCTCTTTTTCGGTTGGGACTCGAACCCCGGACCACGTGCATGGTCGGGTTGACCAGCACTCTGCCGCTGAACCATCGATGCACATACAGTTGCATATATGTGTATAATAAATTATCTTAGACAGAAGAGGAATGTTTCTAAAGGCGTGTCATTGGAAATGTAAATTTTAGATGACTAATTATGCAATACAGAAAGCGTTAATCGGGTAGAAACTGAAATAAAATTAAATGAGAAAATTGCGTACTTATGTAATGTAATTGATGGGATTGAGTAAAACTCAACAAAAATTGAAGAAAATTCAAGCTAAGAACAGTAACAATAAGGAGTCGAAATGTAAAATCAGAGAGGGGGGCGAGGAGAAAAATAACAGATAAATTAGGTATCAGGTGTTAAAACAGATTAAGTGACCGCAAAAACTTCTGTATGCAGAATTTGGAACTTAACATGTAGATTTCCACTGCTTCTATGGTTTAAAGAAGTTTGATTTGTACTCATTTAGTGAGATTCTCGTATATTCTGTAGATGGCTATGAAGTTAGATTGCGGATTCGGTTAGTGTCCATAGTGGACTAGATGTTCTTGAATAGAACTGCGGGAGGAATCTTACTTTTCCTTTATAAAACCATGAGAATAAGTTTTCAATGATGTATTTGAATAGCAAACTGTGAATACAGTTGACATAGATACATACTGGTGAGTATCAATCGAGATTTTTAAGTTGTCAGTTTTAATTAAACCTTCAACCTATTACTGTTAACTTGAAGAAAATCGAACAGTGTTGTGTCATTACAATGTATTGTCAATTATAATTTTAATTTAAAGGTTCTCTACGCGGAGTAGTCATTTTGCAATGAATCACTCTAAGAATTATGCACTGGCCATAGAAATATTGTCTAGAAATAAAGCGTCGGCGGTACAGTCATTGGGACGCTCGCCGACCATGCATATGGTCCACGGTTAGATCCCCAGCCGACATACACGTGATATCAGTGGTCGGTCTGCTAAATTTGGGCTACCGATATCATGTGCTGAAAATTCCATACTTGTACCAAAATACTGTGGGGTACCAAGCTATAATAATTATTATTATTATGATATTAGACTTACTTCCACTTACTGGCCATCACAGGCTGTATGGAATGGAATTTGCCACTCTGCTTCATTATATAAACTTAATCTCTTATAAGCTATCATGAGTTGTCATTGGTTAATCTGAATTAATATAAGTTGATTTCTGTTGAAATCAAAAAAACAGTGATCTCAACATTTTATTTCACATTTATTCGCTCTACCTTTAAAGTTTCAAACATCAGTAGTATTTATTTGCTAATAGCCTCTTTACTTACCTTCTTCACTGTTTTTAAAGTGTACTTCATATTAGTGAATTCTGTGCTTGAGTACATCATGAGTTGTCACAGGGTTTTTTTTACGATTAGAGTTAATGTTTGGGAGAATTTATGTGCATCTGCACTATCGCAACTTAATTTCATATCTGTAAAGCTCTATTATGATATATGTAATTACTTTCGGTTAGACGAGGGCTTTAGAGGCTACATTCAGTGTCATATAAAAAGGTACTATCACGCCGTTTATATAATTCGTTATGTATTGTTATTTTATATACACTGGTGCTTATACTGACCTTATAATTGGTCTTAATTATCAATTAGTATTGCATATTATATATGTCCAAACCAAGTTCACTTCTAACGGTTTGAAAAAATTTGGGCATTGGGTATATGATATTCATTATAATAAAGGTTTTTGTATTTCCCAATGAATGAAAAACAAAACGATACTGTTTTTACCGACGTTTCGCTATTTAATGCTGTTAATAGCTTTATCAAAGTATTATTAAACCAGAATTAACAAAATCTCAGCATGTATATAACAAGGAGTTAAGGGGTGAGAAAATAGACTTAGTTTAACTTAAAAGGACATACTGAAACTTAAAATAACAATGAAGATCAAATATCAAAGGTAATAGTATGTCTGTTATTATATCAAAACAAAGTTTACTAGCTTGATCATCGTTCGTTAGTCTGGGGTCATTTTTGGTTGTCAAGTTGGTGAATTGGTAAAGATAACAAAACCAGGTGTAGATTGTTAGGTTTGATCAGTGTGTGAAATTATAAAAGCAGTGTGTGTTTACATAGTGAACCTGCTTATCACATTTGTGTTGATTTTGTCACTTCATGGGGGAGGGAGGTATTGTAACCAGGTCAGATTCTGTTTTAGTCCATCATTCCTATTCAGACAATTTGGATTCCATTTGATATGAAGTGCTTCTGATATTAGACGTTCTTTGTGATTTCTGAAGTTTTTCTGGATTATTTCAATATTGTCAAAATCAATTTTGTGGCCTGATTCTATAGCATGTAGACCTATGGCTGATGATTTTTGAAGTTTTTCCAGTTCAACTGGATTTCTTGGTGGTCGAAGAGAAGCTTTACAGTTTTCATTTCTTCTGATTTTGATTTCTCGAGATGTTTGTCCGATGTAGATCGCATCACATTCCGAGCATTTTATTTTGTAGACACAATTAGATAGAGAATCTTTCGGGATTTGGTCTTTTATATGGACAAGGTTGTTTTGAAGTGTGTCCGATGTTTTGAAGAAAACTCTAATGTCGAGCTGATTGAGTACTCTTCTGATATCGTCTGATGTCTCTGCTCTATATGGAATGACGACTGTTGAAGTCCATGTTTTCGGAATGCATTTTCGGCCATACTTAATGTCTGTGTTGATTTTGTTGATGAAGTTCCTTAGGGAATTGTTTTGCTTGAGAGTTTCAGTGATGTTTGATATTTCTTCTTCTTTTTCTTGCTCATCCGTTATCAGAGAGTGTGCTCGTCTAAGAAGACTTGAAACAACTGAAATCTTTGCGCTGATGGGGTGTGATGATTTGAAGTCTAAATATTTATTGGAGTGGGTTTACTTCCTGAATATGGATATACTAAAATGTCCGTTTTCCTTTCTCTTAACTAGGCAGTCTAGAAATGGAAGTTCACCGATGTCTGATTCTGCTTCCGAAGTGAACTGAATTTTGGGAGATAGACTATTTAGTTTATCCAGGAATGAATTGTGTAGATCTCGTTTTAGTACTACAAAAGTATCATCCACATATCTTAACCATATTTTAGGAGTGAGTATGCTTGAAAAGATATTCATGCAAAGGTCGGTGACTGTTGGGGAGACTGGTGAACTGGTGAAATATTGCATATATTAGCCTCTAATTTATTGACAGTTGTGGTCAATTACCACTAACCATAATTATTATCCCTATTACAATTATTATGAAGAAGTAGGAGCGTTGGATTCCACACTGTGAACTCATGATGGCATCTTAGAGATTAAGTTTATTAAATCAATTGCCAGTATATGGAAATAAGTCTTTCTTCAGCAAAATACACTGTCTTCCTTTAATCGGTTGTGAACATTTGTTGCCTTATCAATGGTACAGAAAAGTCTCAGTATTACCTATCATTGGTTCCTACGACAGGCAGTATAGTTTCAAAAATACTGCTGCGAAGAAATATCTACCCACTGATCTGGACTGTTAAATTCCTCCTTCATGATCAACGACTCTCCATATCATCAGTAAGTGATTATAGATAAATAGAAATATGGTTAAAAGCTGGGAACAGCAATTCGGTTTGTAGAATGAAGTATGCGCAGTTGTATCGCACTGCATATGTCTTGATGCGTACTTGTCTCTTACACCAATCATAAAATACAAACTACAATAACGCGAACTTAACAAAGTCAACGAAAGATGACTGGTCATCGGTAGCAGAGCGGTAGAATGCTCGCCAACCACGCCTTATGGGGTCCGGGGTTTGAACCACAGCCACAGATGCATTACACTACCTCATTAAGCCAGTAATAGAACTGGTAAAAAGGAAAGGGTGGGCACAAGGCTAGTAGCAACCCCATCCCGTAATAGTAAACACCACTGCTACCGAAACTTCAAGTCTCTAGCTTGATGCCCTGTGTTCCACTGGGAATGTAAAAGAATAAAATAAATATATTTATACACAGTTCTTCTCTGTGAACTAACAAACTACTTCGGGTGGATTGAACTGATTCAGATGTGTCTAAGTTGAGTCGGACTGGGTACACCGCTTATCAAGTTGACCCGAAGCGAGCGAAACTGCTGTCCGGTGTTTCGGTCACTTCGATCTGGCTATCAGTGTTGGCACTACTAGTTCTTTCGAATAGTAATAAAAACTAGTCATCTCAATCCGTCGGTAGCAATATAGTTTTATGGAAATGTATTCTCACTTTCTTGATTACCCCATTTATAGTAGGTATCAAGGGGATGAAATGATTGTAATCTCAATAATTTTGATTTGTGAATAGAAACTGTGATTACATTTCACCTGCTTGAATGAATTGTGTAAGTCGCAAATTCATTTTCACATTGAAGATTTGATTGATAGGCGCTACTTCACTGAAGAGTGTCGACTTCGGGAAGTATTTTGTGGCGTGCATTACAGCGTATTAGTTATCGTCATCATCAGACAGGATAATGTCGAGGGAGAAAGAGAGAGAGAGAGAGGGGAAAAAGTAAATATAACTTGATACTTTTTTTCCTGTAAAAAAATGGATTTTAATAAATTCTTTTGTTCAAATTATCCCTCACTTTTTCTTATTTCATTTCAACAGATCCTATCCCAGCAAATTTAGCCAAACATGAGTGTTCTGTTGATGTTGACAGTCTAGTGACAGTAACAAAGAAAATGAGTAATATTCAACCGCGTCCATTGGCTAAAGCAGTAACAAAACAAAAATTAAAAAATCCTATAGAAAAGAAATCAACTGAAGTGTTTCAACGACAAAAAGACAAGGATGAAGATGATAGAGTGAAGATGAAAAGAGCGAAAAGAACAACAACAACAACAGCGATAACAACTCGTAAAACAATAGATAAGAACAGAGAAAAATTAAAGTCAGCATCCCCTTCAAATGATTTATCCACACAGCTATCAAAGTATTTAAATCTTTTGGGATCTGAGGTATGTTGTTTAGTATACACTTTTTGTGTTTATTGGGCCTTGGTATTTTTATTTTTTTTTATTTTACTTTACAAAAGTGTAATATTAATAGTTAAATAAGACTTCCAGCGATATATGATAACCAGGAAATTTGTCCCCGACTTGTACAGGGATATATTGAGTGTTTGATGATATTAGATATTTGAAGGCAATCGGTAGGAAGCCCAGCCTTGGACCTAGGTTTCGTACTAGTTGGCACTCACTAGTCAGCAAGACGTATCTGCAACCAACTTCAAGGAACTCATGTCCCACCCTTCTGGGATTCAAACCCGCGTCACCCAGTGAGTACTGCAGTCGGAGACGTTACCACTGAGCTATTCGGGGTCGTGATCGACCTCCTGTAGGACTGTAGTGGGTATTTCGATTGGACACTTGTAACTGGTGTGACGTGTCTAGTCTTTTCTTTGGTGCAGGCTGGATTCTATCAGTCAGGTTTGTAATGTGGCCACCATTCTAGGTAGCTCACCATCACGGTGCACATTGATCTGATGATATTAGGTAATTGGAGGCAATCGGCAGGAAGCCCAGCCTTCAACCCAGATTTCGTGATAGTTGGCACTCGTCAGTCCTACAACAGGTCAATCGCAGGCCTGAATAGCTGCTCAGTGGTAACATCTCTGTCTGCAGTACTCACTGGGTGACGCGGGTTCGAATCTCAGAGTTCCTTCAAGGGTGCAGATATGCCTTGCTGACTGGCGAGTGTCAACTAGCCTGAAACCCTAGGTCGAAGCCTGGGCTTCCTGCCGATTGCCTCTAGCCATGTAATACCAACAATTCACAATGAACCGTAATGGCGAGCCACCTAGTGGCATGGTGGCCACACCGTAAACTTGACTGATGGAATTCAGTCTGAGCCAAAGAAAGGACTAGACATACACATTACTCTAGTCACTGACTAGTGTTCAATCAAAAATACTCTGAACAATTTTGTCTGATGACAAAATATATATAATGGTATAATTTATAGGCTTAAATATTATAATCATAACTTAACAAGCATTCCATTATCCTGACTGTTATATAGATCGAGAACTGTGAAATTTAATCCTTCCTTTTTAGTTTACTCTCTATGTTTCAAGTGTGTAAAAAACTATTTCATTGATAAGAAAATGAAAACATGACACCAGAACATGGGTAATGATGGCTTGAGGTTTAGACAAAATGAAAATAACGAAAATAAGTGATAGTTCAATGAAGAGGCCATTCAATTTCATATATGCACAATGGTAACACAAATGATGAGTTGTCATAATCATAATTGTTAATATTAATATATATATGTAGATTTGAATTAGGGGTATTAGAGTTATGCGGTAGGATAAATAATTTAATGAATGAGTTGTAATCGCAATGCACATAGAGAAACGGAAGGAAGAGGGATATTACGTAAGAAGAGTTTGACAGGAATACAAGAGTTATAAAGAGCTGTAGAAAAAATGGACAAACAGAAAACACTGTTGTCACCCCATGGCAGTAGAAGGTGTTATGAATTTGTTTTTTTATATGCAAGAGTCCCAGAATGGTTAGAGTTTCAGTGATGCTTACTATCTTCGACAGGTTATTCTACACTTTGTTTATTACTTTGAAGGAGTTTGTTAAGACAGAATGATCAGCTTAGACAAGGCATTCAATGATTGCACTTCTTATAGAGCTACTGTGGAATATATCTGGCACCACAGGGAAGGGTGAACTGAACTACGCATAAGAGCAGTCACGTGTAAGATCTTGTATTTCAGGTTTCTGAAGACCAGTGGACGACTGGAGAATGCTACTGTTAGTATTTCTGCAAAGAATGTTCTCGAAGATGATGAATCTCCTTTGAAATCAACGGTGATGTAAAATTTCTTTTTTGATAAAAGTAATGCTTCGTTTCTCTATACTTTTGGTTTGATTTTGTTAACAATGAATCTCCATGGACATCCATTTTTTACATGGAAATTTCCTACAGAAAGTCGAATTCTTCTTCCAAAGCATCAGTTCTACAGAAGCGTAGTATTGCAGTTGGTCAGGAATTTAACTAAATTTCCTGATTACAACTGTTTCTACTTTATCCTTTGCGTTCCTAGTGGAACATATGTCTTCCAGTTTAGAGCTTTAAAGTTTTGGTAGCAGTGGTGCTTATTTTTATCGGGTGGAGTTGCTAGTCTCACTCTCAGCCTTCCCTCCTTGCCGGGCTTATCACCAGCTAATCGGTGTTTGGGTGGGGATCGTACCCCGGATAACGTGTGTGGTTGGCGAGCACTCTATCTCTGTCCCACCGCCTAAGACAACTGTTTAAATTATTGTATTTTATTATATAAGTCCAATAGCCTTAATCAAGTTCACTTATGCATTGATTAATATTCAACAACTATGATTCTAATATGTGCGTCGGTGGCATAGCGGTTAGGACGCTCGCCGACTATGCACATGGTCCTGGGATCGATCCCCGACCACAGACGCACTCCTTTACCTCGCTAAGCCAGAAATAATGCTGGTTAAGAGGAAAGGTTGGTCATGAGGCTAACAACCCCATCCTGTAAAAATAAACACCACTGCTACAGAAACTTCAAGCCACTAGCTTGAAACCCTGTGTTCCACTGGGAAACGTGGAGGGAAGAAAATGATTCTAATAACTCATCACTTTTGTTTGTCAGATTGTACAGCTGAAGAAAATGAATTTGCACAACAACAAAAATGTGTAATTTCACTGAACTGCTTGTTGCTTCTTCGTCTTCCTTCCTTCCTTCCTCCCTCCCAATTATTACCTGAAATAAGGATTATTTGTAAATTAATTCTAAACAATTGGAGAACATTATAAATGAATATTGATGCATATTCGTCACTGACTAATGTTTGTTTTATTTATATTTTCTTTTAAATTAGTGTCGTGGAGGTCGTGCATCTGTAAAGAATTCAGCCAGCAGAGACAATAAATCTCCTCCATATGGTATAAATGAAATTAGAAGTAATCTTGTAAGCCTGATGGGTAATTATCCCGAAGGTGATATGATCAATAACAATTCTTGTGCTGTAAATAGAATAAATAAAGTTGACAAACATCCGAATTACGAGGATGACAATGAGGAGGAGGAGGAGGAGGAGAATGCTAACGATGATGACGGCGGGGGGGACGACGGCGAGGAGAACGAAGAGGAAGAGGAAGACGAGCAGCAGGAGGAAGAGGAGGAGACGGAGACAGAGGAAGAAGTAATAGTGAAGAGAAAGACTAACAAATCAAAGAAAACTTCATCACATTCTAAGAATAATTCAAATCCCAGTGAAGAATATCATTGGACGTCAAGACAAATCTCTGCATGGTATGAATATCATCAGTTATTAGAGTATGCACAGTATTATTATACTCAATGGTATTATACTACACTAGAATATAATCAAGCTGTAAATTATTTGAATGAATTAAAATCATTTAAACAGTATAAAGATTATTGAAAACTTTTGTAACGATTGTCACAGTATAAAGAGGAAAGTTTTACTGTGTAAATATTGAAGAAGAGTTGATGAAGAGTTTCACTTTTTATTTTCTATTTTGAATAAAATAAGATTATGTAACATTATTAGCTTTTGTGTAATAAATTCAAAGCTGAGTAAAAACCACTGGATTTCGACTGCCTCATCCGAACTGATAGATGCTAGAAGACTTATTCCGGCGAGCTCCGAATTCAATGAGGAGCGAAAGCTGCACAAAAGGAAACTTACTAAAAGTCTCCGCAAGGACCGTGAACAGTGGTGGCTGACAAAGGCAAAAGAGATGGAAAAAGCATCGGCGATAGGCAACACTAGGCAACTCTTTAGACTCATCAGGGAAACGGGTGGGAGAAGGCAAATCATAAGTGAGACTATTTCTGAGAAAAATGGCTCCTTAATTAGCTCTCAGGATAGACGCCTTGAACGCTGGAAAGAACACTTTGAGGACAATTTAACTTGCCTACAGCCACACTGAACCTCCCCGACATCCACACACACCCGAATGGGATATAGACACTGGTCCGCCGTCTGTAAGTGAGGTCACAAAAGCTATCAGTAATTTGAAACGAGGCAAAGCGGCAGGACCCGACGGAATTATTCCGGAGGTGTTTAAATATGGGGGTGACATACTAGTTTGTAGATTAACTGAGGTACTAGGCAAAGTCTGGGAATCAGAGACAGTGCCATCAGACTGGGGTAAGTCACTTATTATACCGATATTCAAGAAGGGAAACAAGTCCTCGTGTGATAATCATAGGGGGATCAGCCTAACGAACATAGTCTCTAAAATCCTAGGCTCAGTAATCATGCATAGACTAAGCAGAACTCGGGAGGAACAGACAAGGGAAAATCAAGCAGGCTTTAGACCAGGTAGAGGGTGCATAGATCATATCTTCACTCTTCGACAGATTCTAGAACATAGACACACTTTTCGGCGTCCAACAATTGTCATATTTCTTGACTTGAAGGCGGCCTTCGACTCCGTGGATCGAAAGGTACTATGGCAATGTCTGACTGTGAAGGGAGTGCCAAGAAAGTACATTGCACTAATCAAGGCACTCTATTCAAACTCACGTAGTCGTGTAAGGGCTTATGGGGAATTGTCATCTGAATTGGTAACAACCAGTGGTGTCCGACAGGGATGTCCACTTTCCCCATTTCTGTTTAACTTCATCATAGATATGCTAATGGAAGTATCCTTAACTGAACGTAGTGACTTAGGAATCGACTTGTTACCAGGGAATAATCTTATGGACTTAGAATATGCAGATGACATAGTCCTGTTAGGGGAGGATGCTGACAAAATGCAGAGTCTTCTGAACACCTTGAGCAGCAATCTTCGTATGTTTGGCATGCGATTCGCCCCTGCAAAATGTAAGATGCTGCTACAGGACTGGACCACGTCAACCCCTAACTTAGTGATAGGGAGTGAAGTGATAGAACATGTTGACCACTTCACCTACTTGGGAAGTTGTATTAGCACCAACGGACTGATTGGCGATGAAATCTCAGCACGGATCCGAAAAGCTCGAGCTGCTTTCGCTGACTTACACCATCTCTGGCGTAGGCGTGACATCCGGTTATCAACCAAGGGACGTGTGTACTGCTCATCAGTTCGCTCCGTCCTTCTCTATGGCTCTGAAACATGGCCAATACGCGTTGAAGACATGAAAAGGTTGACTGCTTTCGATCATAGATGTCTGCGATCTCTGTCTCACGTTAGGTGGTTTCACAAGATAAGTAATGTTGACGTTAGGCGTAGAGTGTTGGGCAAAGAGGGAAAATCAATCGACGAGGCTATAAAGTTACATAGACTAAGATGGCTAGGTCACGTGGTGCGCATGCCTAACCACCGCCTCCCCCGACGGGCATTGCTAGCTGATATAGGTTCAGGTTGGAAAAGAGCCAGTGGTGGCCAAACAAAAACATGGCATCAATCCATGAAATCCTTGACAGTTAAACTGAGTCAGGTAGGGAGATGCAGACTCCCGGGTTGGGGCCCTCGGGACTCTAGGAATCAATGGCTGGAGACAATAGGTGACATGGCTCAAAATCGTTGTCAATGCCAGCGCAGATGTATTCAGTCTCTGTAATCTTTCATATTCCTTTCTACCATTACCCATTCTGTTTCACTCTTATAGTTGTCAAACTCTATTGATTCTCTTCACTCATCTTCTTGTCTACCTCTGTGTGCTATTTGGAAGGTGGCAACTCGAACTGCTGCACTTCGGTGCCAAGTTCTATGTTGAATCCAGACAGACAGACAGAATAAATTCATCCTGTCCCAACTTTCCGTGTATTTTCAGCACATGCATACTTACGTACGTACATGCTGACATAATTAGCTCCCAGGATAGACGACTGAAACGCTGGAAAGAACACTATGAGGAACATTTTAATTGGCCTACAGCCACACCCAACCCGCCGAACATTCAACACCTCCCTGAATGGGATATAGGCACAGGTCATCCGTCCCTAACTGAGGTTACTAAAGCTGTCACCAATCTGAAACAAGGCAAAGCAGCGGGACCTGATGGAATGACTCCAGAGGTATTTAAGTACGGTGGAGACAGCTTACTGTCCGGATTAACTGAGGTACTAGGCAGCGTCTGGGAATCAGAAGAAGTCCCGTCGGGTTGGTGTAAGTCACTGATTATCCCCATATACAAGAAGGGAGACAAGTCTTCCTGTGATAATCACAGAGGGATTAGCTTGACTAATATAGTATCTAAAGTCCTAGGCTCAATAATCATGCGTAGACTAAGTGGTGCTCGGAAGCACAAACACGAGAGAATCAGGCAGGCTTTAGACCAGGAAGAGGGTGTATTGATCATATCTTCACCCTCCGACAGATTCTAGAACATAGGCATTCTTACCGGCGTCCAACAATCATTATATTTCTTGATCTCAAGGCGTCATTCGATTCTGTCGACCGAGAGGTACTCTGGCGATGCTTGGCTGTAAAGGGAATCCTGAGAAAATACATTGCACTGATCAAGGCACTCTACTCGAACTCATGCAGTGAACCTGGTGAGGGCTTATGGTGAGTTGTCATCTGAAGTGGTGACGGCTAGTAGTGTCCGTCAGGGATGCCTATTATCCCCATTCCTATTCATTTTCATCATAGATGTACTAATGGACTTAACCCTAAGTGACTTCAGCGACTCAGGGTTTGACTTGCTACCAGGGAATAATCTCGTTGGCTTAGAATATGCAGACGATATAGTCCTTCTAGGCGAGGACGCTGACAAAATGCAGTCTTCTGAACACCTTGAGCTGCAATCTATGAATGTTCGGCATGTGATTCGCTCCCGCCAAATGTAAGATGATGTCACAGGACTGGACTACACTGACTTCTAGTTTAGAAATAGGAAGTGAAGTGGTAGAGCACGTTGACCGCTTCACTTATTTGGGAAGTACCATCAGCCAGTCCAAACGGGTTGATCTCTGAGGAAATCTCAGGACGGTTTCGGAGGGTTAGTTTCGCATATGCCAGTTTACACCATCTCTGGCGTAGACGTGATATCCGGCTATTGACCAAAGAGTGGGTGTACTGCTCGTCAATCCGCTCCATCCTCCTTTATGGCTATGAGACCTGGCCATTGAGAGTGGGGTGAATGAAAAGACTAGCTGTGTTTGATCATAGGTGCCTGCGCTCTATCTCCCGTGTGAAGTGGTATAATAAGGTGAGCAATATTGAGGTTAGGCGTCGAGTTCTAGGTAAGGAGGGGAAATCAATCGACGAGTTGGCTGTGAAATTACATCGACTGAGATGGTTAGGACATGTGTTACGTATGCCTAGTCATCGCCTTCCTCGACGGACAATGTTAGCTGACATAGGGTCAGGCTGGAAAAGAGCTAGCGGTGGTCAAACCAAAACATGGCACCAGTCAATGAAATCTACAACAGTTGGTTTAAGTCACGTAGGAAGGTGTAGACTTCCTGACTGGTTGGGGCTATCGGGATGGTAAAAACCAATGGCTGAAAACAATTGGTGATATGGCCCAAAATCGTTCTCAATTACGTAGATGCATCTACTCCTTGTGACTTATTATTTCAAATGAAACTATATCGTTCTTCGTTACTACTATTCCTTTGTCTCACACCTCTGTTTACTGTCTCTAATATTCATTTCTTCTCTTGATTTGTGTGGTACATGGAGGGAGTGTGGCGACTTGAACTGGTGCACATCGGTGCAAAGTTCAATGTTGATAACAGACAGACAGACATACATACAGTAGAGAATTCTCAGCTTGTTTTACTCTTTACTATTGTCCCATTGGGTTCCCAGTGGAATATATAGCTTCAACATTACATCTCCACTTTGTCTTATTCTGTGCAGTGCATTTTAGCTGACGCCTTGATTCCCAACAATTTTTCATTCCCCCCTCACATGGTCGCCTGTATGTCACCCTCTGACACGCGCTCAACTCGTCGTTTCGCATTTGGGTTCCACTCAATTGATGGCCACTCGACAGTGTCCGATCCATCTCCACTCTCTTCCGAATATTTGTTCAACAATAGGTTCTTGATTGGTTTGTTCCCAGAGTTTCTTGTTGCTAATTCTTTCCGGCTGGCCATCTGATCATTAGTATGGATTCAGAGATGACATCTTTTGATTAAGGTCTTAAACAGGCTTTTGGAAATGCGCGTGCAAATTTTTTAACACATTTAGAATAACTGACTTAACATTGGTGCTGAAATTCCAAACATTTTGAGTGCAGGAGATTTTTAGACTTATTTCAGAATAACAAAGATCTATCTGCCTTGCTTTTCGATTCTGGTTTTGACATCGTCATCCGTGCCGACTGCCTGTAGTTGAAACGATGACCTCTTGCAAATTTATTATGTTGATAGTGGTTGGTGCTTGTTGTTGTTGGTTGATTGGTTGGTCTTCTTTATGTTCACTCGGAGTTCTGTCTTTGTTGCTTCTTCTGTCAACTCGTTGATTTTCGCCAATAAGTCTTCGGGTTTATGTAACATTAGTCATAAATTGTTCACAAAGTCCAGATCTTCTAAAGTCTTCTTCCTCTTCTTGCTGCCTAAGGAAGCATGGTGTTCCGCATAACTCAGGCTATCGCAATTAGGCATGTCATCGGTAACAGTAGGCAG